CGTAACCACCGCCGTTTTGCTAACTCGCGGTCAACGAAATCCTGTCGAGAACGAGGTTAGGCTTAACCAGTCGTAATCGTTACATGCAGGCACGTGCCAAGTCAGCCACGTGTTTGAAGCCCGGACGGTCCGCCAACGCCTTCGGGATCAGCGAAAGAATCTCAACGCCGGAAGCCACATCGAGGTTGCAGGCTCTGAGGTACTTGATGATAGCACCCATGAGGGAGGGCACCTCGAACTTGTCAGCCACAACGAGGAGGTCGACGAAGCTGCTCATGGGGGTGCTGGGCTCTTGGAGCTGGGGTGATAGGGTGCCAGCGTACAGGAAGTGTAGCATCTCTTTGAAAGCGGCTCTCTCTGCGGGGGAAAGAGGGAACATTGATGCGTCACGTAAGAGGAAGAGGAGGATAAATTCGAGAGTACAAATGTTCAATGACCGACCAGAATCCTCGTCAGGCAAACTTCAAAGCAGGGGACGCTCCAACGAACTTCCATCCGGAGATATTCTAAAGCGGTTCCCATGGTGAACGAATTCAACAATACAACCGAGGAAGCCTGCTGATCGTCATAAGAATCGCTGTTCGTGTACGAGAAGAACTTCCAGGAAGCAGAACTTTGCTTACCACTCTGGGTGACCATCAAGGTCACGGGCGTGGTCTTGTTGCTTTCTTTCATCCCGTTTGACAGCATCGCCCGGAGCACGCAGCTCTTGGCAGCGAGGACAATGGAGTTGACTGATGATTTGCTCAAAACGTGCTGTCGCTCCCTCGCTTGATGCTGACGGATCCGAAGGGGTCAGTGGACTGCTGGAGGTGGCGTCACTTGCGCACAATACTACATGATCAGAAGAGAGAAGTGCATCAGGATTCAGGAGAGGGTGACTGTGTCTCTAATCTTTGATAGGAACACGGTGTCAACAAAAAGAGGAGAAGGCAGCGATAAGAGAAGGGGGCGAAAGTATATGGCGACAAGACAGTCTGGTCGGCTGCAGGTAGGGGATCCTGAACAACGATCATAGGGACAATCCTTGGCGATTAGGATCAAGGAGTATACACCATGGAAAGATTTGAGCTATGTTTACCTATGACTAAAGCACGTGTTGGCACTGGAATGTGTCCTTCAAAACAGCCTTATCAGACCTGGTCGCACGTCTTTGGCTCACGCCGCCGAAAGTATAACAATAGGAAACACGATAGAAGTGAACAGCGGTGCTGCCTAAGAAAGGCCTGAGCACCACCACCCAAACAGATACAGTTCTTACGGATACGTTTGAGAATAGATAGTATACTAACAGTCACACTTCAAAGGCTCCGAGACAATATTGGAAGGTCCGTCTTTCTCAAAAGCAAAGTGTAAAGTGTAAAGTGCAAACTGTAAAAGTGTACAGTGTCTAAAGTGTAAGTAGTCCAAAACCAGAAACATATCACAGTTTTGTGTACTGCGCGAAGTTCCAAGTCTCAGTGTTGTCTATGGCTCACCTTTCTTGCCCTCTTCCATGATCTCTAAACGAATGGCCCGGTCGCAGAACTCAGCTTTCCTGCATGAAGATGGTGCGCTTTGTAAGCTGCCACTTTAGACCGCAGAGCAGACAATGATGTCGCAAAGCGTAAGTGACACCCTGTGGCCCCAGGCCAGTTGTTTGACTGGTCGCACAAAATTGGTTATCTAAAGGAGTATTAGCTAGTATATTCCTCACATTGAGAGCTTTGCAAATTGCCTAGGGCTAAGGTTTTGAGCAGCAAAGCCATATGATTCCCAGAAATTTGTGGCCAGTGGTGCAATAGCTTCCTTCAATTCCCTGCAGCAGTGACCACGGTTCTACTCCAGTTGAGTCAAACAGCAAACGCGCAAACTGCACAGTCCCTCAGCACCACATTTATGTTTCAGGACTTTCCCCTGCTAAGGAGCCCTTTGCAGCAATCCGAAGGCAGACTTGACAATGACAAACAGAACGGCTTCACCTGTAGAAGTCTATAAAGTCGAAGAAGTGGCCCTCCTCCCGCATTTCAACCGGCAGCTCCTCAGGAATCTCATCATCATCCTCTGCCATGCTTCTTACCAGTTTAGTACGACAGCAGCTTGAAAAGCAACAACTTCCCTGAAACACCACACAAAGTCGCATAAGACGCTGTCTGTTGGCCAAAAGAGTAAAGACAGGAACAAGTTCACTGGTCCCGCAGCGTAAGGCACCCAGGGAACCGTTGTCCACACTGACACAGAAAGAGCAGTCAAGCCGCTGCTTGCTATCTGTGAACACAATGTCTTTAACATTGCCTCGGCCTTCTTGGAGCGCTTGCGCCGCTTCGAAGGTTGGCTCTAGCCTTGGCCCTGGGTGTCTCTAGACTCTGAGACTAGATAGCATAAAGCTCGTTTGTACGTCTGGGATTGAAGCTTGCAGTTCCCTTGCAAGAATTATATACTTTAACCGTGGACCCGGGAACTATGTAACGGGGAACCTTAGAAACAAGAACCGGCAGCTGATGAAGTCCCCTCCTGTGACAGAAGTGCAAAGAAACGTGAAAACCGGCAGGCCAGATCTGTCCGGTGAAGCTCCTCTTACTGGGTTAGGTTTCGAAACCGGGTTTGCAAAGTTTGGGCCACATGCAAACGATAGATCTTCTGTTCTCCGTTCTCGTCAATGGGAAAGCCTCTGTCCAGCAAAATCTGTGGGCTGGGCTATCCTGCGCTAGCTTTTTGTCAGATTACTGCTGACCTTCAGGAGAAAAGGGTATCCCATCACTTAGCCTGCAGCTGTGTGGCTTGCTATCGTTGCGGACCCTGTCGCTCCATGATTCTCGTGACACAATGGACGGTGTTGCTGCTCTTGTTGAGCCCTGCTCTGGGGATGGTGGAGGAAGAGAGGCTGGCGCTGCGAGAAAAAGCGCGAGCAATGTTCCACCATTCGTACGACAACTACATGGAGCACGCTTTTCCTGTGAGTAAGAGCCGTTTCCTTGTAATGGATACAAAGGCTGCATTTTGTGACATTCAAAAGATCCCAGCTCCTTGTTGTTTGAGCACGCTGTGAGATTTGCCTCGAAAATGCTGGCTTCTTCCATGTTGCTTGAAGGCTGAAGATGGAGCTATTCATCTGTATTAGAACAGAGATGAGCCTTTCGGGATGAACGAGCCTTATAGGCCTCATAGGCCTCCAATCAAAGGAGCCTTGATTGGAGGCCTATGAGTAGATCCTCACGTAGGCTTTTGTATTGATTGGTAGCTGAAGGTGTCAAACTGTGAGACAACGCTGTTTGTTTGCAGCACGACGAACTGCGCCCTGTCTCCGAAACCTACACAGACTCTCTCATGGAGCTGGGTAACCTGAACCTTGAGCATCTGAGCCCGTCATACAACGGCACTGCCCTGACACTCGTAGAGTCCCTTTCAACGCTTGCGGTTCTTGGGAACACTTCCGAATTTGAGAAAGGGGTCAGCTGGCTCAGCGAAAACCTCTCGTTCGACATCGATGTGCGGGTGAATGTCTTTGAGGTAGGTACTGATCCCTGGCAAAGGGATACGAGCTTTATTTTGAATGGAAGATGGTCAAAGTACTTTCAGTGTAATCCTTCCACAACCAAAGTCACAGATAGATCTGCACCAGACCATGCGGGTCCTGTAAGAAGAGGAGATCTGAAGATCTGGAGAACCAACAACACTCTGGCACGTGCGCTGATACACTTTTCTGCTCATACTCACAGAAGGGCTCCTTTGAATGCGCAGTGCAGCAATCCAGGAAATCAGGAAAGTGACCGCCTTACAGGTTCGAAAGGGCGTCCCAGCAACTAGCTATACGCTCTGCCTTAAGATGCTCTTCCAGTTCAACGCGTCTGCATGTCTGCGACCGGCGGTTTTTGAGCTTGATGTTTGTCGCAGCAAGCAAAGGGGGTTTCCAAGGCAGAAGTACTCCAAGAAGGGGTATGTCCGATCCCTTCCTGAGGTCTTTTTGCAGCTATGAAACGTGCATTTATCTCATGTCTGAACCCACTCCTCATCTCACGTCTGCGCAGTGTACAATTCGCCACCTAGGCGGTCTCTTGTCCGCACACATGCTGGCGTCCGATCCCGATACCCGGCTCATGCCCGGGGGCTACTCGGGGCGGCTTTTGGCGCTGGCGCAGGACCTCGGAGAGCGGCTGCTGCGAGCATTCACGAGCCCAACCGGTGCGTTTGATGACTCCTTGATAGTTACAAAGAGCTCAAGCTTTGATAAGAAGGAAGCTAAACTGGAAACCGAAACACAAAAACTTACCGGCTCTGCACCCATGCCCGCCCTGACCCCCCTGACAAACCCCACCCGTCTTTAGCAGGTTGTCTAATCATAAACAATCAGAGCCCCGCGCATGCGATCCACGCCCCTCCCTTGCTTACATCCCATCTGTTTCTATCACTTCGGCTCGTTCTCCTTCCTAGCAAGAATCTGTACTACGGTCAAGTCTCAGATTGCTGCCGGAATTGCTGTCGTCACTTCCTCGGGCACCTTCGTCACTTGTTTCAGCTTCAATGCAATCGTGGGGTTGTGGTTCCTGTTATTGACTGCAGGTCTCCACAGGATCTAGAGGGATTTTTCGTACTTGCTCTGGTTCGTGGCACAGGACTCGAGGCGTTCCTGAACGATAGCCGTTCTGTGATCTAGATTGGTAGCGTCTGAAAGACAATGTCCCAGACCGTCAAACGGGGAACCGCCGGTTAACGACCTCGCTAGGGACGCTTCTAGAATCATCTGACAACATAGGCAGTCAACATAATGCCACCATTCGTCTTCCTCAGCTTCAACGAGAACTCTGGCAAACTAAACCTCTCCCCAGGCCCTCGGGTCTCCTCATGCACGGACCAACGGAGGAGTTACCATTGAACCCAGGAGTAAAGCATCAAAGCGGGACCGATCTGAGAAAAGCGATTCGAAATACGAGAATCCGAGGCCTGTTGAAAGAGCTATTGCACCTTACGGTCCTGATCTTCAAGACTCTCCCCCTCCAGGTATCCCTTACGCATGGGTCAACCTGCGTCACGGCGTTCGGAAAGGCGAGACGCCCGAAACCAGCACCGCAGGCTGCGGATCACTCATCTTAGAAATGGGCACCCTGAGTCGACTGACGGGGAGGCACCAATACGAGGACGCCGCCTTATGGGCGCTCCGTAAGCTATGGGCCATGCGCAGCCCGGCGGACCTGATGGGCACCACGCTGAATGTGGAGACGGGGCAGTGGATCGAGTTTTCGGGCGGAATCGGAGCAGGTGAGGAGATGATGTAACGTAGAGATTTCCTGGGTATCTTTTTGAAGTGCGCAGCAGAGACTGTGCTGGGCAAACTTTTAACGAAGCCCGATTTGCATTGCCAACTTAGATTGCTAAGACTTCAGCATACTAATCTATCTTGGAGCCCAAGCAACCCACCGAATATTCAACGAACCTTTGCGGGGGCTAGTGACTCTGCTCGCGAAGAGCGTTTTTCCGCAGATTTTTGAAGCGAAGGCTGAGACTTATCTGTTTGCGCTCATCTGTCCTCAAGGTCGACACCAGCATTGTTTCTTTTGTGCCAGAGCAGTCCCATCTTCCTGCAACCCGCGCCGCGCTGCTCCATGACCCACTTTCCTTCAGGCGCCCACTGTTCTTCACAACGTTTTTCAGTACCTCCTCAAGGCCGACGCCGACATCTCGTCCAACGCGCCGGGCTACTTTGGCGCCCTTTTTCAAAGCTTCCATGTTGATCCTTGTAACCCGCGTTTGATACCATAACCCGCTTTCCCAAGCCCAACTTCTTCTTCGAGTACCTCTCCAAAGCCTACAACTCTTTCAAGGCCTCTTCAGACTGCCGCCTTGTGTAAGCTTATAGCATCCCTCAACGCTTTGACTAGCTAGGTTTAAAGATTGAACAATGTCCAGCTTACTCACGGCAAGCACTTCAAACGTCGAACTTTTCCCCTTCAGGAGTCGACTCCTTCTATGAGTACCTGCTCAAGGCCTACATCCTTTTCGACGAGCCCGCTTACTGGGCCTCCTTTCACAAGGCGTACCTCGCCGCCCAGCGCTTCCTTCGGACGGGAAATTGGTACCAAGACGCGGACTTGCGCACCGGACGTCCGACGCACCGTCAGTTCGGGGCGCTGCAGGCCTTCTGGCCAGGGCTACAGGTGAGTCTAGCAAAGTTTTCCTGCCGTGAGCAGTTCCTTATATTGCAGGCACCTGTTTGAACGTATGAGTGGGGACAAGGAGAAATAGTCTCCGCACCGTCGGGTCCGAGGACACTGTTCGGAAAGGTATTCGTGACGGGAGGCTGGGCCTCTGAGGTGGTTCCGACCTTCAGATGGTCTCGAGAAACTCAATCTGACGGTTCAAGTGACAGTTTGGGTGGAACTTGCACAGGTTAAGCCTTGTGGTCTCCGAGGCATAGGTGGTTTGAAGCCGTCAGATCCACGGCTAGGCAAGCATTAAAGGCTCAGGCATTTCGCCATGGCTCCAGAATCCGACATCGAGACCACCCAACAGCGTTCCCGGTTCCGACTGTGCGAAGACTGTTCATTCTTGTCCGGGCTCTGTATGTTGGCTGCGATCATTCCAGTTGTTGCTGTCGCCGGCGGCAGTCCGACATCCCTCCAAAGGATAGCTCTGTCGGGTTGGAAGCCCTTCTATACGTGGCTGAGCTTCTTGCGATACTGACCGCATCTTTGACAACACTTTCCGTACCCTCAAGTTTAAGGCCTTGATCGAATGTTTGGAATCAGATCGACCCTGTACTGTTGAAGCCTTCGAGTCAGGTTTGACTAAGCTCCCAAATTGCCTCCGCACCGGGAGCTCTATTCCTCAACATTTCTCCTGGTGTGTTTGAAAGCCCTTCGCTACTATACGGTAGCTCCCAGTCCCCGAATCGCCTTTTAATCATCGACGCCCAGCATTCGCCTTCTCAACAGAGACATTCGTGGTCCACCAATTCAGGCCCCTTCTCTTCTGCTCGAAATGAGGAGCGCTTATCTGAAACAGTCCGCCAGAAATCACTCAGCGTAAGGCTTATAACACGTATCTGTGATCTATGAGAGTTCATGATCTGTTTGTTCATGCTCTGTCTACTTCTCTAAACCAAGAGCTCTTTCATTTTTGGATCTGATTCACGAAGGACACTTCCATTTTGTGGTCCCCTTAATCTTGGAGCCCGTCAACCCCCAAAATTTGGCATCTCAGATTACCTTCGAAGCCCAAACCCCCGCACTCGGCGGTGCAGCGCAGGTCCTGGCGGGGGATGTAGAGGAGGCCCGGAGGACGCACCGACAGTTCTTTGCGGTGTGGGAGACGTTCGGTGTGTTCCCCGAGCGCTACTACTACGACGGCCAGGCAGTGCACCACAGCGAAAACTACTACCCGCTGCGGCCGGAACTGGCGGAGAGCACTTATCTGCTGTACCAGGTGAAATTCTTTGCTTCACGTGTCTAATTTCTGATTTCTGATTGTGAAAGCATTGGGTTTCTTGGAAGATCGGTCTCTTTTTCTCCTTTTTGAAGCGTCAGTCTGCTGCGCCTGAGAACTACTACCCGCTGCGGCCGGAATTGACGGAGAGCACGTATCTGCTGTACCAGGTGAGGATCTGTTTGTGTCTAACTTGTTCTTGTTGTCCTGGGAGCATCAAGTCCCCGGACTTTCGGCTGATTCCCTGTCCTTTGGTTACTAAGATATTTCAGTTGTGCCAATTGAACTACAGCAAGTCCCTTTCCGATCAAGAGCAGTATCCTTTCCCTCTTTCTGAAGAACCAGTCTGCTGCGCACGAGAAACACAGAATTACAGAACGCGCATTGCTGGTTACCCGTTTCGGACGCAAGGGTTGTCCCCTTAGGGTTCTCGGTTGAATCTGGTGCCTTCGTCTTTCCGATGATTGAACCGGCTTTGCTGTACCCAAAGCAACGGTGAGCTCTTTTGGTCCCAATAGGTTGCTGTGGTGTCGTTCTCGGAGACTCATCTTGAGCACCGTCGAAACGTCAATTCTTGTGGGATCGCGCTGTGCTGCATTCCTCTTTTGATATGCTAGCTGTTGTTTCTCTGGGAGGCGCCTGTGCAGACCCTTTTGGTGTGACAGAATGGACCAGAGGCGTCTAGAGTCGTGGCGATGCTTTGCAGATTGCTATTCTCCTTGTCGCAGATTGGCTACAGACAGGACGTTCTGGACCTGCTTAAGCCGCGTCGAAGCTCTCTGATCTTGATCGTTATGCACGTTCATTTCAGCGCCTCGAGTAAACCTGGTACTTTCCCAATATATTTCCGTAGCAGAAACAACCGATAAGGCTCTGGAGAGATCGATTGCGGATATCGGAGCGGGGCACGAAATGCCTGAGATTTTTGAGCCCGTCCGCTTGTTGCACTGGCAGACTTTTACTTTCCGTTGAATCCTGCACACTTAAACCACTCGTTGACCCTTTTTTTCGCAGGCGACCCGGGACCCTTTGTATCTCAAGGTCGGCAAAACGATCCTCACTAACCTGAATCGGTTTACGAAGGTGCCGGGGGGTTACACCAGCTTGCGGAGCGCGGTTACGAAAGAAAAGGAAGACCATCAACACTCGTACTTCCTCTCCGAAACGTGCAAGTACCTGTACTTGTTGTTCGACCCGCATCCCCCACCTTTCCTGCGAAACAAGCAGTTCGTTTTCACGACCGAGGGGCACATACTCCCGCTAGGCTTCTCTCGGGTTCCGTTAAGGGCACCGCTAACCGCCGTGGTTAAGCCCCCGTGCGACACGTGTCAGACAATTAATCTCGACGAGCATAAGATCAGTTACATGAGCCTAAGGGTGTGTCCAAACTGGGCGATAGATTCGCGGACTTTCAAGAGCTTAGGGGGCGTAGAGAGCATTTGTCATATTCCGGACGGTTCGCCGGACCATAGGTGTAAGAACCATCTCCAGTGCGGGGTCGATGCGGCCTCGTGCAGACACCGGACGTGTAGCCCGGCGGGCTTTTGTAATTGACTGGGTCAGGTGCAGGTATTACTCGGAAGCGCGAAGCACATAGGATGAAATTGCTTGATGCAATCATTCGGGCCCGTCGGACCTTGATTCTGCGCAACGTTTGCGGTGCCAACCCAGTGCAAATAAGTGCAATTAGGATCGTGAGGATGTGACGCTCACCCCCGCGTCCCACCCTCGCATAGTGGCATATGCGGGCCGGAATCGACGCAGTGCACATGTACGTCTCACTCATGACGGTGAAGATAACACCGCCTCCATGTGTACATGGTCCTCAGCTTGCCTAGCTCATGGCAGGGCCTGTAATGCAGGATCCAAGAATTCTCTAGGCCCACACTGAGGGGCGGCCGCGCGGCCCATCAACATGCGCTCTAAGTTGCTTAGACAATCGACCCGGGGCTGCCGCATGATGTAAAGAGAATCCAGGAGAGGATATGGGCGACTCTTATACCGGGTACGTACGTCCTGCATGTGAAACTTGATAGTCGGACGGGCTTTAATGATGCGCGACATGCATGATCGAGGCAGATGAAACTCATCTAGCTTATGGATGGTCCGTTGAAGTTAGCACTGCTTAAGTAGATCCTTACATGGCATGTGCTCATGCTTGGAGTCTGGACGACGGTTCATCATGGCATAATCTGCATCACGGGTGTCGGCTAGCTTGTATGGTCACGCGCGGAGCAAAGCTGAGCATGTCGGTGAGTTGCAGCAATTGAACCTCAAAGCCTGTACGGTCAAGCAAACCGAAAGCCTTGCAAACTTCTCGTTGGCAAATAACTTCTAAGGGCACTTGATTGATCTCGCATCAAAAGCTTATAAAAGAGTCCTCAGTGCGTTTAACCAATGCCAGAAAGTAGGTGATCAATATCTGGTGTCAAAACAACCCTCTGCTGCACACTGCCCAGCACATGACACTCTTTCCTTCCCACATCAACTGCCGCCACCTCCTGGTAAAACTTGCACTTCGCCCCAGGGACCGCGTCTAACAAAACGTCGCCCAGTTTAAGCTTAACCTTCCCGCTCTTGTACACTACTAACTTGCCCATATACCCCTCTGGCAGGCCGGCTAACCCGCCCCCCTTTCCATCGTCCGGGTTGCTCGCGCTTGGATCGTCCGTACTACCCGCTTTTGCACCGAGCGCGCTTTGCACGGGTAAGTGAGCCGGGAGTTGAAAGAAAAGCAGTTTCTCTTCGTCCCCGGGATTGGCCAAGTCTAGTTCTCGGGCGGCGGGGATCCGGTCTTCGTCACCCAGGGACAAGATTGCCTCGTTTTCAGCGTCATCGGCGCCCGGTTCGGCCTCCCCGTCGATGTCCATCCGCTCGAAAGCCTCGGTGTCGGGAGCAGGGCCGGTGGGGAGAGTGACGGGGTAATATGACGTCAGGTCCTGTACGGACACAATAAGTTCGTAGTCAGGCTTTTGACGTCCGTGGCTCGCAGACCTCGACAATGCTCGTTCGCTCAGAAGAAGCGGACTAAGGGGATTGGAGCTGGTGACAGGAGCTGATGTTATCAGAACTCGCATTTCCTTCTTCGCAGCAGGTTTAGGGAGGTAAAAGGAGGTCAAAAGACATCGCCGAGGAGGCATAGCCGTCTATCGTGAGTAACGAACGCTTTAAGCAAGGCGTTCGGAGAGGACCAAGAAACGCGTTTTGGAAGCTTTTGCAGCTTCGTTTTCAGTACTACGTAGCACAGCACGGTCATAACTTTTGCGATATCACCCCGACCAGATTTTAGCTGAACGCTGTCCAGCTATGTACGAATCCCGTCTTAATAAACTCAAGGAAAGGAGTCCGGACAAGTGAGGAATACAGTACCAAAGGCAGCAAGAAAATAATCCACTCCAGCCGAAACCAAGCGGCTTTCACCAAAGGCCTTGGCCGGGATTCGCCTCACAGAGTCACCCCGCGAGAGCTCACCAGTCTCGGCCTGTGCTTGGCCTTCTTGACCTTCTCCTTATCTTCCTCCATCATTATTTCCATGCCCTGCGACTTGGCGTTTCGGCCACTTCCAGCGCCCTTGGAACCACCCCCTCCAGCGCTGCCCCGGCCATCCCCCCCGGACAAACGAATGGAGCTGATTGCGCCCGCGCCAAAGGCGACTCGAGCGGCGGGAGCTTGACCTGACAAAAAGGAGGAACCGAGTTCAGTCAAAACATGGATTTGATATTGTTCGAAATGCAAGAGTGGCATCATTTTCAACTCGTCATGTGCTCAGTCTCTGTGAGACCTCTTGAGAGCGAATTGCGGCCCCGAAGGCGACTCGAGCTGCGAGAGTTTGACCTTGACCAAAAGGAAATCCAAGCTCGAGCCAAATACGGGTTTGCATAAGCAAGGGGTAACCTTCCAAGGAGTAAGGGGCGAGCTTCGAAGATGCATCCTGAAAATATTCTCAAAAGCTCAGTCTTTGTGAGGAACCTTGAACAACCAATGCAGGCTTGCGACAAATATCAGTCCCCGGTTCCCCGTTGGATTACACCTTCGGATTTTGCTTGTGAACTTTGCCAGCATGTATGCCAAACCCGGGGATTTTAGCCAATGACAAAGTGAGGCAGTGCACAAGGAACCGGCATTTGTGGAGTTTCCCAAGCATGCAACCAGCGATAAGATTTAATTCGTGAAATTGACGAATGGCGCCAGCTTCGGTTGTTGGGAGTCCCCGCTCGCAAAGGAAGCAATGCAGCGCAGCACCTTTCTCTCAGGCACAGTCCACTTTGGAAAGTTCGAACCGATTTAAACCCAGAGGTTATACTCTCGACGATGTATGCTTCTTGAACAGGGGCATGCAAAAAGGAGCGAGAGAATCGCCACTACTAGAGGTTTGCATATCTATATGGCCTTCTGAAAGAAAAGCACAAGCTAATGATTCGACTGGCTGCAGGCATGCCAAACAAGTGGGAAACGAATCCGGCGGACCCTTCTTCCAGCACTGACAGCAAACACATAGGTATTTGTGTGAGCAACCGTCTGAACCTGCCTTTGGTCTGGAACGCCCCCGGGCGTCGCTGGTGCAGGTTTGGGTTGTCGCTCCCCTGTGGCGTCCACTCTTCCTCCGCTGCAGCTGCACTGTCTGCGGCTGTCGCCCTGCTCCGAGCGAAACAGACAGACTATTTGAATTGGAAACACTACAACCACTGTACTTTAGGAGTGCGCCTTTCCTGCGTCGTTGCTCGAGACGTCAAATCATCTAAGTTGACCTGTAAACTTGGCAGCAACGGAAGGTTCATTCTAGAAGCCAACAGATTGATGCAGAAGTTCATGTGTAGACATCCAGCTCTTTACATGCTCCAAAAACATTGCTTGATTATGTTCATTTAGCACAATCTTACGACGGATTGAGATGGGGCACACTAGCCCAACTCCTCCAACAAGGGGCACTAGAGCTCCAGTATCAACACCGCCTCTCCCCTAGTAATTGGCAATGCATCCGTAACGACATGATTCAAATTGCTTGATGCATTTACTCAGTGATGAACCACAGGTCAATGACTCACTCAGGGGCCTTCTTTGCACGCCTCTGCGGGATTTTCGGTTCAAACTTTGTCTGCAAAAACAATATACCCGAGTCAAAAACGTGAATGAAAGTACTCCACGAAAGCTTCTCCAATGCCTGCAAAGCAAGCCTGAGAAAAATTTGCACATACAAACTGAACTCGAAAATGCAATGCTGAGCCAAGCCTCAGCAGATGTGATCACGTCAACTGGAAAATTTGGATTGACTGTGCCTCGGATTGCCCAGCAAGAATGATGCACCGATGGGAGTATGCGAGTGTTGGCTGACTCAGCGGAGCTGATACGATACGAGGAATGAAATTTCCAGGTCTGCGCCTCCCGATGCGCTGATACAATGAGGGACTGCGCGTGTGTTTCCTGTACCTGCTGCTGACAATTGCTCAGAAAGCTTAAAGTACTTGTACTTGGATTTTGCAATGCTAAGGCGCACCGACTAAGGGTGGCAGAGCATCTGACCAGCCAATCCTCAGCAACCCTGGCACTTACCCTGTCCAAAACCCAGGTTGCTGCTTACGCAATTAGCTAACGGCTGATAGCGGTTTGCAGGTTCACTCGCTTTCCATCAAAAACATATACTCCGCAAAAGCCCTGCTCAAAAGGTTGTGCGCCCCTTCATTGACGCGACTGCTTCGCACTCACAATGCAACGACTCACAAAACACGTCTGCTGTCTCGCAAAATCATCCAACAAAACCAGGTACGAAACCGCCGAGAATGCGAACCTTCTTGACTCCCCCGCGGGTGACGCCCAACGCCGGCACCCCCCCATCAGGTAGCGCCTCCTGCTTGACCACCGGTTTGATGAGATCACCAACTTTTGTCAACTTGCCAAGCCTTTTCACACCTGGCTCGGGCTTTGCCAGCGAGCCCAGCCTAACCGGCTTGGACTCTTCCGCAGGTTCCTCGATTCCCACCATGCTTACGTCAGCAGAGTGGTGAGTCCAGAACCTCCAATCCCAGGAGCCAGACTGAACATGAGGGATCGCCTCGCAAAGAAAAGGGACCGGCGCCCCCTGGATTGCACAATATAACAGAATGATGGGACATTCGTTTTTAAGTTGACTTCCAAGCAATCATCCTTAGCTCAAGAGGCTCTAGCACCAAATAACTCCCTACTGGAGCCGCCATGAAACACCTCATGTGCGGTTTGCATATTCGTCAACACCTCACAGTGATACACTCTTCTGTGCGCCACGCTCTGTCCTTCCCCCTCTGACGAATTGGCAATGGCCCTGGGAGGGAATTTGGAAACTGAACAGTGTCACAACTCAGGTCGCAACGAGCCTATTAAATGCGTGTATTTAAGACTGTCAGTGTCAGTGTTCACAGTTGGCAGTGTTGGTGGGTTCTACCGTAATTTCTAAATGCGCCGCTGCGGCCGGATCGTCAAAGGAAGCGGCACTTTGTACCTTTACCGGGAGCGTCTTCTGCTGACCACAACCGTTCCCGAAGCCGTCTCTTTCCTCCATCAAAATTTTTCCTGATTTTCCTGGGCAAATTTCAATTAAAGCATGCACTCTCCCAGTGCATGCTTTCTGAACGCCTGTCCGCCTGCATCTGCACAGCTCCTGTGTTCTTGACCTGGAAGTGGAAGTGGCCTTCCCTTTCTGCACCACCAGCTGTCCTCCCTTTTCAGCTGCATTAAATGTAGGACGTTGAAAAGCACAATTCTTTGAACGCGACTGGAAAACCTGAGGCGGCGAGCTGGTATCAGCAGACTGCCAGATGCGCGGTGGTGTTGCCTTAGCACTCACTTGGCGGTCCAACTGAGGCTTACCTACTCACAAGCAATCAGGACTTAGTGCAGAGGACATCTGCAATCACACAAGAGCCAGGAAACAAAGAATCAAACAACGGTGAGGACTGTCGCGCTGCGCTGACCGCCTGTAATAAGCAGTGGCAAAAATGGTGCAGAAGAATCTGTTCAAAGGCAAAGCTAAAGATAAGAAAGCGGCGGCCAACAGGCATGGCAAATTGGTGACGCAAAGAAAAGGTACGTCCTTCTTTCGCAACTTCCAGCTCCCTTTTAGCTATATTGTAACCACGCCATGGCTTTGTGGGATGTTCACAAAAAGTGCACCAATTCAGAGCTGGTTGGAAGAGCTGCCTTGGGTTAGTAATTCACATCTTTCACGGTTTCCATCTTGCAAAATAACATGCTAAAGAGTGACATGATTCCGGATGGTTGTTGGGCAATATGGTCCCTTCTTAAGAGTCAAGTGCTAAGTATTGGGCACGGTCAGTGAATGGGGTCAGGGTGTGCTGGACAGGTATGCAAGAGCAGTTTACACTGGAATATTGGATGTGCGTGAATGTCAGGGCATCAGTCAGCTTCTTCTTTCAGCTCAGAAATCCCTGACAGTGTCTGTAACAGTGACAGCAAATCTACCTGTCCTTCGAACTCGCAGGGAGGATTTTCAAAGCCCCAAAGAAAAAAACCGACGACTACCTTGCTAGCAATGTGAGCTGAATTCTGTCCTTCTTGGCATCAGAAAATGCTGCGATGCTTCTGTTTGAATCGCTTGGCAGTTGGTGTCATGGTAAAAAGGACTGAGGTCTGATTCAGAGTACCTATCTATGAAGGTTATGCAATCATCATCACCAGCGTATCCGGAACAGATTGCCAATATGTCATTCAGTGGTGTTGCTCCTAAGAACCTCAGTCCTGGCTTTCTGAATCTGCGTGACTAGTCTTGAAGTCCTTACATATCTTTGCAGGAAGTGACAAAGTACATTGATAAAGCAAACGAAGTCAAAGTAGCCACCAAAGCCTTAAAAGAAGGCGGCCAGCTTAAGTTTGTAAAAGGCAACTCAACAGCCTCAGAGCCCAAGAAGAAGAAAAAGGCTGACGTTAAAGGACCCGAAAAGTAACCACCTTTCGGGCCGAGGGAATCCCTGAAAGCAGCTTGTGGTGTCCAATCGAAGTCAAAGCATGTGTTGTGCTTGCTTTAAATATCTCGTTGCTTGACATTGAAACATAACAATTTATGCAGAATGTCTGATCGCACAGTGATATAAAACGGGCCGGCTCAATAGCGGCTTCATAGTGCAACACTAACAGATTGTCTTCTCAAAGGCTGCCACGTATACACTGTTGCGCTTCCACATATTCTCAATTCGTCCGGCCTTAGTCACTACTGAGTAGTTTGCCTAGAGCTTTTCCATGGTACGTCCCAATGACGACGTATATGTAGCCAGCTACATATTTCTGTACGAAGCTATAGCCGGACGGGAACCTATTTTGCTTCATGCTCCAGACTTCGATTTCTCATGCATCCAGCATTGCAGTGATGCTGCTTAAGGTGGAGCTACCTAACTTGAATTATATCATGTGCCATACGATATGATCGAATGGCAGAGCCGGAAGCATTCTCACCACAAATTAATTGCAGTCCCCAAGATACAGCAAAACTGATCGTTCTGTCTGAGGAACAATTGTCACGCCACTTGTTCTGTCTTCGTGCCATGCTTCAGTACGAAACAGCTCTCATGGTTGATTCAATAGCATTATAGCTATCATGCCGGCCAGAATTAAAGCCAAGCTCATTCATATAATTTGGACGCATATGTCTTGGCATATGCGTGGCATATATGATTCCAACAGGTTCAAGTGCAGTATGCTACATGATGCGGATTTTGGTACAAAGTGGATGCGGGCTCATGCATCATTACACGAAGCTTCATTGACGTAAAGATGCTTTCCCTCCGATGTTAAGGCACATAAGTCCAAGGGCTCTGCATAGTTTTGAAAGATATCCGTGTGAATGCTTAACAAAGGCGAAACGCAGGAGAGGAGGCAGTGGCGACAGTTCCAATACCGGTCACACGAGAAGTTGGGTGGATGCTTGGCCAACAAATAGCGAGCAAAGAACGGAAACGTATGGACCTTCCCTCGATTCGGGAGACCTCGTCAGAAGTTTGACCAAGCAGTGTCAGCCGCTCATGAACAAGAATCATCACCGCGGCCCTGCTGGTCCTCTCCCCTGCTCCCACTGCGTTCGGCAGTACAACTTGTACAGCACGGCCGACTTGGCCATCTGCGGCTCTTTCTCCAGCAGCGCGACCAAGTCTTTCAGCGTTACCGCCCGCGCCTGCTGCGGCGCGGCGCTCCGATTCGGTGGGAATACGTTCGCCACCCTCCGCCGAGCAAGCGAGAAGCTCTGCGGCTGAAGCGCCGGGTCGATCGGGGTTTCCGTCGGAGCTTCCGGTTCGGACCGTTTCGTACCCCGGTCTTGAGGTTTTGGGGCTCGGACATCCGAACCGGGCAGGCTCGGAAGCTCCAAACCTTTCTGCTTCTGTCCGGCGCGTTTCAGGGGTGCAAGGCGCGGGCCGGCTAGAAGGTCCGCCTCTCCTTCCGGGTCAACGTCCATCGCCGTAGCCGCATTTACATCAGCTCCTGGGGGCGACTTGACACCGGTTTCGTGGGGCCCATTCACACCGTTTTCAGCAGGGACGCCGTTTCCGTCTTGCTGCGCAGCGCCCTCTTCTCCAACCCCCTCCATACCGGACCCTGTCCCGCCAGAGGCCCCTTCATCAACATGGATGTCCGTTGACGTTCCCGCCCCTAACTCTCCCAGTCCGTTCTGCAGAATAGCCCCCGGATCGGCTTCGCCGTTACTCGTCGCTCCTCCCTCCGCCTCCAACCCCCCCGAAACGGGGGCTCCCTCACCAGCCTCCCACATCTCCTCGTCAGCTTCCAGCCCGATGTCTCCCTCAGGAAACTCAGTGCCGTTTCCCCGGGGGGCTTCCAAACCGAGGCCCCCGTTCCGGTCCGCCGACTCCGTTCCGCCCGTCAACGCCTCCGGCCCCGGCACAGCGCCCGGCTGCTCGCCCCCACTCTCCGGCACGTTGTCTCGCTCGTTGCTAACGTCAACAGTGGACGTCTCAGTGCCGACTGCGGATAGCCGGACGTCCACATCCATTGCACTCGCCTCCGGTTCCGTAACCCCGTCCGGTTCCAAGTTCCGCTCCGTTTCCAATTTGCCTTCCGGTGTCCCTTTCCCTTCCGTTTCCGTCTCCTGTTCCGTCCTTGGGCCTGCAAGGTCACCCGCCCCGTCACCCTCCCCGTCTTTCGACGGCCCCGACGCTTTCCCTGCAAAATGCTCCTCTGGTCGGTCCGTCACCTGAGCTCCCTCCCCATTCACAACGGCCTCCGATGCTCCGTTCGCCCCTTCCGCCACCGCCCTACCCTCCCCGCTTCCGGTCCTAATGTCCCCGTTCCGCAACTCGCCCGGAAGCACACTCCCCTCCAGATGGCCATCCTGACCCGCTTTCTCCGCGTCAGTCAGACCTGCGACTGAAGCTTCGGCTCCAACGAGATTCAGATCCAGGTCGCGATTTCCCCCAATCGCGTCTCTAGTAGCACCCACTGCAACCGATCCGTTGGGTACCACCGAAGCCCCCGATCCTTGCAAACCCGGTTCTTGCAAACCCGGTCCGTTTGGCACTACCGCGCTCGGTTCTTCTGCTCGCGCAGTTGCCCCAGCCGGCTCACCTTCTTCGCCAAGGCTTCCCCCAGTGGGTGCCGCAGTTTCCGACCTTTCTGAGACACGATTCCCCGGGTCTCCAAGGTCCATATCGGACGGCATCAGAGATGCAGCCGGCACCGTGTTGACTGCTTCGGGGGCCTGGGTTTTCGCCTCCGTCTCCTTAAGCGTGAGTGAAACAGACGGGGCGGCAGGGGTCATTTCGGACGGGACTGCCGCCGGGGTTCCGGGCGACAATGCGAGCGGAACAACGGACGGAACTGTGGACGCCGGAACAGCGGCCGAGGCCTCGGGCAGGACTGAGGTCGGGGCTTGGGCCAGAATTGTGACGGGCACCGAAGAAGAAGAAGCTCCGGACGGACCGAAGACCGGAATATCAGACGGAACCACGGAGGGAGCTCCGGACGGAACCACAGACGGAGCCCAGGGCGGAACAGCGGACTGGGCATCGGACGGAGCTCCGGACGGTTCCGTTGAGGAAGGGGCCTCTCCGCTGGGAAGCGACGGAGCTGCTGCGGGGAACGCTGGCGGAATGGACGGCGGCAGCGGCGATGCAGAGCGGGGGTCCAACTCGGGCTGCGGAAGGGTAGGGGTGTCCATGGCTGTGTTTGTTGGTTGCGGCACGGCAACCTCAGCAGGGGTTGCCAAAGCAGGGGAAAGAGCCCCCCCTTCGGTGGAGGCGCCAGGAATGGCCGCGTCTGGGGGGGTGGCCACGGCTGGGGTTTCGCCCCCCACTTCGGTAAAACCGTCGAGAGCCACTGGCGGCGTTACTTTCTCGGTGGGCTCTACTGAGGGGTTTGCAATTTCTGGGAGGGGCGCGCTGATGGGCTGTGGCAAGGTGTCAGGAGTCGGTGCGACAATGGCCGACAAAGGGTCGGCTGTCAGCACTGCCGGGGGGGCAGAAAGGGCTTCTGGAAGGACCCCTGAAGCAGTAACGGGAATTCCCTCACTGGCAGAGAGGGGCCCAGAGGTGGGAGCTGGATTTGGCAGCGTTAACTCCGGGTTTGTCGAAGGTAACCCTGGGTTAGTATGGTCAGGTGTTGGTAGTGTTGGCACCGCCGGGTCAACTGCTGGCTGTTCTGGAGCGGGTTGGTCTTGGCCCGCTGTTGGGGGAAGAGGGTTTGCTACCGCAGACGGTAACCCTGGGGTTGAAGCTGGTAACCCAGACGCCGGAGCGGGTAACCCTGGGTTTGAGCCAGGGGTGCCTGAGGCTGAAGCTGGGGCTGGTAACCCTGACGATGAAGCTTCTAACCCTGGGTTTGAGGCGGGTGTCCGTGAATTTGACCCCAGGAACCTTGGAGTGGCGGGCGCGGAAGGAATGGGTGTCGGAGCGGCAGCGCTTGGGGGGGTAGCGGTGGGGGGGTTGGCCGCGGTGGGGGGTTTGGCGGAGGGGCCGGCCGGACCTTTGGCGACCTGCAGAAGGAGCGGACTTTGGGGTCAGGATCGAGCAATATAAGACGAAGTACCGTCTTTGATTTGGAAACAGCTGCGGATGAAGGACGTGAAGAAGCGGAGTGTAAATCGTCAGGCGAGGGAGCAATCATGAGGGTACCGAAGACGACTTCCCAAACAGTGTGTCGGCAAGTCTCGCCGTTGACTTGCACGCTAAGGCGCTTTGAGAAATGTCGCTCAATCAGTCTACTGCAATTAATTCAGCCGCACTGCCCGTTCGGAGTCCAACGCTGAGCCCATCAATCGTGCCCAATGGCCAACTGTACTCCAACCAATCTGCTTCTGTCCTACTTGGCAGCGAGCAGATCGCTTTCCCGCCTGCGACCGATAACTGATGAAGCTACCATGAACGTTCGTCGACCTGTGAAGTGGACACGTCTACTGAAAAGGATCAGGCAACGATGGACTATATGCCTTGGATCGTAACGAAGCTAGGATTTCCCCCTATCACCTCTCTATATTTAGTGCCTGCTTCCAATTGAAAAAAATGCTGTCTGTGAGCTTCGTCTTTCCTTACCCCTTTTCCGTAGTGGACAACGAACAGCAAGACGCTGCTCTTCTATCGTTGACGGACTGAGGACGGCCCCCTGACACCTTCTGTTTTGGTCTCGCTCCAGATCAGCAAACGAGACGGCCTTCCGGACCTGATGTTTACTCACCCCTTTTCCGTAGTTGGCAGTGAACCGCGCCAAGCTGCTCTTCCCGAGCGCCGCCATCGCGGTGCTCATGGCCGCCTCGGCCCGCCGCTTCTCCTCGTCCTTCTCCTTCAGCTTGAGCGCGTCTTGGCGTCGCTTCTCTAGTTCGGGGTCTGTGCGCAAGGAAGACCGACATAATCTAGTCAGTTGTGAAGTTCTTTTTCCAGGACAAAAACGTTTTCGTACTGTTGGCAGGTAGACAGATTCAACAACGCTGTCATCAATTCTGAGCATACAAGGCTAGACATGTGACGCCCCTCTAGTTCGGAGTCTCTGGAATCGATGTTGAGCAGAAGTTACCAGCACTGGTGTGCGACCTTCTCTAACCAAACAAGCGCCTCTTTGGCTCGGCATCTGTCATCAGGCAGTCTGTTGGCAGATAAGCAACAATCAAGACCTGATTGACTCACTGCACGACGCCGTCGAAGAAGAATGAAACGTAACCCGTTTATGACGAAGCAGCATGGGAAATGACGAAACTCGCAGCGCCCTTAGCGAAGTTGCCCCTACAGCCTATGTTGCACACTGACACTGCCGGAACGCAGATTGTGTCCTGGCAAACTCTCTGTGCAAAGTTGTCCGGCAGACAATCTAGCACAGAGGACTGTTTCAAACCAATTGAAAGTGTCCCATACTTAGACATAGGACTGGCTGGACAGTCTATCAACACATGCCGTCCGTCTAATAGCTGTCAATCGCATCACCTCGAAAATTACCCCCGATCCGGGAAAGATACGTCTGAGCAATGATCTCTAAACTCGTCCAAGAGTGCCATACCTGTAAGGGGCCCCTTGTTCTTCTTGGCGAGCATCTGACGCAGCTTCTCCTGTTCCCGCGCCTCCCGTGCGCCGAAAACGGCCTCTTCGCGCGTCCGAATCTTGAGCACCTCTTCCCGCGTGTTGTAGTGCGTGTATGTGAAGAAGCGGCCCTTGCGGACGTCCGTTCGCTGCGTCGCACGTGCCACGACGTCAATCACAAAATTGCAAATCTCACTCCTTTTGAGAAGCCGTTAGAGTGGTGAAAGCGGCAATCAATATTTCGGCTATTCCGGACACCAGTGTGCGAATGACCCCTGCAAATGTCGGCGCTGCTTACTTTCCAAAAGAAATCGAGCAAGCCCATAAAAGGTGGTCCAAGATTCCCTGAAGAATAGAAAAGGCAGCTGAAGAACAGGTTCGTGGACAGTTTCTGTGATCAAGTCAACCTCCTTTTAAGCCTTGTCAAAGACGGTCCTTGACCAAAAATTCTGACCGCTCGCAATCCCTCTGCAATTCACGACTTCATCACGTGAAGTCGTGAATCGCAGAGGGCTCGAGATAGTCGGAAAGTCGGGTCCTGCTCCGTAGCATCTTCTCGAATCAGCAGCTTGACGGAACTTATCCTGCGGGATCAGTTGACGAATCGCCAAATCCGAAGCTGCCACGTGGCCTCACCTGCTTGGACAGCTTCACCAGCCGATGCAGCATCCCCCGGAGCCGGTCCTCCACCGCCATCGACAGACATTTGTACACGTCTTCGCCAACCCGCGGGATCCCCCGCTTGGCCGCCAGGCCCGACGCGCGCGCGCGCAATACGGCCTCGTTGACAAATAACCTATCCTCCTCCTCTGCGATCCGAAGTCGTGCCTCCTCGTTTGCTGAGCTATCGCCGATCGGACCTGCGGGGCAGAACAGAGTAATGAGCAACTTGCACACAGAACAGCTGAAAAGAAGCTCTGTATACAATGTTTGCTGGGCCGGTTTCGAGCCCTTGAGAGGACTTTCGTCTTTTCCCGCAGAGCGAGCTGCGGTCTGTCATGTTGAGCCCATCAAGGTTCCAATGCGATCCGCACCGCCTATCGGCATGGTAGCCTATCAACATGGTCAATAGAGCACCAGCGCCAATCCAGCATCAGCTGAGTGCAGACATCACCCTTGGATCGTTTTATTGCACCAAGCAACCATCCAGAGACATGATACCCAGATCCTGACTCGTGCCAGCCAATCGTACATCCTTGCAAGAGAAAATCTCCAAGCCCTGCCGCAAAACTGTGCAGGTACTAACATGACAAATAGGGGTCTAAAATGGAAAGCTTCAAAATTCAACAACCGAGACCCCAGAGCCCCACAACCCTACAATCTCTAGATACTCACCCGCGGGCGCCAGGCACTGCTGCGCCTCCTTCTCTAAATCCAGCCATAAGATTGTGCACGTAAATGATTAAGACCAAACCTCCAAGACGTACAGCAGCATTTGCGACTCAAAAATCTAAACCCGAAAACCCCGAAAAGCTCACCCGCGAGCGCCATGCTCTGCTGCGCCTCCTGCTCCAAGTCCAGCCCCGCCACCGCCGTCACGTCCTGCAGCCTCGTGACGTCATCGTCCCGCTGCTGCTTCTTCTGTGCCGGTTGCTGGGCCCCGGCCGCGGCGGAGGGCCTTTTCACACCGCCCAAGGCAGGGCTCAGGGGGGGCGCTGTCAATACGCCCCCCAGGGGGGGAGCAGAAACGACCACCCCTGCCGGAAGAGGCGACTGCGGATTTGCCGCAATCCACTGGTTGTACTGCAGCGTTTGAACTGGGGGGGTTTGCGCGGGGGCCGAGTCTGTCTTCTGCTTTTTCGCCTTTCCCTGACCGATGGCATTTCCCTCCCCGGGCCTTTTCACACCGCCCGCGGCCGCCGCCTGCGCTTTCTTCCCCTGCCCCCGTCCCTTGCCCTTCTGCGCACCCGACTCGCCTCCGATCGCAATCGTCTTTCCGCCGGTGAGCTGAGACGGCTTCGTTGGAGGGGGAACGATGGTCGGCTGAGGTGGCGGCGCGCTGGTGGCGGGAGGCTGAGCTTGCGCCCCGGGATTGGACGGCACGGGTCCGTTTGCGGAGGACTGAGGAGGGGTCGCACTGGCGGTCTGATTTGGAGGGGTGAAGGTGGGTGCCTGGGACTGAGGGGCGGTGCCCGGGAGTTGCTGAGCTGGCACGCCGCTATTGGCCGGCGCAACGAGGTTGCCGGAAGCAGAGTGCTCGAGGATTTCGGATTTGATGGCGAGGAGTTCGGGGCTAGGGGCGGGAGCTGAGGCGGGGGGTTGCGCGGAAGGAGGCCTTTTTCCTGCATAGAGAAAGGCGAGAATGCTAGTGGTTAGGATGTGCATACCATCGTGCATTGCCTTTGTACAGTTGGCGGTCAGCAAACGAGGAAAAACAAGTAGGGGAAAGTAATGCACCCTTCTCATAATGTGGAGGTCATTATAATGATTGTGCAACTTCTAACAACTGACAGAAAAAAGACAGACGGGCATTGACACTTGCCCACTGATCCAGAAGGAAAGCAAGGGAGCTGAGAGGCTGAGAATCTGGAAGCCTAAAAGCTGAAAGTTTGAAAGGCGGAAGATGTACCGAAATAAGACCTTAACTGTCCACTCATCTGAAGACCGAAGAAGCTGGCTTTTGAACCAGAAGATATGCAACAACTTCGACTCGCTGCTCAACTCGTCAAAACGACCGTCTGTGATACACGCGCCGTAAACATCTTTCAAACCGTTCCTCAAACCGATGCACGACAATCACCTTTCGGTTTTGGCGCCTTCTTCGGACCCTCTGCAGGGGCCGCCGTTTTCTTCGCTTTGCTCTTGGCCGGCGCTTTCTTCGCCGGGGGGACCGATCCAGCCCTCACCGCAATCGGTGGCGTCCCCCCCTTTGCCAACGCTGGCAGATTCGCAGTTGACCCCCCCAGCCCCGCGCCAATCGGCCGATCCTCCGAGTCGCTATCCGGCGACGCCGTTTCCCCCCTCTCCTCGTCCTTCTTCTCAGCCGCTGGAGGCGACTCCCCCTTTTGTTGAGCCTCCGCCGCTTGGGCCCCCCCTCCGTTCTCCCGCTCCAACCGCAACTTCTCTTCCCGCGCCTTTCTGCGCTTCTCTGTGGTCTTCCGGTTCGCCTCCCGCTTCTGCCGCTTCTTCCTCTCTTCGGGGGTCTCCTCCTCTGCCGCCTTCGGCTCCGCGCTGCCCCCCGGTTCCGGACTCTCCCCGTCCGACACCGCATCAGGTTGTGAGGCGACAACTGGACTCGCTTCTCTAGTTACGGGGGGTAGCGGGGGGCTCGCTTTGGGGGGGTGCTTCGTGGAGGCAGTTACATACGCGTTCCGGAGGACTGAGGTGTTAATTCTCGACAGCTTCGCTTCCGACGCGGATTCTACTGGACCAACGGAACCGGCAGACTCCGCTGGGCTAGGGTTTACAGCATCGGGGTTGGGATTTGCTTGCTGTGGGGGGATAAATTGTTGGGGGGCGGGCATCGTTTGCTGGGGGGGGTTTGCTTGCTGGCGTGACGGGTGGGGGATCGAAGGGGTGGCTTGGTTCACTGCTGGGGGAAGGGGCCCTTGCCGCGCGAGTTGCGAGGGTTGAGCGCTCGGCTGTGGCTGACCGGATGTACTTTTGCTCTGCAGGATATGTCCACAAGAAGCCTTAGCGGAGTGTCCGGAGGGCGAAGGACGCCAAGGAAGAGATTGACCGAAGGGCATTCAGCCAAAGGAGGCTCCAAGCACGTTGGGAATTCATAGAGGACGAACACTCTGAAACCCTTAAAGCCCTCACCCTACAACCCTGAAACTTAAAGGGCTCTTACCAACGCCGCGCGTCGAGCTGCTGGTATGATCGGCCATCTGTCTCTGACTAGAAATTCTTTCTCTAAATTGAACGCCCTCTGAGCGGGGCATGGAAGAAAGACACTCAGTCTGCCCTGCGTCGCGCAATCTCCAATTCGTATTTCCAAAATGGTACGATAGCAGTCGAGTTCCGAACGCCACAAAGTCGTGAAGTGGGATACGCCTCGAAACCTACGGGTTGACTGCAAGCACATTCGCGCGTTGCGTCTTTGAAGGTCATCTACGAACCCTGCTGTGAGGATGCATGTCGTACGATCCACTTGTTGTTGGTAAGTATACCTCACCTTGAAGAAGGGCCCCAGCTCCTTATAAAGGTCGGGCCCGCACAGCTTTTCCAGCTCGGCATAAAAGCGCACCCTGTCTATAGATCCCACCTGAGAGCATAGAGCTGAGCATGAGAATCTGAGCGCTAGAATTCTCTCTCAAGATGATAGATGAGGTCCGCCGATTCGATAGCTGGCAGATACCAGCCAAGTTTGGAGTTTGGACCGAGATGTCTTCACAGTCGACCTTCAAAATCGGAGTCCAGCCGGTCGAAGAGCAGACGGAACAGTACATCAGGAATTATGCAGATTTGTTTGTTTTGGCGTCTTTTGCTGGACAACACCTATCAAAACATCACCTTTAATGGACACGTGGCCCAACTGATATCCACAATTCTTTATCGAGTTGCATAGATGAACTGGCACCAATAAGACATTGACGCCGTCCGGTGGTAGCCAAGAAAAAGTCAGACTACCCAATGCTGCATCAGGGGGATGAATACCAAATAAGCTCCACAGATTAGCGAATACAAATCACACGAAATGAAGCAGTATCGTGATGAAGTTGACCACATGGTCTAAACCGCCACTGTTGTACTACGAGCAAAGAAAACAAAGGACGAAGCCGAGCCTTGTCGAGATTCTACAGGGCATGTTGTCTCAAAACGGATGGGACGCTCTTCGGGTTCCACAACAAGACCTGAGTGGTGTTGTCTCCGCATACGGGAATCTTGCGGATTGCGTCGCATGCCCTCACCTTCACGGCTTGAGACAGTCTCTTGAAATGCTCAAAGCCAGCCGCCGGCAGTCGCTTCCCCAGGAACTCTGTCAGAGAAGGTCCCTTCTCAGCCTGCAACTCTTGCACGAGCGCCGTGCACGCCTGGTACAGGTAGTTCGCTTGCTGAAACTGCTTCTTCTCGGGCTCACTCAGCGGACCGTTGTTCTTCTGCTTCTCAGCAAGTTCTTTCAAGATTTTGCGTGCGCCCACGTACTTGGCCTGCAGATCCTCGCGTCGCATGGCTGCAAGGAGAAGTGCCATCCCGGTCAGTTTAGGGTACTTCCTTTCAAAGAAAGTGCACTCGTTGGCAAGTAGGGACTCAAAGTCCTTGTTGGTGCATCGTCGGTTGCCACCGTTCTGAAAGTTGACACCCTAAAGTAACGACCGAACGGATGCCCTCTCGCCGAAGGAGAGACGTTCGACAAATGAAAATGATCCAACCAAACAGTATGCAGGAAGCCCAACATGCATTTTCCATTGAAGAGCAACAGTTTTCGAAGCCACGAATTTCTAGAAAAGACAGAAACCATCACTGAAGTTGGGCATAAGGCGATGATACAACGAGAGACATGCACTTGAATATGAGGAGCAGGATCCTCTTCTGTGAGCCTGTACAAATAACAGTTGAGAGCACAGGAAAACAAGCTGTGTCCTTTCGATCCCGCACACAGGCCCATCCGTCCACCCTAACTTCACCCATCAAAAAGCAGTCTTACTTCGCAACTGGGCCAGGACTTGCGGCGGAATCTGCAACCTCTGCCCCTCCCGGCCCCCCTGCTGCTGCGCGCCCCCCCCCGACTGCTGCCCTTGTCCCCGCTGCTGACTTCCCCCCCCTCGCTGCTGACCCGAGGCGCCCCGCTGCTCACCCCCCTGGTGACGATTTGCCTGCCCTGGCTGCCCCCCCCCTCCAGGATGCTGCTGGCCTACCCCCCCAGCATACTGATTTGGCGCGAGCTGCCGCGCCGGCATCCCTTGCACCGGCACATTTTGGAGGGGGAACATGTGGGCCCGGGGGTGCCCCATCTGCACCATTTGCGCTTGGGGCGGGGCGCCGTGCATGCCCTGCATGTGGGGGGGGGGCACGAAGTATCCCGGATGGGGTACGCCATACCCCTGGACGACGCCTTGTTGGCTTGCGGGCACGCCGGAGGCCATCATGCCATTCTGCTGGGGGGGGGCACCATCAGTGAACCGACTCATAATCGCTCTGGCGGCCTCGCTGTTCTCGAAGGCCTCGTCTTCCTGCAGGGCAGGGAGACAGAATTATTTGAAGCAACCGGGGAGCCGGGTTACTGCCACCAATTGATGAGAACGTCTGCAACCGGTTGAGATTGCAAGCGCGTGGATTTTCTCTTGAAATTTGTTGATAGCATACTGACACAGAAAGCTACATGAGTGGATCAGTACTCGTGGTGGTCAGAATCACTGGGGCCACTCATGGACAGATGAGTGGCTGCATGTTGGTGGCAGAAAGGGAGAGATTATGATAGTTGCGTAATTAAGCAAGTTGAAGTGCTGTTACTGGAACAATAAGAACACCCCTAACTTTTCACATCTGTTACACTCTTGGTGGTGCTGCAGCTGTAATAGACTGGCAGCTGATCAGCCCAAGAAACCCCAATACTCATGCGCTGACGGGTTTCAAAATGCACTCTCTTCAGACGCAACATCAGTGCAAAGCGCCATGCTACGTCTTCCTCTATGCTGAAGCCGCGTCTGAGGAATTGCGTGAGACCTTTACCAAATCTACTGTAGGCGCACCAAAGGAAGCTCAAAAGTGGGAGGGACACGTGAGCACATCAAAAGACAAGAGGCCATAACAGATTGCAGGAATTGGAAAAATAGTATTCTGGCTGACTGGAATCCCCACTTGATTGCATTGCAGAGCAGCCAAGAGAGTGCATTCCAGCAGGTACAACGGCAGCATTTGACTTGAAAATCTGACAGCACAACTCGACTCGCTATGGCCAGGATTTAACCTCCGAAGCAGACACCAAACCGGTGAGCAAACAAACAATCGCCATCAGAGATACAAAGCAGCGACATGGCTGCTGATAAACCTTCAACTTTGCAAAGGAAGGTTTCCGCTGCATGACTCCACCGCCAAACACAATCTTAAACCAGTGAAGCCAACACCAGTTGACCTGTAGGAAACTCACGTCATCTCCGAGCAGATCATCCAGAGTCGCCATGCTTGCGCCGCCCCACTGCTTATCAGCGCTCCTTGCACTCAGCAGCGGCCGAAGATGCTGCCTCGCAATCTGAGGCCCATACAATCCAATGACGAAGAAACATAATCTATCTAACAATGCGCCAGCTAGCGCCCCGCTGAGACCTGAATTCTGATCTCCTCGCTGCTGCTCAAGCAAACTGTGTGACGCCGGCCAATGTTTCTTCCTGCAAGAGGCTGGGGCCTTGTGCTACGACACCGTCTGGTAAAGCGTTCAAATGGGGGATCTCTGAGAATTAGCCCGTCCAAGGTCAACCTTGACCCTAAAATTTTCCTGGTTTTATCAAACGAGTGTGCTAACCGGCCTCGTTAAACTCCGCCTTCTTCCGCCACAAGATGGCTTTTGGAGAAACCCGCGGATTCAAACCTGGTAGCTACGTCCTAACCACAATGATGGAACCCGATATAGTCCCGGGACGCTTCACGGTGTACGCGAAACCGTCGAATTGAGATAGACCGCCATCGTACGGTGCTTCAGGTTTCTTGGACGTCCGCCACTTTCCTTGTTCCCCGGTCCCTGAGCTCCATCATCCATGTTGCTCTGAGGCCCCGCAAATGTAGCCGACTTTACAGGCTGAGCTAGCTGTATGCCACAGCAGGAGAGACTCGGATCGAGGAAGAAAGGACGGGCGGCAAAAAGGGCGGGCACTGGGCAGCCTTCGGAGCTCTGCGAGAGATCCTGTGCTGATGCTGCGTATTAATCTGGTGGCGTCAGTGGGAAGGGCGCTCTCCAATTGCAGGCAGACATTCTAAAATTTAGGAGGGCACACGGTCGTCTTGCTGAAGACCCCGTCTGATCTTTCCAACTTTTGGTGGACACATTGTGGGAGGGGGCTCCAATTCTGGCTATCATGGCCGCCAAAGATGCTGCAATGGATACGAGCACGTCATCCGCCGGTTCTGAATCCACAAGACCGGATGCAAAGGAAAAGGAAGGGACTGCCAAAGCTTCACCTAGGCGGAGTTCTGGTTCTTCATCTCCAAAGGAGGTGGCAGAAAAAGTCAGGGAACCTAAGGATCTGAGTGGAAAAACAAACTACACAAAGGAGTTCAACGTCCCCAGTATGCTCACAAGGAGGTCATCCTCAGGGTTAACAACACCAGTCAAGACGAATGGGGATGCCAAGGCTGCGAATGGGCCAGCCAAAAGCCCGAGCATCCCAAGGACACCTGGGAGTGCAACTCCAAAGACTCCCGGAACACCCCGAACATCTGTATCTCTGAAAGATCCCCTGGGACAAGAGCTTGCCAGACTGGAAAACGAAATTGGAAGTAAGAAATTGACTTTCTAAGTCTTGGCTTTCCGGTGCTTGGAATTTGTGTGCAAAACGAGCATGTTATTGGCAGCTCTGTTGTTGTTTTCTTGAAAATCGATGGCTGTTCCCCCAATAACATCTTTGGTTTTGTCTGTTGATGGTTTTGATTTGCTGGTTGTGCTATGCACTTTTAAGGAGGGTAAATTGGTCAATGTGCTTCAAAAAGAGGCTGAAAGCCCTTGTCTGCCCCTTCTAGCAAAGGCCTGGCGAGTCTGAGAAAGTGTTTGCCTGCGCTGGAAAGGGAAGTGGTAATTGAAATGGAAGTGCACCTCATTTTACCCTTTGTTATTTGCAGGCAGGGATGTTGAGTTGGCGAAGAATGCGGAGGAGATAAGGGGCTTGAAGCTATCACACATTGCAAAGGACAAGGCTGCAGCCAAGGTGGGTGCAATGGAAAAGATTCAGAGCTGGCTTCCGCTAGCTAGACTACTTGTGAGAGAGTCTTGCAGTGCTCGTGGGGTCTGTGTTCCTTCTTCGCTTGAAAGGTCTTGTATGGATTCACCTTCTGGGAGCCGCTGGGCAAATGCACCATGATTGATTGCATCTACGATTCCATTCTGGACGCTGTTCCCAACTGTGTGCAGTTCATCGAAGAGAATGAGCAATTGAAGGAGAGGGTGATGCAATTGGAAAAGCAGCTTGAGGGGAAGGTAAGTGCAAAATCGAGGTCGGGTTTGACAGACTAGCAGAATGATGGAATGGCTTATTGAAGCATTGAGCTAACTTCAGCTCTTAGTCAGCTTTACTTTTGCACCATGGTAAGTCTGCACTTGAGCCTGGCTGCTTCTGGAAATGCAGCCCAGATCTCTACAATTATTGTTTCTGATGAAGTTTGAAGACATCTGCTTTGCAGGATGTTAATCCGCGACTTTCTGCTGACGCTTGTAATTATGTGTCGTTGGTGATTCAGGCCTTGGAGCTGAAGAAGACCTTTGACGAGAAGACTGCAGCCGTCTCCAGCAAGAACGCAGCCGAGTTGACGCTCAGACGAATATACGCCTCACAGAAGGACCCCACACTGCCGCAACTAGAACAGATCATTGCGCCGCTTGAAGCAGAGATCAAGCTAAAAAACAAAGAAGTAAGGAGGCAAACTACCTTGTCCTCACAAGATAGGGCGAAGTCCCTGATTGCAGTACTTTTTGGCATCTGAGGCTTCTTACCAAGGAGCTCTGTTCTGAGTTCCCCCTTATCATTGCGGCTGCAGGTTTACCACCGTCTCAAGTCACGCCCGATTGTGCCAAAGTTGGTAGCCAACCTTGTGCTGCTTTCCTAAACCTTGGTGGAACCTTGATGTAGATCGACAAGCTGCTGGAGAATGCGAAGGCGACAGAACGGATGCTGAAGGTCAAGGAGACGGCCCTCGTGGATGCCGACAAGAAAGTGAATGATATGAAGGAAGAGTGCGCCAATGTGGAGACGCTGCGGAATGAGAATCAGGCTCTGAGCAAAGAGCTGGGAACTAAGGAGGTAAGTCGGTACTTCTTGAATGTGACTTTCCCCAAGCATAGATCGGGCTAGCAGGCAGTTTTCTCAGGTTGACTTCATGTATCCTCAATGAACCATCCAGGCTGCGACTTGTGTGCCGACAGGCAGTAAGCAACTGTTGAATACGAATCAGCACAGCTCGGGGAGACTGCGAAATTGATACTGAGTGTTCCTCGAATGTTGGCTAGTCCAGATGTTGCAGGACCAAGACTAGGAATTTCGGACACGTTCAGAGCTTATGTTCATTAGTGACTTCTGGCAGCCAGGGGCTGAAATCTGCAACACATTAGTCACATTCTCGATTTCCCTGTCTGCAGTTTCTGGCAAAGTTCTGACTACGTAGTTAGGTGACAAATTGTCACATGATGACACTTTTTCTTTGTTGTTCTGTTCCGCTTCGCTTCAGCTGATGTGCCGGCCGTCTTGCAGGAGGAAGTGACTTTGCTCACGAAGCAGACCCGAGACAAAAGCGCCGACATTGCAAAGCTGACAGACCAGATTGTGGCCTTGAAAGAATCGCTCACAAAGGCAGGCGAAACGACGAACTTGCTGCTGGAAGCGAGGAACTCCTTTGCCAAGCTTCAGGTGAGCTCAACCCCCGAGCATTATTATCCATGCAGTGTAGGTACTTGAAAGCGCCGACAGTCTCCAAGGGGTTCTGGTTTGGGGTGTGGTTCGGGCAAAGTTTTGAAAATATAGCCGTCCTGCGAACGCTTCCCTTTCTCCATCTCGCTATCTTTCCAGTCAACAATCTTCGGGTGATTTTCCGGATTCGGAGGGAACCAATTGGGGATCTGAACGGGTTCGGAAAACGGTCTTGAATCATTTCTTAGTCTTTTGAGCGTCAGTATGTGGTGTTGGAATGGTACGCTATTCAATAAAGGCGTTGAGCAGTTTTTCGTCCATTAGTCATCATCAGTATCTGCTTGCAATCTGGTTTCAAAGGGAGTCAAGAAAGGCCTTGAAAGCGTCTTCTGATGTTTTGCGGATCAGCAGTATTCCTTTTTCGAAGGAATTCGAGAAAGGCCTTGAAGCACTTTTGCTGACCATCAGTCTTTGGTTGTGCGCTGTGCAGAAGGACTACCAGCTGTTAGAGTTGGAGCTGGCCCGAAGCAGAGTGAGCGTGAACCGGGTGGCGGTAGCTGCGGCCTCGGAATGGAAGGAGGACAGTGACAAAGTCATCCCTGTTAAGCAGTGGGTGGAGGAGCGGAAGTATCTGCAAGGGGAGATGAAACAAATGCAGGTAAGGTGTCTGGGTTGCATCAGACTAACGTAGTCAGAATTCGTTGTGGTAATCGGTTATATGATCCGGTTTGGTAAGGATTGTTTCTCCCTAATCCGAGCTATACCGATGTTCGTTTGATCAGGAGCCGATAGCCAGTCGCTTTTAGACAAGCGGAAGCTCTTTCAACAACAACAACAATTTCATCCTGCATGGAAGACTGTGGAAGGACCCCAAGTGCTTCTTCCGCAGTCTAGCGAAGTTCTCCTGACGTCCTGATTCACGGACTCCGCGAATCCTGCGGCAAATTCTACCTCGCCCCAGCAATACTCAATCAAAGAAAGCCGATACGACAGGACGTGCGTTCCTTCAGCTTCTTCACATAACTGCTGATCTCAGAGACCCCAGCAGCGGGCATGAGAGGCTAGAGCGCTCTAGATCTTCCTGCAACTGTCAGTCATTCAAAGCTGACACAGACTCCTCATCACGTGATCATTTGCGTTCTCCAAACGTCTCCATTTTACCGATGAGCCGCCGACCCGTGCTCCCCTCCTTTCGTGCAGGACAAGCTCGAGCAAGCGCTCATAATCGCCTGCAACTGTCAGTCAACCAAAACGGACTTTTTCTCATCATGTCAGCGTATACATGTCAGCGTATACTTTAGAATACTCCAGTGTGTCCGCAAACTGCTGATTTGCCGAGTCCCCCGCGTGCAGGACAAGCTCGAGCAAGCGCTCAAGGCCACCCGCAGCGAGGCCCAGAAGAAGGACCGCATCCAACAGCGGCTGCGGGTCATCGAAGACGGCCTCAAGGTCAGCCATACTTATCGACTCTTCTATGAATGGCCTCCCGTCGAGATTGGATTACTGCCCAGGAACCGAGTGGAGTAGGTGTGGTGATTCGATTGTTTGGTACAGATGCTCCACAACGGTAGGGGTGTGAAGCATGTCAACCCTTCGTTCAGCGTTCTTTACTTTGAAATAAGCCGACGCTTAGGTAGTGATGGTGATAGGACTGAACAGAAACGTACACGAGAATCTCTCTGCGCCCGTTGGTTGGATGCAACTCAACGTTTAGGGTCCGTGTCGACCGAAAATTGCCAGGCTCGCCAGCTTCGCATCTCCGGTCTGCGTACAGCTTTTGTAAACCATAGCTCCAGCTAAAACCCTGTACCAGGTCTGTACTTGTTTACCACGTGATTGATTGAAGCGGTCCCGTTGGTTCGATGACCGGAATTGAGCGCTCACCCAGTTCGGTCGACTCGGCACCTTAGACCTAACCCGACCCAAACCCGAAACCCACAGGTCAGTCCCCAAGGGCGGGCCCTCATCCGCCGCCTCTCCGCGGGCCCGTCCGGCCTCACCGCCAGCACGCATTCCACCGCCCCTAGTTCCCCCCGCACCAGCGTTACCGAGAACGGCGCCCCGGCCGCGGAGGCTGCACCGTCCGAGGACGGCGCCGCGTTGTCGGAGTCGGCGGACGGCGAGCAGGAAATGGTGGCGGGCGTGTTTTACGACATGCTGCAGAAGGAGGTGGTGCAGCTGCGCAAGGCCAAGGCGGACCAGGAGCAGGTGCTGCTCGACAAGGAGGACGCTATCGAGGTGCGCGGATCTTGTCAATCGCGGATTGAGTGAATACGAATCAAGTAGAATTGAATCAAGTAGGAACCCATCACGTTCGTCGGATGAGGACACCCCGGAAGCGGAAAAGAAGTCGTGAGGTTTTTGATGACTGAGATGGTTGGGCTCAACAGAGCGGGGCCGCGGCTATCGTTTCGGGGGCACGGTTGTTGGTAGGTGTTCACTCTGTGTGAAAGTCAATGACTCTCCAAGGTGCGCAACGCCGCAGCTGCATTGTCAGGGGCACTATCGTCTTTGACCTCTACGAGATTGTGTATGTATTTCACGAAGGAGGTGGGCTCAAACGGATTTCCAAATCCTTGTATGCGCTCTTGTGTCTGGGGCCGGACTCCCCTGTAGTTTTCTCAGTCAGATTGGCTGAAGCCTGTTCTGATGCGTCTATAACAGGACGGCATTTGGCAGATCCCTGACTCGCTCAGATTCTCTGGCACATTTTCGCCTTCCAGCTTCTCCTAAGGCTCGCTCCATATGATCAACTGCTGCTTGTGATTGACTGCGTCTCCTTCGTTGTGTCTGCTTCTATCCGCCTTACAACCTGACTGCCCGACAGCCCATTGATCACCGAGAATGCCCTACCCTGAGTAGACGCGTTCACTTTTGTCCCTTTCGGACGCTGCAGCTTCTTGGAACTGCATACGCTTTGCTGAAGGAGCATTCGACTATCACTTTTTTCTCGTCTGTCTGCGAAGTCAGAAACATCTTGCTGCTGTTCCGCAGATGCTGACAAAGCGGTGTGAAACCCTTAGTCACGCAGCCGAAGTGGAGAGCAAGAAGACAAAGCGGGAGCTAGCAGCGCTCGAGAAGGAGGTCGCTGCCTTGAAGGCAGATATAAGCAGCAAGGAGAAGGAGGCCAAGGTGCGAATAGCTGCATCCCCGGCTGCCTTGAAAGCTTGTTGTCCACTTCTCATCTCGGGTTGATTTTTCTTCGCTGAATATAGGGAACAGCAACACATGCAAGTAATCTCGCCAACGTGCAAGTGTGGTACTTTGCGGCCGTAACCATCAGCCTTTCCTGCCCCTGTTCGCACTTCTACTTGTGATCCTTGCGCTTTACGAACATTCTCCAAATCTCTTGCTGGGGTATTCAGATTTCTCGTTAAGGTGCATACGTGCTCTGAGGTTCCATCTTGACGTCGGAGTCTTCGCACTTTCGTATTGTCCTTTACATGGACGTGCTGCTTTCCTGCAGGAGAGGGAGGAGTTGCTCAAGAAGGACGTGTTCAGGTTAAAGTCCAAGCTTCACGGGCTCCAACAAGGGGGAACGTGAGACAACCAGTGGTCTTTGATCAGCGGATTGCGTTCAGGAAAACTAGTGCGGGCTCATCAAGTCCTTGCGAAGACCCAATATTCAGTTAGGGGTATGTTAAGGTCGGCAGATGCTGCTGCGTTGCCTACATTTTTTAGATAACAAGAGGGCAATGACGGGCCCCTGGAGTTGCGGATGCTTGCCCGCGACCTGGCTATAAACTTCCGACATGCAAAGTACCTCTAGGATTCTACTTCTCTGGGAGGCTGTAGGTAGGTGCTCGTGCACTTGTGGGAGCTGGAGCGCGCTGGAGCCAACGGCAGGTTGTGCACGTGTATGATATGTGCAGGTCTACTCTACATAGCAATGCCTAGGGAAATATCAGGCTTGATCGGTGAAGCATTGTCTACACCGATTTCAGTTTCAATCCTGGCACAAATTCAAGTCCGCATACGGTATGATACGCCAACTTGATTCTGCCAGTATGAGGAAAGGCTGCTTGTGGATTGCAGCATGTTGACAAACGGCCGCCCACCCGCGGTTTTGCACATCCTATACGCGGCGGCAGCCTTTATATATCATGCCTTGCGCGGCCATGATGCCTTCTAGCTATCCGTGACCGCGTCTAGCTAATTGTTGATCGGCTAAAGTTGTATCATATGCATGCAGCTTGAACATGGTCTTTGCAAATGCGTGGGCTGCATAGCGCTGCATACCCGGTCGCCCAGGCCTTACTAATTACCAATGACGGTCCGGTATGATCGGGAATTAAGTCATGCAAGTCAGCCTGCGACGAGTATGTCATGACAGCCCTAGCTGGGCTCATGATAACTGCCAGCGCGCTGGCCTGAGATACATGTCTACTATCCTGTATGAGTTACGTACGGCAAACTCAAGCCGCGCGGCATGCAACAGATTGGCGAGCTGCGTGCAGTGCGCCTCGGGCCCGTGCAGACTCATACGTACATTACCACTGATTCACTGAAGCAAATATGTTTTACCTTTTGCACTGCATGCACCTGGCATTGCAGCACCGTGACTAATCGATTTGTTGAGGTGCATGTAGCCGGCCGGAGATTGAAGATTGAGGTTCATACATGCCCAGCGGCCAGGTTGAGGTGATTGCAGATGCACGAATGGGCCTATGTTTCTAAGGCGGAGTCGTGCTTCATCAGCGTGTTTTGGGCCGCGGGCACGGTCAGATTTTCATGCCTGCTTGCACATGCCAACACTTTGAAGATCTGAGAAGCTCGACGAAGAACTGCTTGCATCAAGATGCAATGGAACCCACATTCTTCCTTCTCACGGCCCATTGAAATAGGCCTCTTATGCCGACACATCAGGCAGGCAGATTGATGGTTTTATTTGCAGAGTGGAGAGACGATAAGACAATGAAACCCGACAACACTCTCGCTAGCTAAAGCCAAAAATGCGTGTTCATTTGGGTCCGACCAAAATCTGCGATCAGTCCAAGGTGACGTTATACCCGTTCTTGTAGGACCGCGGCAGCCTTTTCAGCAGCCACTCAAGTTGCTCAAGGTCCACATACACACTCTGCCCCTTGCTGTAGTTCATGCACGGCGTGACCGCATAGCAATACTCCCACCCTAACAGCACCCCGTACAACCGCATTAGCCACGGCATGCGCCGCCCGCTCCCCCACGTGCCCCACATCTCATAGTGCTCCAAGCTCGCCGCGTGAATGTAGTTCCGGAAAAAGTCAATGTAGTAGTACAGCGGAAACACCTCGAGCACCACCGCGCCGGGCCGCGCGAAAACGAACCCCGTGTTCTGGCTCCCGTGCGGCGTGATCAGAAAGTCGGCCTCGGCCACCGGCCGCACCTGCTGGCAAAAGTCGCCCTGCCCGCTGATGATCGTGCGCACCGGCGCACGCAGCGAGCGCGCGAGCATCACCTCGACCGACAAGTAGTTGGCAATTGACCGCGAGTTTTCTCTCCTCAGCAAAACGACGTCCTGCACGGGGCGGCTCGCGCGCCGCGCCTCGATTCCGCAGTGGCCCAAAACCTCGTCCCGCAGCCAATCATTCGCCGCCTTCCCCGGCATGTAGCGCGCGCTCGTGATCCCCGAGAAGACGACCGCATCCTCAAAACAAATGGGGGGGTCACCCTCCTCTGGGAACCTGAGGTACTCAACCCCCAGCCCCGGGAACGCTTCCAACAGCCCCAGCGTGAAGGCCGAGATTGTGGATGGGTCCGCAAACCAGTACAGCGTCGAATTCCCGAGACCGTACCGCTGGTTCAAAAGGACAGCAGGGATGACCTTTTCGGCCTCGTGGTGCGGGTTTGGCCCCACGCCCTCCTTCCCTACCGGCAGCTGTTTCAAATCCGTCAGGAACTGCGTCCCACGGATCCAGCGTGCGTTGCTCTCGCCTTGCGCCAGCTCAGACTGGCCCCCCTTTTGCAATGCGCTTGCTCCCTCCCCTTGCATGGGGGGACACTCTCCCCTGACCACAGGCACTTTGGTCCTGGGCCGCTCCCGTGTGAACAGCATCTCACTTGGCATCACGCCCCCGGCAGCCGCGACCCAGTCGCTTATCGGCGGCTGCTCCCCACATATCGTCACCCGCTCCCTGCTTATGCACAGCCCCCTGACGCGCGGAAAGCACACCCCCGCGCAGTCCCGATTGCATACGGCCCCCTGCTCCACAGAAAAGCCATCCCTCTCTGGCGCGCAATCCGTTGGGGGGGGAGTCCTCCTCAGAGGAGAGCGGAGGAAAGCCACCAGCCATGCAGAGAAGAAGTAAATGACCAGCGATGCCGCAAGGCATGCAAGCAGACAGAGGCGCAGGTTGGAGCGCCGGGGGCGCTTGGAGTAGCGGGCCATTGGGGAGCCCAGAGAGCGAGACATACGGCCATCTGGCATGCGGAGCCGCAGCTTTACCACCGGCGTGAGCGGATCTATGCTGGGGGTCTGTCAGCTTATCAGCTGTTGTGCGTGCTTATGTGTTCCCTGCTATGGAGAACGCATATGGACTTATAAGCCCTTGACTCCCTTTGGAAAATGGAGTAGATCCAGGAGGGTCTGGAAGGAAGGACAGGCTACGAAAAGTACAACTACCCTTTGTCAACGACCAAGGGAAACGCACCTGCGGCAGGCATGCGTTTCGGGAATGCTTTCGGATCTCGCAGGGAGCGCCTTGAGCAGCAATTCGTAGAGGATGTTTCTAAAGCTCAAGCAAGAACGAAGCTTCACCGCACGCCTTGAAAGTTGAATCGCGTGAATGCACTCCCCTGCCTGTGCGCTGTCTTTCTAGCAAGCCGTTTCCCGCCACTCGTGCAAAGCTCTTTCGATGTGCAACTCAGAACCAATGTCATGACGCCCCCTCCGTAGACTTCGTATGTATCGCCGTCGAATAATCCATAATTGCAAACGGCACTCTAGATTTGAAATGTTTGCGCCCCGAATGTCTGCCCAGTGCCAGCTGTCAACTGTTGAGATGGGTCCGCTTACGGTATGTACCGTATGTTTCGTAAACCCCGTGATCCCTTTCGACGGTACCCCGTACGGTATGCCTCGGTGGCGGTTTCTAGCCAGGCATGGTTCTGGGGGAGGTGGATGCGAACGGTCACCCGGGGGCCGGTACGGTGCACTTGGTACATACCTGCGCCTGCTGCGGCTTTGGGTACCTGGTACCATTTTCAATAGCCAGCTGGCAAAACCCGGTACCCAGACTCCCAGAGTGTCAGAATGCGCCCCACAAGGTACACACCCGATACCGATCCACGCTAGGTGAGCTATGTGCGCAAGTAAGCGCGCGCGCAGCCACTGCCGTAAGACAGCATTCAAATTTCAATAACTGGGTCATTGGTTTCAGCCGTGGCCCTCGCTTTGACAGAGTTTCGTTCCAGTTGTGCTTGCGAGCTGGCGAGCCTGAAGTTTTTTCAGCAGCAGGTAGCAAGTTTGTAAGCGCTCCACAAACCGTTCCTGTTTACAACGTGCTGTTGACGCTGACGTTTGGTTGCAATTATCTTCTGTACTGTTATGTCTTCCGATCAAGAGCTGGATGTTGAGTTTTCTCGTGCACTAGATTGGTCGACGCCGGTATATAAAGAAAGCATATCTACGCCTGATAAGTGTAAAGTCGGTTGCGTTGCCAGACATTGACCTTGTACACTGAAAACCGGCGACTTTTTGCAATTATTTACAATAATGTGCACATATCATGATACATCGTTGTTTTTAAATTCCTTTCAAACGGACATGGAGTATTATAGTATTGGGAAAGTCTAGGGTCGAGAGTAGATTGCAACTATTATCATTGATGAACAAAACAATATTTACCTATCTAGTGTACGTTCATTTGCAATTTCTAAATTTGTCTCGTATTTTCTTTGGCAAGGTTGACGATGTGGCAGTGTATGCCGTATGCTGGCTACTGTGGGTTGTTTACCGTCGGTTTATAATGGTGTTAATTTCTAAAGGTGTAATATTAACATCTATCCCTTCGTCCAACGTCATATATGTATGCACGTTTTACCCTGATTTAACCATTCTTTAAAATATGAGAAAGAACAGATTTCAGATATCTCAATATGTTGAGAAAGTTCAATTGTAGTCATAAGAATCTAAGTAGCGTTAATGCAGTACGCGTGTTTGCAACATTTGAGGGACAGTGTGAGATTCACATCAGATCGAGGAACAGTGTGGGATTGTCAACAAATGTCGAGTGTTGACAATGATTGTCAGTGCAAATGAAAACACGGTGTGGAAATATGTACTCAGTATGTACAATCAAAATGTTTTCCACAGCAGAACCGTCAACTTTTAACTCTTAACCAAAGTTAACTCTTCTCTCTACCCATAACATACTAACTTCTACAATGTTGTCGATTGTTGTCAATTGTTCTCACAATCTGCAGTTGGCGGAATGTTCATGCGAACGGCCAGCTAAGGAATACGGGGGACTGGGTGTACAACTCCGTAAGAAGCAGGGCTGTGAAGCCCAACATGGCCAGTCTGCAAAAGACAAGGCGACAGTAGGTTATTGATGTGAATCCCTCATTCTTCGATGTAAAGAGTGATTGATAGATTGAAGTCAAAGGTGATCCAAATTTCATGTGCAAATTTTTAGGTGCAACAATGGTTTACGGCAAAGTTGTGTAGATTGTGAGGTTCACGGAGCTTTTCTTGCTGGGGTACTTGGTAGCATCCAGTCCTGTGCTCTGGAAAGCACCACATCACAAACATTTCTTTGTGAATACGAACAGTGATAAGAGCGGCAGAAGAGTATTCTTTTCCCATACCTGCCGTTCCACCTCTCAGCCTTGGCGCGGAAGATGCCGAACGGCCCACCCCTGACGCTGTCAGGACTCAGTCCGGAGGCGAGAGGCACAAGGGATGCCCACGTGAACACTTGAGCGACGAAGATGAAACCAGCCAGACCGGGTCCCAATGCAACCTGTACAACAAAGACGCAATCGTTAAATGAGAGCTATCACAACGAGCTCATGAGAAGGTAGTAGCACGAACAAGTTCGACGATGAAAGATAACCCACAACGAGCGTGCAGTTTGTTAGACGTATAACAAGTTGATGGGCAACTCTACCAATATCTGAAGATGCCAAGAGTACGAAATCTCTTGAAACAAAAACTTCATCATCAAAGTATGATAACTTGGATGATGTTTCTATGTCGAGCGAAGTTGCCTCAGAAGCAGAGGCAGAATCTATCACAATCTCTACGTAACAACATATACAATGTAGAAGTACAATCGAGCTGTCAATTGATATATACCTGAGAGCCGACGGGCAGACCCGTGAAACGCTCGTTGAAGAATGCGTACACCATGCCCAGCATGGCCAGTCTGCCGTTGATCGTCTCAGGTCCAGGGCCGTCGAACGCCATCAGGTTGCCAAACTCGATGTTACCGAACTCAGGGCGGCGCTCCCTGCAACATGTGCATGTGCTCTATCTCAGCACCACCAAACTTGTCCTTTTCTTCGCGTGCGCTTTAAAACTTTTCTTCAGATTCAACCTTCCCAACGCATCCAGGTAGCTTTTACCATTGAAAATTATCGTCGTTCATCTTTCAGAATCTCTCATCGTTGCAGAAGGACCTGCTTGTGGGAAATTTGTCAGGCTGACGCAATATGACTCAAGCATACATCCACAATCAGGGTATCTGCAGATGCACCTTACAAATGATGGCACAGAGGCTGCGACAACCAACTCATGTCTTTGCTTGATTTCTCTCCATGATCAATATTCTTGCTGATTTTTCGCTTGCTGATTTTTCGCAGCTTATGAAGGAAGTTTACCTCTCGGGGCGCGGGAAGACGCCGGGAGCAGGGGCGAAGCCCGGGCTCTCACGCTCCTTGGCGTCATGCTGGTCGACCTTCTCAAGAATCTGCTCGCGCACCTTCTCAGGCTGTGGAAGAGACCACGACCTCTAAGTATTTCGTTTCCGAGCCAGGTCTATTAAGGATGAATGTCTTGCATACCGAGACTCAAATCTTCATGTGAGAAAGGCAATTTGTTCATGACTCTACTGACAATCATCAGGCCTTGACTCTGCAGGTGGAATCTGTATGATGAACATTCTGAGCATTTCTTGAGCTTTTTCGACGGATCTAATACTCCGATAAGTTCCTTTGAAAGAGCTTGAGAAGAAACGTTTTCAATGAAAGCCTCATTCATCTGCTGAACATTCTAGCCAGACCTCACTCATCTGCTGACCATTCTAGCCAGACCGTTCTAGCTAGACTCAGTCCCAAAGTCCATCTGTAGTTGCCCACTATTTGCATGACCCAACAGGCAGTTGCTCCGATAAGACCAAACCCATGAACGCGCAGCAAACTTCACGAGGGCACCATGAAGGACACCGATCGAAACTCATCATTGCCCCTCACCGTGCTCTGCTCGGCTCTGCACACTCCCGTACTCCTCCTGCTGACACCGCTCTTGGCGGCAGAGAAGCGCGCAGATCCCAAGAAAGAAGACGGTGTCAGGAGAGCAGTGGTCGGGGCAGAAGTGCTAGCGGTGCGGCTGGAGGCCAGGCGCGCATTGACACCAGCGCTGAGGCTGGCGGCAGGGGACATAACTGAAGAGGCCATGGTGTTGTGGTTGAAGCTCCTTGATTGTAAGTGGGATCAAACTATAATCTGGTTCGATCAGTGTATAGCAGTCTTCTGGTGAATCAAGTTAGTTGCTAATGGTAATACTGAGAATGCTGGAAAAATGCGTTGGGCAAAAGCTTTTATCTTGGTGATCCTCAGGCAGAGAGACTGCAATCTGTGATGAGCGGGGACAGCATAGTAATCCGCCCAACAGTGTTGCAAGTCTTGCCTGTTGCAGATTGCAATACTCTATGTCGTCTCAAGCACTACAGGTCTGCAGTCTACAGATCTCAGTACGGTACTCCCATTCATTGATCCATGCATCATCATTTGCATGATTCAACTCCATGCGCCTTGTCGCTCTGCATGCGATCCGTGATTGGGAAGCAGCCGGCCCGGCCAGAAACCCCGCTTCGCTGGACGATTGGCTGCCGTCCCTTTACGAACGCAGGCAAACGAACCTCGCCAGCTGGAATCCCGGTATTACCAGACAGACAAAGGACACTGTAAAAGTGTAGGGCCTAGACTGCCGCCACACTGAAACTGGTATCGAACGGACAATGTGGGCTTGCCTGTAGTCGTGGACTGGCATACAATGGCAAACGTGGGCGCTCAGATGAAGCTGAGCGTCGCCGCTTTCAGGTGATACGCTGGGCCTCGAGCGCGCGACACGTTGCAGAAAGTGAGGTGCACGTGGACCACGTGGACATAAGCACAAATCACAGCTGGGGGCCAACCAATCCTTGGTCTCGACTCAAGATTCGCCGACCGCAACCTCAAGGTTTCGGAATTTCGGAGCTGTCCGGACTCCGACTCGGCGACGTACGTACAGCGATCCGATTTGAACATCCGAAACTCGGTCGGCGCGGGCGGCACCGGCGTTGCAATGATCATGACGTCACTGCCCACGCCCGCGCCCGCGCCCAGATTAGTGACAGTGGCGGTGACGATTGCACCCTGTGGCATTTGCGGATACCGGTTATGTAACAGCTGTAGTCACGGTGATCGATCTCCATGATTTACATCAACGCCCTTATGGTGCGATCATGGCGCCATGGGCGTGGAGCTTACGGGGCCCGGCGCAAGGTCTCTGGCAAAGCCGTCGTTTTAAGCCTTTAAAATGCGGTTTGCATTCTAGTATAAATGGCCGCGCTAGTCATGACGGTCTAGAATTGCCGCAGCATGCCAACTGCGCATGCTAGCAACGCCAACCCAGGTAGATATCAAACATCACCGGCACCGACTACTGTTCTACTACATGTCTAGATGGATATCTGAGTACACAAGGCAGCCTCGAAACAGTCACACAACTGCAAGAGCAGGCAGCCGAATGGGAAAGTAGATGGACGCGAAGCCACACGCGCGGCCGGTGAAGTAGCCATAGCGATGAAACTAGCCTCCAGTCAACCTCAAGCGCAATGTGCTTGTCACATGCGTGCAACATGTACGTCATTAACTAGCATGCTGATCACCAGATTGTGTTTAGTGGACAGTGTATGCTCACTTTCTACAAGAATCCTCCACAAATAATATGCATGCCAAAGACTGTAAGATGTTAACGGACAGTCTCCCCGTAGCTCATCTACTTGGAATCCAGACTCAGTCTCGATCAAATGAAAAATCGAGACAAAGGACTTCAGGTCTCCATCCAACATTCTCGGTTCTAAGGGTCGATAGCGTCACTGTTTTTGCACGTTGCTTTCTTCCGCTGCACCTTCTCTTGCTCCCGAAACTCGTCAAACGACAGGATTGGGGGCGGCTGCGAAAACTGCTCCGGTCCCGTCCCGATCCCTCTCTGCTTTGACGCATCTACCGAACTCCTGCCCACAACATTTTTCTTAGTACTGCTGCCGTCTATCTTCCGTTTCTGGCCGGACAAAGCCGCTGCCGTTTGCCGCTGGCCTTCAACTCCTGTCACCACTTTGCTAGCGCTCCCACTGGCACTCGCTGCGCCATCGGACGCCTCGAAGAGCGCTCCGAACCGCGCGCACAGTTGTTCCAGGGTCGCGTTCGCGGCCCATCGCATCAGCCCGAGAGCGTGGCTCTTGTACACTTCCCGGCTGCTCTTGCCGCACTTGGCAAAGGACTCGCGCTCCAGTTCCCGGGCCGCGTTACTCAGCGTTTCTCTGCAATGAGACGGACGGTTAAGTCGATGAGGACGATGTTTGGAAGGTACGTGGAACGCCCCTTGTACAATTCCCAGCTGCTCTTGCCGCCCTTGGCAGAGGATTCGTGTTCCAACGCGTGGGCCGCACTGCTCAATCTTTCTGTTCTTTGTTTTGCCAAAAAGTTGAGGAAGTTATGAGACAGTTCAAATAAGTCCGAGGACGGAAATTTGTGGAAGGCTAGAAATAGGCTTTTTGAACTCTTCCCGGCTGCTGTTGCCGCATATGGCAAAGGACTCGCGCTCCAACGCCCGGGCCGGGTTACTCAGCACTTCTTTGCAATGAGACGCAAAGCAGAATCAGTGGTAATGTCGGTTAAAAGGTAGTCGAACGGCCCAGCAGAGGGCTCTGCTAGACTTTTGGGCTGCTCTTGGCGCACTTGTCGAAGGACTTTCGTTCTAACGGATGGGCCGCGCTGGATCTGTAACGAACCTGTCGTGATGTAAAGATTTGTGTAAGGTTTCGAGAAGGCGCTCGAAAACGTTGCCTGTGGTCAGAGAGGGCGTTCTTGACGCATCCGCGCTTGGCGACTCCGGAGTAGATGGTCTGGCTATGCTTGTCGGCTACTACTTCCGCATGCCACGTCTTATGACAGATACGAGCCTGACCTCAAAACGCTGTGACAGTAGACATATGGTACCAGAAACACAACGAGATCTAGCTTTGACACGGGCTCTCACACGTGCTTCATTAAGTACCATCGCTGAAAGCTTCAATGGTCCTTCGGACTACTTTCGGTTGAGGGGAAGGAATGGTCTCAACCGTTAAAGCATGCGTTTCTGTCTGACTAAGGACCGGCAGATGGGCTCTTCGCCCTCCTCAACAACAGATTCGAAGACCGCTTTCTTGCAGGGGAGCCAATTTTTCGGCCGCGTGGCAACATCGTAGACCACAACCTTCTTTGTTACATACTCAGGTTTCCTGGGACGAGCCCTGTTCAACCAAATTGCATAGCGTTCAACAGCCACAGCCGCTCCAATGAACGGGGCGCACGGAGTTTGCGGACTCACTTGGATGTCGACGCTGCCGCCGGGCTCTTCTCCAGCTTCTGCAGCACGTTCTGCCGAATCTGCTCCCGGAGCGCGTCCGTGATGGCGTTCCGGTTGCTCGCCGCCGCGCTCTTGGACTGTCGGGCGGAAACGGAGTCATGTTAGTCGAAGCGCCGGTGATTAGTACAACAACGGGCATTATGAGACGAAATATCATTGGAGCACTTTTGGCGTCCGTCTAACGCCAACCACGCGCACGCACAGACCATCCAAAGCAACAGAGAGGTGGAGACAAAGACGTTGTCCTGAACATTGTGCAGCAACCGCACCATTCTCAACTGGAAAGATCTACGAACTCGCTCGGTAACGTGCATCAAGAGCTAGGTATGCACATCGAGCACCAATTTGCGCCCCGCACGCTCGGTTTCTAAACTGAGCAGACCAATCGGCGGATACTTTCGAGCTTGCCTGGAGAAGTGCCAGGTTGTACGGGTTATTCACACCTCTACCTCAGGCCTTACCTTGAGGCTTTGTCGGTCGTACGCTTCTTCCGCCCGTTCGTACTTGTTGAGGCTCTCTTTGAAGGTGGCTTGCTTTCCCAAAGACTTTGAAACGCGCTGAGCCGCAGCAACTGCCTCCTCGTCTGTCAGAAACAACGAGTGGGCCCTTCAGTCGAGGAACCAAGATTGAAAACCGTTCTCACAAGGATTTTTCACGGAACGCAAGTGGTTCAGATTTCCTGTTGAGTCCAGCGCTCGGGCCATTCATCAGAAACGGCAGTAACTCCATGTTACATGCATCGTCGTATTTAGTGCTGTATTTCACGAGCACGGCGCGCGACTGGTCAACTCCCTCTTGGCAAAGAAACCGCACCTTGTAACCATGGGCTTCGTGCAAACCTTTCTGTATACTACCGGTTAGGATTTGCTCGTAGAAGGGACGGTCTACCTTGACTAAGTGCTAACTATGCTGTGTTCAGCGACGTGGACGCGTCCCAGCTTGCTCTTCTGAGTTCCCAACCACCGATTACCAGATCAACCTTTCCGTCCCGTACTTCTTGGCGACAGATAAAAGTCTGCCGAATTCGTGCCCGCCAATACACAAAAGCGTAAAAGCAATTTTGGAGAGACACCACGCGGCACAGGCTCACCCTCAGAACTTTCAGATACGTCGTCCTCTCCCTCTTTCGGGGCGCCGTCCTCGTCGTCCCGGTTCCAAAACTCGCTGTCCCGGTAGCTCTTGGGGTACTCGTACCCGTCCTCCACGGCCGTGCTGGAAGCCCTGCAAGGGAGACAGATATCCTTTTGTTGTCACGTTTGCCATTTGGATTAAAAGTTAATTGTCCTTTCGCGCAACTCGTACGAAACGAGGGTGTAATAAAACTGCTTGGGGTACTCGTACCCGTCTTCCTCGGCCGTGCTGGAAGCCCTGCAAGGAAGAAAAATTCATTCTCGTCGTTACGCCATTCCTGTAAGAGGTGGATCATTTAAATCGCACGACAGAGAATTTAACAGAGAAGCTCTTGGGGCACTCGTCCCCGTCTTCTCCGGCCGTAATGGAAGCCCTGCAAGGCATACAAGAATCGTGATCGTCATTAAGCTCGCCACTCCTTCAAGAGGTGGTTTCTCACCGCGGATATGGTAAAGGACGAGAGTTTACCAAAAGAGCTCTTTGAATACTTGTATCCGTCTTCCTCGCCCGAGCTGGAAGCCTTGCAAGGCAGGCAAAATCATTCTCGTCGTCACGTTTGCCATCGTTTGAAAGGCACTTTTGTTCAGGAGCGTTTGCATGCAACGAAAGTGGAGGATACCGTAGAAAGAATGAAAGAGCTTTTTGGAATCTCGTAGCTGTCTTCCTCGGCCGTGCTGGAAGCCCTGCGAGGCAAACAATAGTTCTCTTGTCGCTATGTTCGTCGCACCGTTGAAACCACCATAGAAAGTGGACCCAGGAAGATGCGCGCGGAACGAGGGATCCTCATTGCGGAAGAAGAACGAAAGAAAGAGCGGAATGCCTTTGGGAAATGTTTGGTACCCTTGTAAACACAGAGGTAGCCCTGTCAGCTGAGACTCTTCAAAATCATTACGGACAGGCCAGCCCGGATTCCAAAAAGCACAAGCCACTCCAAGCAATAATTCTCGGCTCGTCTCCTTCCAAACCTGATTGGGACTTTATCAAGTATCCGGCGCCGAGCACTTCCTGTGGTCAACCAGCCCACGCAAAGAAGAGCAATGGTGATGAGACCTCACATGTTTCCCCGGTAGTTGCTCGTTCCCGCGGCTCGCTCGCTCATTTTCCGGGCCAGTTGCGCGAGCATGAGGTCCAGCTTCTGGGGGTCCGCACAGGCGTCGCAGCCTTTACCTTCGCACAAGCTGACGTCTACCTGCAGACAAATCAGATCATCTCTATAACTTCACAATTTATACCTTCGCAGAGACTTACGGATCATAGATAACAGCGATCGCCGTCAAGGCGTCCTCTAGCTGTGGTCTTCCTTTCGGGCACGCTTTGCCCGCTAGGATAGGCGAGAGTCTCCAAAGGGAAGTGCTGGCCATAAAATCAGCGCTCCGTGCGAGATACTCCGGATTGCCGGCTAGCTAGCGTCCGGTGTTATCGATTCTTCCTTAGCATCGACTCAAAAGAACTCAATTCTGTGACAGGTGCCAGCAAAAGGATGGGAAATATAATTCTCTGTGCATTGTCTATGAGCGCATGCAGATCAGGAGTATCTTGTGAGATGGACTACACACGCGGCCTCACGTTTTCACCAAAGTAAGCAAGCAGTCTCTTCCGGCGGCAGCCCGCTTCTTGGCAGTACTTGACGACCTGCGAACCATTGAATCGCACATATTTAGAATGTGAAAAGCAGAATGTTTTTCCGAAAAAGCGAGCTCGTAAAGGGCCGCCGGATGCACAAGACGAAACGTCCCTGTCAGATGATTTTTGATCAGTCTTATCGATTGGCAAGGCCTTGCTAACAATCATTCAGGTGGCTCTTGAAGAACGAACTGCAGCAGATTAAAGACAACGCTGCTAGGGTATCAGGGGACCCTATGGCAGCTCTAGAGTCTTGCAGGCAAGGACAAGAGGGATCGCAGACGCGCGCGCTTAAGGTTTTTCAGACATACCAATGCGTTCAACAAAATGAGCACGTCGGTTGCTGCACCTCTTGGAACGCCTCATATGCGTGCTCCGTGTTGGCGGCCTTTGGTCCCTGTTTCTGCTGCATCTTCGCGACCTCCTTTCGAAGAATGAATTGCTGCAGACAGGTGCAGGAGACGGCGTGTTCAGCACAGTACTGCCGACAATTGTGGTCGAGTAAATGGCTTATCAACGATCTGAGGCCTTCCTTTTCTGAGACTCGCCCTAGACCTGAACGACCGAAACTACCTGATCGCCTGCCCGGTAATGCCAAGTGCCCACGTCATGTGCCCACGTCATGAAGACGACGACTGCCTCAAGTGTAGTTTGAATCGATGCCGCGGGACGGACACGGTCTATGTTCTGTGCTTTCGCGTCCTGTGCTGATCCCCTTACGTGCTTTACCGGATTCTCGTATCAACGTATTGAAAGGCAGACTCAAGATGTGAACTTTGACCCTGCAGAACTTCCACCAAAGCCGAGCAGAATTAGTGCGCAAACGCTGATTCTGCTATCATTGTCAGAAGCGAAGACACTGCCAGGCACTTGAAAGCAAAAGCAGATATACTGCCAGCCATTCAGAAAAGAAAGAGACACAACAAGATCGACCGACCGGCCACATTTTGAACAAACAACCGAACAAATGCGTCCCAGACGCCCGTCCTCTTACCATCAGGGACTCGTCCTCGCTTCCGTAATACAGAACGCTTTTTGCGGGCTGCCCGTCACGCCCCGCACGGCCTGACTCTTGGTAGAAGCCTTCGATCGACTTGGGCATGTTGAAGTGAACCACGAGCCGGACGTCCGCTCGGTCGATCCCCATCCTGCAGCGGACGTCCGACAACAGCTTTCGCATTGACTAGCACGAATCAGAACTTAGCTGCGGGCCTTCAGAGTGATGCGTTTCATTGGAGAAACGAAGAAGCTCTAAGTGGTTCTCTGATGCCGTCAGGTGGACCACACGTCAGTCGAAGTCAGAATGCGACCCCGCCTCGATTATTGGCCCTTCGATTGACGGTCCATAATATGCTCAAGCATGCTCACCATTAATCAGAGGGATGATAACCAAACGGATCTCCAGAGACGGTGACGGAAGTTCAGCTTTGCATCCTCGGTTTCCATTAATCAAGTGGTGCATTGAGGCACCTGACCGTACTTGGATCGGCCTCGCAAGGCGGTGAAGCCGACCGGTTTCGTCAAAAGAAATCCTAGTCGAGATCGTGGACTGTTTCGACACGTGTTGCCAGCCGATGGGGCGAGGACATCCCGCCAAGAGTTTCTCAGAAAAGCTGAAGACTGTGCAAGAGGAGCAGGTTCGAACGATTTGTACAGCGACCGAAGCCTTACCCGAAAGCTATAGTGGCTGCAACGACGGGGATCCTCCCGGTGACCCAGTCCTTGAGGGTGCGCGACCGCTCGGCGTCCGGCAAACCGGCATGGTACGCTGTATGCCGTCATAATTTGTTCAGTTAGTACTGCTCAGTACTGAATTAGCAGACACTCTCATATATTGGTTGTTAGAATCGCTTACAGCTACTTCCAGGCAGCCTGCGAGGTCTGCTGGAAGAATGTAATTAGCCAGTCTGGTGGATGTGGTCGTGGATTAGACAGCCTGGTGCTGGATGAACATAGACAAGCAGGTTGTACGGAGGATGCTGTGGGACTACTGAAACCAGAGATCAACAAAATCTTTGTATCGCCATAGATTTGTTGATATTCAACGACTCATAACAAAAAGCAGATCTCTTACGGAACCTTGCATAATGCTCACGTTTACAAGGGATGCCGTTGCTCAACAGCCTAGCCGCGAGCCCGTCGCAGCTGCTGCGCGAGAGGCAGTACACGATCGCGCACTGGCCCGGCTCAGCATTAAGCAGCCGCACGAGGTCCCGGTACGGGTCCTGGCCGGGCAACACGTCCTTGAAGCGCACTGCAAGAGAGAAGTCTTTCAAAACTGAGAGTAACGGCTTGCCAAACCTCAAAGTTACAAGAACGAGGGTACAGAGTCAATAGAGTCGTGCACCGGCCCGGTTTGACGTTCAGCAGCCGCACGAGGTCCTGGTTACGGGTCCTGACCAGGCAGCACGTCCTTGAAGCGCACTGCAAGAGAAGAATTCTCAGCGCTTCGCACGTTTGAGCTCGCCAGGACCACAAACAAACATGAATGAGCGTACAGAATAAGTACGATCGCGCAACGTCGTTCAGCAGCCGCACGAGCTTCTGGAACGCGTCCTGACCAGGAAAGACGTCCTTGAAGCGGACTGCACGGGAAGAGTCCTTGAGGCGTAAAAGTTCAAGCTTGCGAACACCACAAACATGCGTGACAGTATCCGTGTAAAAGCCTCAATATTTGGAACGGACGAACTGAGTATTTGCCGGAGCACCGATTGATCATTCCTGCGAGGGGTAATTGCCGCATGATGTATCGGAAGATGGCTGACTTTTATTGCCTAATAACCAGTTTATGCACTCAGAAACGGTCAAGAGGAGTGCCCTCCCTTTCGTTCGGCCGTTTGATACCTTTCAAACTGACATCCAACAGTTCTATGAAGCAGAGAACTCGTTTGACAAGTCAAGCCATGCTTAAGAGCGGACGAGTACCTACACTGGAGCACCCAAGTCTTCGTACGAAGCTGCTAAAGATTGGTCCAAAACGTCTTCTTTGAAGCGCGCGACTTCGCTCACCTTCGTAGCGGATGTTCGGTCGGTTGAAAGAAGCTTGAAAAATGAGCGGCCGTTCCAAGTTGAGCGAGCGCAGGATGTCTTCTTGAACTCTGGACACAGTGATCAAATTGTTCCATTCAACCGGGATTCGTAGTTCATGCATGCGGTTCGTACATCATTTGTACATCGTCTAAAAATTGGGTAAACACGTTAGAACACCCAACCTCTGTCGAAGAAAAGCATATCTTGAATGGAAGCCTCAACCGAAACTGTATCAAGACATCTCTCAAGCTAGCCCGAACTGACGTGACACGGACCAAATCTCAAGACTGAGCTCTTTCAGGCAGGGTCCAGCTGAGCCGAATCTAGTCGAATTAGACTAAGGAAGTCTCTGAGTGTACGTCGCTCGCAATCCAGTGCCGTACGCACGTCTTCTTTGCGGTGGCCGTTAGGGCCATAACTGGCAATCCGTCCAGAAACACTGACTACTCAAGCAGCAACACATCCCCAGAAACCAGGATTCAAAATCAACGCATTGCGTACTCCTGCTTGAGGAAGGTTCAATACTCTCGTAAATTGCGTCAAGCTAAGTCTTTCTGAGAACTTACGTCTTGTTTGCAGTGGCCGTTAGGGCCATGACTGGCACACCTGGGAGCTGTTCTTTGAGTGCGGCAAGGCGCCCGTAGCTTGGCCGGAAGTCGTGGCCCCAGGCAGAGATGCAATGACTCTCGTCAATGGCAATCAAACTGAGCAGGCCTCTCCCGTGCAGTTTCCTGAGCTTGGCCATGAAGCCCTTGGTTGCGATCAGCTCGGGGGTGACATAGAGAAGCTTGGTTTCTGGTCGCCCGGATGCCAGGTCGTCGTAGATCTGGAGAACAGGATATCTGATTCTCTTTGCAGACAAGAAGGTAGGAGATGTGAGTCTCTTGTGCCAGGATGAGAAGGTCTGGACGATTGAAATGCTTATATCCGTGATCCAAATCATGTCTGCCAAGCTTGCTGGTCAAAAGAATGGGTTTTACGAGTCAATACCACCTGGAGCGGTCTCCTGTGCTGATTCGAATCGACCCTGTCAAAGCTGGGAGGTTCAGGTCCTGAAGCGAACCTCTCAGAAGCTAAGACAGCTGTCTCTCCAGTAGCCAGAGTCAAGTTGAAAAGTCTCAGGCTCACCTCCGCTTTCAATGACGTCTTCTGAGTGGAAGAGAGGAACTCTGCTGGGACGTTCTTCCTCTTCAAGGCAGCAACTTGATCCTCCTGCAATTGCAGATACATTGAGATTCGAGCTCGTCAACATGAGCTCATCAACAAGGAATCCCTTGCTTCCTATCTATTTTCACACTCGTGTACTCACAGATCCGCCTCTCCCTCTCTCTGCACTGGAATCTACACACCAAAACTCCCGACAGAAAAGTTGCACTCATGCCCTGCGCCTTCGATGAAGGCTACACTTTAATCATGAATAGCCAGTCAGGTTATGCAACTGAATCTAAAGAGGTGCTCTTACCATGAGGGCTATAAGTGGTGAAACCACCAGTGCAAGGCCTCTTCCACAAAGTGCTGGACATTGATAGCACACCTGGGAAGCACAACCATCATCACCTTGGTCAACCATAATATGTCTAGTCTCATCAATCAGTGTTTGCATTGAGAAACAATTGGAGGCAAACAAACAACCCACTTGCTATCACAGATGATCACACACTGTTCCAAGACAAGTTTCAGAACAAGCGCTGGCGGTGAACATCTGAAGACAGGGGGGTAGGCCACTCACAGACTTGCCTCCACCTGCGGCAGCAAATAAAATTCTCAGCATTGCGGTATCGAACAAGCAATAAGAATGATGATGTGGATGCGATTGAAGAAGAGAAGCAAAGCTGAGACTGCACCACCTTCTCACTGCAATTCTCTGAGAAGAGTCTTTCACAAGGTCTCTGGAGATGACTGGATTCATTGTCTCTTAGTGACCAATCAAGTCTAGAAAGGGGGATCGCTTGCAGGAGGTTGCAACAATCACACCTTTGAACCAATCCACTTGCTTTAGATACCATGCACATCACATATTCTATGAGGGGACCAACCTGTTGGCATGAGGACAAAGCAGTCCCGGCCATTGAGCGCCGCCAAAACAGCTCTTTCTTGCTGGCCCCTGAAGTGGGCGTGTCCAAAGAATCGTTGCAGCACTGAACGAGCTTGCTCTACTTTCAGAGACCCTGACTGGCCCTGCTTGCCTCCTTCAACAGGCAGACTGCTGTCGCCAGGTCTTTCTGGCACCCTCTGGCGCATGAATGACAGCGCAGCCTTCATTGTGTGCTTACGGATGCCCCCACGTATCCCTTAGCCGCTTTCCTTCCCAGATGCAGATGGAAGGACCGCCAAATGCAGCTCAGAGAAGCACCACCACCTGTCGATCATCAAAGCGCCTGAAGCCCGCTGTGCAATTCGTGCCAGCTCCCAGGTGCTTCCCTTGGCTTTCCAGCTAAGCAACTCTCGAAAGTGTTCCACTGTTCTGTGTGAGCTGAGCTGAAATGAGCCACCTTCCTGAAAGAGGCTTCGAGCAGCAAATCGTAAAAAGGGCTGCAGAGAAGCAACTCATATGAGCTCATCCTAGGCACTTGCAGAAGTTCGTATACGACAGATCAGGTACGGTATACGGTCAGGCACTAGGACTCCGCTTTACTCAAAATTGACCATTCCGGTCATCATAAGCGCATTTTACTTACTCTTCTAGAAATCCGACGTCTTGATCAGCTCCAGCTGCGCCAATGCTGTATCAATGCATGCACAGATGGCAATGCTGTCAACAAAACTTCAAAGCAAAGGCGTGATCCTTTCATCCACCATGACTTGCGCACCAGCGTTGGGAAAGCGCCAGTGACCTCAGAGCAGTAGGGGCAGAGATCCGTCTGGCGATCATGCATCTGCTCGGTGGTGCGCTCAATCGCGCCCTGGCCCTCCAAGCCAATCACAGGTGGAATGCTGTCGCGGCAGGTGAAGCCAGCCAATCTTTTAGGACCTTGCTGCATGCAAACCCGTTTTCTTCTCTTTCAAATGGAAGTGGCGGCAAGCAGATCGCAGCGGTGGTTAAACGGTTGGACATCTCAGCACACGCAGGGGCGGGACAGACTTCCGCAAAAAGCAGATGGGTCGGTCCAGCCAGTCCTGAGGTGGTGCAACTTTTTCGGGGTCTCTTCAGCTCAGCGCTTAAGAGGAGGGCAACAACGCAGTTCTCACCAATAGTATCAGCTCCGATCGAGAGGGTCACTAACCTATCACGGGGGGTAGCTCAACCATGGCATCTGCAGTCTTTCAAAAGCAGCGCTTTCAAATCAGGTCCTGGCACAAGGCAACAATACAGGGGCTTGGTTACACAGGTCACTCCCGTGACTTCACTAGCTCGGCCAACGAGGGGACGAAACGTGCGGCGTTTAGGAGTATTGATCGGCGTCTCGGCTGTCGGGGGCTTGCTCTGGGCGGTAGCAGGAAACGATGTGGAGCAGGTTGAGAGGCGCTTCAAGATGCTGTATGTGGTTCCGACCAGGCTGGCTAGGAACATAGCGGTGGTCTCCACTATTGTTACAGGTGAGACCTGCGATTCTCCACTCCTGGCTTAAAATGATTCTTTGGCGTCTATCTTCTGATCCCCTTTTACACCAAAGTCAGATGTCTGCCTACCAGAAGTTGCTGATTTGGGACTTTGGGGTATGGTTGCTGCCAGAATCTCGAGAATTGGTGCTTCACACGAACATTCGGGACGAGGGGGTGAATTCTACCCCCCTGTACCCTGTACCCTGTACCCTGTACTCTGGTATCTGTGAAACCTGCCAAACAGGCATATTCTCCTTTCTCTTCCCTTCAATGCTCAAGGGCTGTCTGCTTAGTGTTGCCTCCCAATTTCTCTGCTTTGATTGCCTCCCAACCTCATGCACATGGACGCAATAAGTTTTGACGCATCGTCATTTCGCTGTCAGATTACCTGGTGTCCTTGTACAACGTACCCGAGGGGCCAGCCAGGGAAAGAATCAAGCACGAGTGCCACGAGCGCTGTGCAGACCGCCTTCAAAAGCTCTTCTTCAAGAACGGTGGTACCTATATCAAACTTGGACAACACGTTGGCCAACTGGTAAGCAATCTGTCAAGCCCCCATCGCCAGGGCTTATATATTGCTCTTTCAAAAGAACAGGACTTTCCTGATACTAAAGACGAGATACCAAAGACAAGAGATCTGTTCTGGAAGCACGTCAGATCTGAGCAAGACAGAGAAGTAACAGGGTGGCAAAGTTTTGACGGCCACAGGTCGTGATCTCCAGTCATGCTTAGAGAGTCTGGTGATGTGTCTGGTGTAGGCTCTTTGCAGGATGCTCTGAATATTCATGATTGTTAAAAAAGTACAAGTGTTTATCATTGATATCCCGTCTTCCTTCAAGAAATGTGTAAGAAAAGGAGTCTGGCCATGTACCTACCGGTACTTCGATCTGCAATTCCGCAATCTGCCCCCCATAGTGAGGAACTTGTATCTGTAAGTCGCAGGTACTTTGACTAGCTTGATTACTTTGAACAGCGAAGGTTGGGGCCGTTGAGTCGTCAATCAGCATGAGGACACTTATGCTCTCAAGCGACAAATAGGGTCGTTTCGATTCTGCAGGACTACTTGCTTCCGGAAGAGTATGTCCGCATCATGCGAGAGTCGATGCTCGACAAGTGCCCTGTGTCTACGTACGAGCAGATCAGCGCGGTAATAGAGCGAGAGCTTGGGTTGCCTCCAGAGCAGGTAGGCTGCGTTTTCACGCTTGAGTGAGAGAGTCTGGGTTCTCAAGACTCTGACCCTTCTTTGCACTAGGTGCCTACATAGGAATCGCTTCCGAAAAGCTCCATATAATGTGGGCCTGCTCCATGCGAATCCGGTATTCGATCTTGGCATGATGCAGCAGTCGGTTGATCTGTTCTCTCCCATCAAAAAGAGTTCCATCGATTCAATTCGAGAAAGTCCCCTCGAAGTGGTTGCTGCTTGTAGGGTGTATGAATCGTGTCCTCCGCGTCTGGTTTCCCTAAGACAACAGCTACTTCGCTTGATTGGATGCCTGTTCCGCTCATCTTTTCACTTAAGCGCTTCCTTTCGTGCAGGCGTTTGCGGAGTTTGCCCCCGTCCCTCTCGCCAGCGCTTCTTTAGCACAGGTCCACAAGGCTAAGACGCACGATGGCCGACAGGTGGCTGTAAAGGTGAGCAGAATGCAGAATGAAGTCACAAGAGATTGATCATTGCGTTGAAATGCGAGGTTTGCTTGTATACGCTGGCAACTAAACACCCCGACGTCGACAGGCAGTTAAAAGCACCAGTAAACCGCCCTAGCTTTTGGCTTGCTGGAAGACATTTTCAAATGTTGGACGTGTTGTATCGTTGTGGTCCATCGGATTCCAACCCTCATATCTGATGACTTTAAAGCGGCCATCTGCTGTGTCGAGATTGAAGGTAGAAAATGGAGAGGCACGTACCTCATGTAATGTTTTTCGACTGGGAGCATTTCGCACCTCTTCGTGCATCTTGTTCCTGGCAGCGCAGGCTGCATATCCATTTCCGCGGCTCACTCACGTTAGACACGTGGAACGTTTCTGCAGATCCAGCACACCCATTTAACGGACACAGCGTCAGCGGACACTGCGACCGTCGCATTCTTTGTGAGGGCTGTCAAGTGGGCCTTCCCAGATTACGACTACAGGTAAGAATGTCAAAATCTCGAGTCTTGTCTTTATTACATTCTAGACGAAGCCATCTAGCCTACGTTAGTCGATCGGGCTTGGTGTTGCTCGTCGGTGTAGACTTGAAAACGGATAGGTTCTACAAAGGACCTGTCAGGTTTGACGATTGTTTCGATTGACAAGGTCTGGTGTCTTGAGCGCAGTTGCTGAGACGCGAAGTTGCTACATAACCACGTGTTCCAAACAAAGTTCTCACACAACTTTTTCGTAACCAACTTTTTTGAAGCCCAACCGCAGCTGGTTAGTTGCAGAGCTCCAGGAGTCTCCCCCGCTACCTCGACTCTATTCACGAGGGCCAAAACGCGGAGGCGTGTGCGCGCTCTTTCGAAGCTAATTTCCGATCCCGAAGCTAACCAACTTTTCTGAACCCTAACCGCAGCTGGTTAGTCGCGGAGCTCCAAGAGTCCCTCCCCCGCGAGCTCGACTTCGTCCACGAGGGCCAGAACGCAGAGGCGTGCGCACGCAACTTCAAAAGCAAGTCCCCGCACCTCGCGCCGTACGTCAAGATCCCGGAGATCGACTGGAGCCTGACCTCGACCAAAGTATTGACCATGGAGTTCATGGACGGGGTCGGGGTGACGGACGTGGCAAAGCAGAAGGAGCTGGGGATTCGGACGGCGGACGTGGCACATCTGGTGAGATGTCCGAGGTTCCTTTGTAGCAGCACTCTCTTTGAAGAATGTTTCCAGACACTGCTTTGGACGTTGACCCGACACGGAGCGTCACAAAGTTGCGTTGGGAGGCTGTTTGAAACTTGAGCCAAAGGCACGGTCGAATGTCAAGGGACTCCAGTTTTGAGACGGGTCCCTCTTTTCACTTCTTTAACACGACAGAACAGCGAGCATCACTTATTGATCATGGGCAAGGTATCCATAAGTATGCCACGAGTCGACTTGTATCTGAACGCATCAGCCACGTGTCAGCTTATCTCTGTTTGGGCTTTCGCTCCTCCGCAGGTCAGTGACGTTTTCGCCGCAATGATCTTCCACCACGGCTTCATCCACTGCGACCCACACGGAGGGAACATGCTCGTGACAACCGCGGATCAGAATGGGTCCAGGCGGCTCGGTAAGCTGCCCCGAAGTTTACCATAATATCCCTTGAGCATTTAAGCAGGTGCAGGCAAGCGACTTTCAACATTCTCACCTTGGTAGGGTGATTCAATAAAATTTTGATTCAGAGCCTTGTCTTTTGGTGGATTGATGGTGCGCGATTGAGCAAATAGGCCGTTTCTCTTCCACAAGTTCCTGGAAGTGACTGAAGGGCGCCCAACTTGGGAAGAGCTCCGTTGCAAAACATTACGTATCTGTGCGACCGAATTTTTTTGAATTATCTACACCCTACAGAATTGCTTCAACGCTGACTTAGAGTCCTGGGAAGGAACCGAAGCCGCCTAACTTAAGAATGGCCCTAGTGCAACTCAAGTTCTTTCCGCGCAACCGAGGACTTTGACGGATTCATGCGCTCTAATGTTCCGCTCCATTTGCAGGCAAGGCGAGACCTCAGTTGGTGCTGCTGGATCACGGTCTGTACCGGAGTCTCGACAACAACTTGAGGTCAAATTATGCGGCGCTTTGGAAGGTGGGTTACGACTTGGTTCAGTGCTCCGCCTGTCTTTAGAAAGTTTTTCAAGCACAGCGGAGACACTTGGAACGTTAGGAGTTGAGGATTCTGTAAGCTCAATTGCCGAAGCATCTTGGCACAATGTGATTGGTCTTCGTCCGTCGGCCAGGATGGCCCGAATTTCCAGACGCGTAGACGAACCTTTTGTTACTTCCCTTCCGTTATCGTGGTAGCACAAGTTTCTTGCGTCAACTTTCGTAACAGGGCTTTGACCCATCAATTTTGGGTTCTAAAAACCAGGAGACGTTTTTGGTCAAGGCTAGTGGTGTCCCCCTCATGCTGTGTGCTTGCAGTTGATCCGCTGTAGATAAACCACGTAGACCTTAGACATCGTTGAGCAGTAGCATCCTTGGTGACGTCACCTTGACGAACTTGAAGAGGGACACCGTTTCTGAGGGTCCGCTATTTTGCCACACCCTAACCGCATTGGCCGACAGACTCATTACGTGATTCCGCTGTGCAGGCTCTTGTGCTTGGAGAGGAGACCGGAATTCGGCGGTACAGCACGGCCATCGCCGGTGAGGACATGTACATTCTCTTCGCGAGCGTGCTCACGATGCGCCCCTGGGACCAGGTCACCAACCAGCGGTTAGACCACCTGGTTATGCCAGATGACCCGGAGGAGCGCCTCAAGTTGCAGGTACGTCCGTGAGGTCGCTGAGTGGTCGGAGTGATCACAGGAAGGCTTCTCATATTGTGGAATATTGGCAAGGCTGGAGTAGGGCCGTCAACATCAAATTATGTGATTCGAGCGTAACCGTTAACTTCATTCCAGCGTGCTTGCATTTCTGCGGATCATCGTAGAATTGTCTATTCCACTGTGAGCTTGTTCTAAGTTCGCCAAGGTTATAAAGTAGAACCTCGGGCCGCGCTTACCAGCTTTTCACGGTCGTCAATCTCTACATTCGGGATTTGCCAGACTCGCCAAGATACAAACGATCTTCGCTCGAATCTCTGCACGTCCTCTTATCTTTGCTCTGCTCGCAGGGGTATGCCGCCCAGTTCATGAAGGAGACCACCGCTCTGCTGGCACGCCTGCCGAGAGTAGTGCTGCTCCTCCTGAAAACGAACGACTGCTTGCGGTCCGTGGACCTCGCATTGGGCACCCCGGTTAACTCATTTGTGACCACGGCGCGCGAGTGCACCCGTGCCCTGTCGCAAATTCGATACGAGCAGAACCCAGGTATAGGGTCGTTAGCGAGGGGGGCGATAGATAAGGTGCGGGTTGAGGTAAGGGTGCTGCTGATGCAAACGCTCGCGCTGTACGAAAAGGTGCGGGCGAGCATGGTATCCTGGGGGTCATTGTTTGGAAATAAACGAACGCGAGCAGGTGACGTGGTAGACGAGGCGCCGTTAGCATTGGCAATTCCGAGGGGTTTGCCGGCGTGAATATTGCCTTGAATGGTTGCATTTGGCTCCATGGCATCTAACTTGTGTCGAATGAATCAGATGTTCCGCGTAACCATCAGATCATCAGTATCAAATGCAGCGACTCGAGGATCATCGGACTGGTAATCATCGAATTTGTCCGTCATGACGTTCTGCAAAATCAGGCCGGACGCATCGTATGTCAGTGGAATTAATGCGGTTTCGGGCTTACGTCAACTTGAACTCGCAAGGCCGCGCCACTTCGTCACTGACAAATGCTCCATTCTTGCCTACTTAAGTGGCGCGCAGCTATTGAGCTTTTGCATGCTAAGAACGACTTCATGCCACACACACTCGTGCTTTAACAATGCAATTTTAGTGCCAGGGCGGCCCGGCCGTGACCCATGCCAGGCACGTAGTACTGTGATCCGGGCTCAGCGCTACTGTTTAGCTCGAGCCTGTGGCCAATTTCGTAACATGAGCAAGTCATACGTGCTATGATATCATACTATAGCTGCGCGGCAAACGTCACATGGATGTCCACTTCGCTAGCTCATTTTCGAAACGGATCCACAGGGTACGTCGCGCGTCCGGTCACTTACCATCGCGAAATCTAATAATTGCCAGCTAGCTGACGTGCGTGATGTTTTCGAGTTTGAACCGCAATCAGTAGGCGCAGGCCCGCATGACGAAATGACACTGCATCAGCTCTCTCGCAAACAGATTCTACTGCGATGCGATTGTGAGACAAGGCAGGCCGTCTTTGTAGAGCTTTACCTGCCGCCGATGCGCTTGTGAGTCAACGCAGGCGTCTTTGTAGCGCGATGAAGCCCTCATTGCATTGACTCGGGCGTAACGACACTGACAATTGAGGCTGAGCTAGGCAATCAATTGATCCTGTACGAATGAAGACAAACTGTGCTGATTATCGAACTGGCCGCCCACATGCTGGCACCATCATGCTGCATCAATGGAAGCGCACATCTTTTCTTTAGTCGATCATTGAAAACAAATATATTTTGGACAGCAAGATCCGGATCCTTCCCGCTAGCTAGCTAGCTACACACCTGCTTCTTAAACACATGTCTCACAGGTGACCCTGACTTCGCAGTAAGAGGCTTTGGCGCAACTCATGTACACATTCACAAGAGCTAATTGAATGTAGAGCCACTGAAGAAGCTTTCGTACATGTATGTTGCCCGCTCAAATCAAGCTTAATGTCATGTGTAGATGTTCAAAGCGTACACAAGTTTACTTCCTCTCCTATCTGTATTTTCGCCAAATACTTTCAATTTGGGCTCTCAAAAGGACGTACTGCCTCAGGACGTCTGGATGGACGACCACCCCTTTGAGCATTGTCGACATCCGCCCACCAGGCTTTCGACCCAAGAACTTGTGTCTGCATCTGACGTCGCGTCCAGCAGCTTCGCATCTCCGACGTGGGCGCTCCGCCCGTAGGTTGAGAAAGTTATCTTCATATCGCGAGCAATGACAGATTGTTCCCTCCTCACTACGTATGAAGCTGCCACGTGTTGCTTTGCCGACTGCGCCTCCAACCAGTCTTTCCAGGTGCAAGGCTGCCCTTGCGCAGTCAGGAACTGAACGATCAGCTCACCGCCATGCGAGCGGCCGAGCGTAGATACGTATAGGACAAGGGAACGTGTGAGATGAATGACGCAATGAAAGGCCTGATGGGACTCGATCAAGCCACAGTGCTGAGAGGAGTAAAAAGTCAAGGTGACCTGCTTGTCGTGACCAGCCAATCTGAAGGTTTTTGCTGGGCTTTCCGACCAGGGCTGCTCGCAAAAAAGCGCCGTCCCTGCTTCCGGGGCGCCGCTGGCGGCCATCTCTGTCGTTTTGCGCCTGAGTTTTTCGAGTCGCCGAAGTGTTACCTACAAGTCTCTTTATCCTCGAGCCGTCACTTCAACAGCGAAGGTCTGCAGGTCATCATGTGTCGACATGGCGTAGCCAGCACGCTCGGTGGCTGAGGCGCTAGGTGCTTCATCCTAGAATACTGTCGAAGCGTTTTGCACCGCTAAAGAAAAGATTACCCTTCGACGACAAGTGACGAACGGCCGAATGCATGCTTATTCTCGTACGATGCACTGCCTACATACATGGAATGTAGCTTCAACAATGATTGCGCAGATGAAAGTGGTAATCTCTGATTTGATTTGACAGCATGTGATTCGAGGGATAGGCTGTCAGAGGCGTAGTGTCTTGCTGTTGCTATATTTGTTTTTTGCATGCACACGCCCGTGAACGATCCCATCACGCGCTGCAAAGTGAGCTGACGTGTCGGACCCGAGCGGACCCCGGAAGCGCGGCCGCGCTCACGGGCCGCGTCTGAACTTCGCGGCCGCGCCCGCGCCCAGAGTGCCGGCCGCGCAGCCAGGATGCGCTCAACCGGCTCAAGCCCAACAAGCCTCTCTGGAGGTGTGCGGGGAGCGAGGAGAGATTTTTCTTGCGTATTCACAGCCTAATCTTTGAGAGGAAAGCGGTAAGACCGGCAGATTTGGAAGAGACCAGAATCCAAAAAACTTGAGGCGAAGCGGCGAGTGTGCAACGGTGGTTGACACGACGTATGATACATGATAGAGCTTGTAAAGCGGCCTCTTCAACCTTCATCACTCAGCTTAACCATTTGCTTTCAGTCGTCTCAGATTCGGAGTTTCTTTTGGCTACCTTCGACGCGGGACCCTGAAGGCATCTGCGGTGTACTTGGTGCCTACGTTTCCTCATCTTCCAAAATTTGACGCATGTGCATGACCAGATATTGTTTTGTTTTATAATACGAATACGGACTGCAAGTTGCGGTTAACGCCGGTAAGGAGCACATGACATCCATCCGCATGTCGGCTTCCGAAGCTAAGTTGCGTCGGCGCAGGGTCACAGTTGACTTGCAAGCATTGAAGCAACTTTTCAAGGCTCAAGATATTGGAGGGCAGGTTCATTCGAAATTATCGTCTATCATGAACCAACAGGGAAAGTTAGTTGCAGTAAATTTTAACCTAGTCGCTCTAAGCTCAGTCTTCATAACGAGCTTCGACTTCCACTACGAGGCTGTGCGGCGCTCGAGCCAAGGGCTCGCTGACCAGCTCGTGAATGTCGTAACCCCAGCACACCCAGCCATAACTTATGGACGCCTCCTGTCCAGCAGGAAACAAGACGGGCGTTCGCCCCTCCTGTACAATCTCTTGATCACGCAAGAGGACTCGCAACGTCAAGAGGACCCGGATCGACTTGATATCCTCCGCTTTTGGTGCGCTGCTTGGAACGACCACCGACCATACATTGATGCCCGTACTAGTTACTTCGACCGCCCACCATCGATCTTGAGGACCTGAGAAACGCAACTGCTGATTGGGTTGACCGCTTCTCCAGCCCTTTGTCACCGCTACGAATGTGCATCGCGCTTTGAACCCCTTGCAATCTCGAGTTTTTGTGACGGTTACTCCCGGAATCAAAGCCTCAAGGCCTCTGACCAATCGCTGAAGGTTCCAGTACCGCGCTTGCGCCAGCAGCAGCGGATCCCATTCCGCCGGAACTGCTCCCGTCGCCAGGTGCTCGAGAACGGCAGCCCACCGCTCGGGGTGGCACGTGACCAGCGCGCGCCCCTTTTCATCGCGCGCGTAGTCCCAGTTTCCGCCGTACATCTTGTACAGGAGAGAATCCCGATCAGACTCGAGGAAGCTGAACGGAACGGAACCCGTTTGCCCGTTGCACGCGAGCACGTAATGAAAGCGCTCGCGCTCCTTTGCGCACCGCGCTCTCGTTTCGCGCGTGTCCCTCAAAGTGATCTGAAAGGCGGCGATTGTCACCTCGCTCTCATTCTCCTTCTCTTCCATAGCCTTTTGCAGTTCCTCCAATCTCCTCTCAAGTACAACGGTCTCTCGCCGCTTCGCTGTCGTGTCCGCTTGCGCCTTTGAAACTTCAACGCGCAGCGCAGCAACCCGCACGTTCAGTTCGTCGTTCTCCGAGAGCGCGACCGCTGTTGCAGCGTCGGCGGCCGCCGTTGCGTCGCGCGCGGCCGCCTCTGCCTTCTCTGCGCGCGCGTTGTCTACCGCCACGGCCGCGCCAAGCGCGCTCGCAAAAATCCAGAGGGCCTCCGCTCCAGCTGTTGCGGCCTCCCTTTTTGTCGCAGCCTTGGCGGCAGACGCATGCTCCTCGCTTTCATTGCCACCCATTCCAACTTCCATAGTGGAAGGCTGTCCAGAATATGAGGCAGCAAAGGGCGTGAAAAGTTGTGCCACTTGCAACTGCCAGCAATTCCCTCCTGAGATTATAATCTGAAAATGGAACAAGAGAGCACACTAGGCCGTCACTGCAATCTGCAAAGAAGATTGAAACTATGCTGAGATGAATAATCAATCATGTCCTTTACGATTCATCATGTTCATAAGCAAACATGAGATGGTCTTGCAGTTCCAGATCATCGTTATCTTTGATGATCAAACACTTTGAAATCTTTCTGAAGCAGGTGACAAAACCTTTTCAACTCTTCAAAACCCTCGCACTCCGGCCACTCTTGGTTGTACCGCCTCTTTGGCATTACTTCACTCTGTCAAGTATGTCGAGGACCAAGAAATTCTATCCATCGTTTCCTTCTTACGAGATGCATAATTCCGATCCCTTTTGAACAAAACACTTTACAAGACGCTCAGCCGGATCTCAAAGGGTTTCAAAAGAAGAGTCTCGCACGAGGCTTACCAAATTGTGGTGTAGCGGCTCCGCTCATCCCTTTTATGGACTGTCTCAGGAGTCTTGTCTGTTCAGATCACAAAGCCTCCCATCTTGCGCAGACTGACTGAGCTCAGTAAAACGTTTGTCTGCGGAAACTTCGCCAAGCCGCTGAGCAATACGGACTTGCGCTAACGTCTCAATACAGAACACGTGAGGGCCCTAGGAAATTTCAGACTGCCCCAATCAAGAACTAAGATTCGATTCCGTTCCGTCCAGTGCGACAATATCTGCGGAACGTTTTCGATTAGACACGCCCGGCCAGCGGAACGCTGCAATATTCGAACAACCTGTGACACTTATTTCAATGGGGTGATTGCGACGACAATTGTTGGACGCCTGCTGCCGTAAGAAAAGTAACGTGCCCAGTCGCAGGAGACTAGGTGTTAGGGTCACGGATGGAGCACTGCGAAGCACGAACTAGAAAGTTACTGGTTGATGCTTGCATCGATCCATCGATCCACCGTTCTTTGCACATAAGTCCTTCAAGTTTGCAGTCTGTGATGCTCCTTTGATATATACAATATGTCCACACACCAATTAGTGAAGTTGCGGGGAGCATATGAAGGTTTTAAACAAAGCCGTTAAAGTGCTTGGTGACTAGGTAGAATGATCATTTCTAGTAGCTCGGGGTCTCAGGTTGTTTGGATAACATCTTCGAATCTTAGCTGGTGTTGTATGAACCTGTCAATACATAACAATGATCAGTTTTGTTTTCGGGAATTGGATCAGTTTGTTGGATACAAAAACACGCCGGCGATCAACGTACAGAGCAGGTACGTCTTATATCGGTTTCGCAACGTAAACCTAGTAGCTACCGAGTCATGCACAAATCATTGAAAGTACTGTCCAGCTGCCACTATACAGTGGTTCAACTGTTGATTGCCATGGGTAGTCGAATTAAAGAAGCGACATGCAGTGGTCAATTGCCGATCCATGACCGTCTATTGAGAATTAAGCTCCAGTCTAACACTGCCCGAACTGCAAGAACATGCCGTCATGGCCGCAGGCATGATTGGTTTTCTCGAGTTATGAGTTGCTTGCATGTAGGAACTTTACTTAAGCCATGGAGCATGGATTGCAATTTGTAAATTATCAGCTAAAACTGAAGTCAATAGTCGTATATCCATTTGCATATATGCACTGGGTACAATTGCAACCTGGCGGCATCGCATTTGAGGGCAGATTCAATATAACTGCAGGGCCGTTTCTTATCCGTCTTGACCAAAAAGGCCGACGGTCCACAAAGTGACATACGCACGTGATGTGTCTGCTTGACAGATCGATAAACGCGTGCACCGAGTCTTTAACCGAAAGGGATTGTGACTGAAAAAGTACTGCCCCATCCAATACGACCATTCGACAGATTGACTTGCTCAGCTTGCCGTATCAATGACAAACTGCACCCCGTCTTCTCGGCTGAAGACGTGGGTATTATGATCCGTCACCTGCAAGAAAAAGTACGACTTTCAGTCAAACTTTCCCAATCCATTCAAACTCGATTGAACCACAACAGAACCCCTAAACCTATCATGCCAACGGCCTACTAAGAGGTCCGACGTCGAGGCGGTGAAGTCGAGCGCTCCATTGGTTATAAAAAACGTACGACAGGAGCTAAGCACTTACTAAACTACGGTGGCTTCAAGAATAAGAACCCACACCTTTCTCATCACTATCGAATCCCCTGGACATGAACAAACCCAAGTAGACGTCACAACGACACTGCGAGTCACATAGCAAGCCCCCAAGGCTGACGTTGGTTTCCCAGCGTGGTTAGCAAAAAACAGCCTGTAAATCACCGGCTACCAACTGCGACAGCTTGGTCGACCTCATTGCCTCATGGTCATGCTGAGCCGGGTAAACTAAGCGAACACAAAACGGACCTGAATATGTCATATGCGATGACTGGCCAAACTCCATGGCAACAGGCAACTCGAAAGTCCTTCTTGTATGTAAAAAAGACGTCGAAGTAATCATACGCGTTTGGAAAGCCCTCCTGCTCCGACAAAGATGAACGCCGCGAGAGAAGGCTTGATAAGGAGAGTGCCGGGGATCAATCTGGATCGTACCGACGCACTTGAGGCGACGTTAATCGGTTCACCATACTCACATTTGTGTCTGTATGCTCCAGGTTGTAGAAGTCCATCTGAGGATCCTCAAACAGCGGGCCGGCATGCCAAGTGCCTGCATCAAGAACCAAATTGAAACGTCCGTTGGTGTGACAAGTTGAGACCGAAACACCAAGTTCAACGGGTGAGTTTGTGCGTGGACACCTGTGATTTCGTAAGCAGCTTTTCACATCTTCGCTTTTCCTCTGAGGTCTCTAGGGCCAAGGACATATACGAAGAATCTCTTTGCTGCGTGTGTACCCCAACCGCACATGTTGCTACGGATTGCTTCGTCTCCGCAGCAAGAAAACAACAAGCACAAGGTGCCATATGAACGCGTAGGCAGATTGGCCAAGTCGGCACCTTCGGCGGTCTTGATTCCCATCGGTTCGGATCCAAGAGAGACACCCGCGACCTCACCTTTGTTCAGTTTCAGGAACGTAGGCCCTTCGACCTTGAAAACGCGGACGTCAGAGATTGCTGGTGGGGCCCACGGCAGGCGGCCATCATCTCCAGGGGCATCCGACAGGAGGCTGCCAAAGCGTGGCACAGCTTTAGTTAGATGCTTTTAGTTAGTACTTCTTTTCCACATACCATTGTCTTATTACTTGGAGAAAGGGGTGCGAGCAACCGATCTGAAGAAGGAATCTGTAAACATGAGACGAGGCAAACCTTCACCTTCTCGATGTGTCCGTCAGTCTTGCTCTATCCCTCCCTTTCTGTATCCTCAAGGGTCTAAGAAGCCTTAGGACATGAAGACGAGGCTGCCAACGAAGCAAAGATGACTGTGTTTGCACAACCACTGTTCATTTATTGTTCTACACTAGACGGAGCCTCCCCTGAAAAGATTCGTCCAGGCTCAAAAGTTTATGGGGAAGGAAAGAGAATCGCCCCTCACGCAACAAGGTCAAAGCTCAATTGGTACACTGATTGGATCCCTCAAGTCAGCCTCGTACTGGAGAAACCAGGAATCTGAGATTTACGCGTCTCTAGGTCGAGTCCTTGCATGTCATTAGCACACACTGAGTTTGCTCAAATCTGATGGAGATGGCATCACTCTTAACTTTGTTATTTAAGTTGGGACTTTTGGGTGCATTGGTTTGCAGGAGGGTTAGCAGAGTCCAAGGTAACCGGGGGCACGACTGTTTCTCACGCAGAGGTGAGCAGGAAAGATATCAACAGGTGTGAATGAGATCTGGCTGGGGGCTTCCAATCACCTTGGAGCAGCTGAAGGAGGCGACAGAATACACTTAGACTTGCTGGAGGTGTTATTAATTAAGACATTTCAAGGATTACAAGTCTTCGTAACCCCACCTAGCTGGCGCAACTCCCATGTACCAGGGCCTTCCGTCAGCGGACCCAAGGCACTGCGTGACTTGGGCATGATGCGTGATGCGATCGAACTTGAGCTCCTTCCCCTTCAACCGGAGGATATATAACCTGCGGGGCACTGCACTTTTCAGACAACTATCTATCTGCTAAACCTTGGGGCTTGGCTTTCAGAGGTATGGACAAAACCCGTACCGCCAAGGCAATTCACCAATAAATAATTATTTCGAGGGCAGTGTGAAAATCTGGAAACTAAATTGGGACCTGAGGGTGAAAAGGGCAACTGAAGAAATATTCAAAAATAGCCTTATTCTGCTAATTTGGCTGGCAAAAAACCAAAATTCCCAATTGTGCGAAATGTAAAATAAATATCCGAGGTGAAATCTGAAAACGTTCATACTTCATTATCCACCCAAAAAGGTGGTGAATTGCCTTGGCGGTACGGCATTTGTTCCACTATCGCAGCAGCGAAAAGGAACCCTGTGCACCTTACCAGCCTACTCGATCATAATAGCCTGTCAGTGGGATACAAGTGTTCCACATTGACCAGAAGGACTTCCAAATTTGATTCGGTCAGGCAACCTGCAACATTAGTTTCAGATCAACTTTGCTTTCTCTGCGGAAGAAGCAAACATTGTGATGGCTGCATCAGCATCTGAGTTCTTCACAAGCTGCAGAAAAGCCCTCAACTGGTGGCAAGTCAGTGCCATCTCATCCCCTCACTGCCTGACAACGTACCTTGGCACCCCCCCTTCTAGTTCCAGCTGCGCATCTTCTCTCCCAAACTCAGCTCCGTCCACACACGGTCCACAGACCTGTCCGAACGGCGCAAAGTTTTCCGGAGTCAGGGGCGTCAGCCCAACGCGGACAGTCCGAACGACACCATGGTGCCCGTTCCCCGGCTCATTGCCCAAACTTTCATGGTGATTCTTCTCAGTGCCCTGACGACTTTCTGCTGACTCTGGAGTTTGCGTTCTCGTGCTCTGGGCTGACCCTCTAGGCAGACTCTTCAGAGGCCTTTCTGACAATTCACCCAAGATTCCAGAATTTTGAAGGGGCCTCACAGCATTCCAGCTCTGAACTCTGTTCCGAAGTCTGGCGCCAAGCCTCGTCCTCTGTGCAGTCAGTAACGGGCGGGCTGACTTATGTGCGGTTATGCATTGATGGCTCACTTGTGTAACCTCAAAAAGTATCGGTGTGGCTACATTGTTCACTCCAGCCAGCGCCATTCCCTTGCCCAGGCCTTCACTTGTAGCGAACTTCTTGTAAAGCGCCTTTGAAGGCTGAAGCCCGCAATAGTATTAGCTGGCAGTGGAGCCTCCAGGAGGCTGGCATGCAAGGTGGATGCCGCTCGATCAGCGCCACCGCGAGTCCAGCATGTCCCTATTGACCAAACCCTGAACCCTCGTTGCGCGCCGCGCACGATAATCGTAGTAAGGCCGGCGCCCGGCGGCCGGATGCCATCATTATCCACCTATATAGCTGTACCTAAGAATTGTACCTAAGAATTGCAGCTGCATGTAGGCGCTCAATCAGCGGCCGCTCAGGCAGTCGATCGCCAGGCTATACCGGTATAGCTAGCGCCATAGCTTCTAGCTTTAGCAGCTCGCCCGCGGGCACGGGAAAGATTGAATTAATTCCAGTATAAAACGGGTTATAGCTGTGGGCGCCGCCAACATGTACTTAGTGTAATGGGAAGAATTGTGCGCTTGACTCTAAATATGGAGCTCGTTGTGTGGACAGGTTGTTGTCACTGATACATATCGAATGTAATAACTGTAAACCGGGCACTAAACGTGCCGGACAGCTGTAACCAGATGCATACCGTCCCAGGCATTTGCTTACGCACTGCATTTCCATTCGGCATGAGCTAATCATACAATACATATTTCTTCAAGTCGAAGACACCTAAAAGATTCGACTGCATACGATCTACTCACGTGGGCAAGCTCCCGTTTCAGATGCGTCGCTATACTTTCGTTCCCTATCCAGCAGAGGCCGTGAGCGCGTACCTTAATGCACCTTCATAACTCGTTGCGCAGCAATCATAGACTCAGCATGCGTATTTCGTCCTTGCTAGAACTATTTACCTCGTACTGCTAGACGCCTCTACCTTTGTCACGCTAACTTGGCTCGGTCGCAAAAGCATAAGCTGGGAGGATTTTGCCCGAGCACGACCCGAAGCCCACCTTGTAACCAGGGCCCTGCAAAAGTGCATCAAATACGTTGTGAGAGATTGCATGATGTGCGGCAGCAATCATTTGCGTCAAGATGCATAAGGCTTGCATTGCCCGCAAGAAATCTTTCGAGCGGATTTCAACGTGCCCATTGAGATATGCAGGGAGTCTGGATGTGTTCTTCGAGAGGATGGCGTTGAAACCGTGAGCGTGTAAACAGATTTACACGACTGCAACGACAGCTGAGCAGTAACCGGATAAACGGGTGATGGTCAGATCTCCAGAGCGCTGAAATTTCCGTGTGTTACATCGTCCACTCACCTGACAGTACCCCGTCAGAGAAACCTCGTCGCCGTCATGCAGCCTCTTCCGCGTCTCTCCATCCGCCAACAGCACTGACTTCTTCCCGCCCTCCGACATTTCGAGCATCGAGCCTAGGCTCCCGTCGTCCTGGAAAAAGCAAAGAAGCTCGGTTCCATTTTTATCTGAGATAAACGGCGCTTTCTTGCGTGTGAGGACTTTGCGTATGAGGACTTGCCCTCTTCTCGTCAAGCAATGCATCGGAAGGCATCAATCCGACAGACAAGAGTTCCTCAGTACTTCGTTTGCAGAGACCTCCGCTGAGTCTGAGTCCCTCTCTCCTAATTTCCAACCCGCACCTCGCAAGAATCCGAAGCGGCGTGTGGGCTAACTCAAGGAAAAGCCGCCAAACATTTCCTTGAGACCGACAATCTTTGAAAGATGTACAGCAGAAACCGAAGTGTAATGCCCACCGGCCCGCTGATGGTCCCGGACGCCAGCAGGTCCCCCGGTCGGAGGTTGCACCCCGAGACGGTGTGGTGCGCGAGCTGCTGGTCCACCGTCCAGTACCTGCCACGTGGCACACGGCGACATCGTCAGAAATGACAACCAGTGCCAGGTGTCACATGGTAAGCCTTGTGACCGCAGGAGCACCATCAGGCATAGACGTGGCTCCGCTTTGTTCGTCGCAACGCACGGTGCATTGGATAAGATCGTCCAGTATATTTCGCTGCAAACGTCCTTGAACAGGAACTGACGATGCTGTGCCGTTGCTGTTCATAGGACATGACGAGTTTGCTGCTACAGCACAGGCGCGCGTCAACCCATCTTCTAGCTTCTTCGAAGCTCGAAGTCATCCTAGAGGCCGCGGCGCCTACTTTGCGAATAGAAGGCAACCAGGATTGCACGCCGGAAACTGCCTCCAGGATCAACAATAGTATCGTCGGAAGTCTTTGGTCAGACGGAAGAAGGAAGAACGTGGACTCCCGAGCAGATATCAGAGACCCTCCTAGCAACAACCCTCCTAGCTATAACCCTCGAGGACCGACTGTCTGGGCTGAGTCGATTCGCTAATCTGAAACGTAGATTGAAGACGTAATGGTTAAAGGGGATTCTTAAAGAGTCCGACGGGGGTCCTTGTTCCTTCCTTCACTGATGGCACTCGGCAAGATTCCAAACGTTGTGCAGGGAAGACGGAATCCACTCACACGTGCTTGAAGTTGGTTCTACTAATGGTGGTCGCCTCGGCCGCACGCTCCGGCTTCAAAGCCACCTGACACGACAAAAACAGGAATGAAGCGTCACAACCAGACACAATATGACGTTACAACCAGACCAGACAGGGAACGAACGGAGTTGATGACCAGCGCTCCGAAAAGACGACTGAGCTTCACGAGTTTAAGCTTGCAAGGCGGTTCAATGCCTGGCCTGGCCCACTTCGCAGAGGACGACGTACTCGTGAGGTTTGGGTTCAAACCGATGTACGCCATCGAAATGATCTCGGTGCAGTGGCGTTCTGGAAATGCGTAAAAAAAGGATAGTCCTGCTCCGCACACAAAGCCACCCTGATCAACAAGCCACCTCACTCGTCTTACGGCCAAGTGCTTAGCTTTTTTATATCTACAAGAGAGGAAAACGTGGGACGACCGCTCACCTCTAGCTGTATGTCGTACGTCTCTCGTCTTTGCTGCCGAAGATACGGCAGCACTTCCGGATCCTGCAAAATGTGAAAAATCATCGTATCCTGCTGTGAGGTTCGACGTGAAGGAAAGCCGCAGGCTGTCGGTTTGCACTTCTGAAGTCGCCGTGACACTGAGCGGATTCATCGCGCTTTCCGCTCGGAATCTACATCCGGGGCAAGTGGCACTTCTGCGATTTTCCATCCAAGTGGTGACGCTTTGAGAGTTTGCGTCGGACGTAAAAGACGTGGACGTGCAAAGAAGTGAAGACATCCAAGCGCGCAAAAAAAGGCACAGTTCGTCGAAAGCCTTGCCTGTGGCTGTGCGGGGCACAGGAATGGCTCCAAGGCCTCAAGAGGAACTACCCAAGGGGAGATCGACGTAGCTGAAGACGAGAAGGCACGAATAAAGCACGTCAATCGCTTGGAAGACACTTCCGGTCCCAACCCAGGTGTGAGCACAATCCGTTGACGTATCAGCTGCTGTATGAGTTGGCTAAACACGTCCTGAGCTCCGCTTACGAAGGGTGGATGGATCGACGGACAGCAATAACAGCGAGCAAAGACACGTTTCCAAGAAACAGCGGCGCTCCAAGAGATTCTACGCAAACAGATACAAAGGAAGTTTGGGCTCCTCACCAAAGTTTTTCGCTAGAAAGGGCCCCAAAGGCACGTACTCCCATCGTTGCAGATCGCGTGCTGGAGTACGATCGAATTGCGAGTGTCAATAGAAGTCTCCAAATTCATGCTTCATTGACCGAAGTGCGCGCCTTTCAAGGCATCACCTTTTGACTGAAAAGTTTCAAACCCTCACAAAAGCGCATCAGAAATGGAAAGACATGTAAGAATCTCTTTCCTCCAACCGTCGACCGAAACTCTCTTGTACAAAACAAAAACTTTGGCTGGTCGACGATTGGCAGAGTGGCAGAGGCAAGTCGAACACAAAGCATTTCGTTCGATGAGAACATCAAAGATTAAAGTGGCGCGTTGTCTCACCGCTCCAGTCGTTCATGAGCACAAACCCAAAGATATGGTCCCTCGCCTTCTCGATGGGTACTGGCTTGCCGAGCTCGTTGCCTGGGCCGACAAAGAAAGCCTGTGGTGAAGCCAAGGGAAAAGACGTCGGAAAGAGAAGGACTGCAAGCGTCGATGAGGGTCCAATCAGGTACCAACGGACTGCTATTCAGCCGAGCAGCTGCACATATAGTCAAGGCCCTTTTTGAAGGATCGTTACAACCAGATTCCAGAACCAACTCCGACACAATCAAGCAAAGGAACAGACAAGTACACGTAAGTGGAGGAGGTGAGACTCTAAACCATCTTCACAGGCTACCACATCGTCTCAGCATCTCCGGGGCTCGCGAATTTCTCACCAGTTCGAGTTCGAAGTCCAGCATCGCAGACGGCTGGAAGGTCGGGGCTTTGCTGCCTGGAGCTGGCGCGACCTGACCACTGTACAAAGGACTCAGGCACCGATTGGAAGAATGATATAGATTAATAAAATAGAAACAGTGTCGAATACCCTCCCAAACATCCTCTTAGCGACTCTCGAACACCCTCGCAATCTCCGAAGTAGAAGGGTCCTTGTTCAAGTACACGAGATAGTTTCAGAATTAACCGTCAATTGGCGCCTTTTGACAGGTTTTTGCTCGAGAATAGAGACAGGTAAGGCAAGCGTTCCTTCTCTTTGCGACTGGTTAAACTTCTCGAGCTAGCTCTGTTGCACAGACGCAATTCGCAGGATGTTTCGATCGTTGTCTGACCTGGTTTGATCTTACCTTGGTCTCACCACCGGGGTGCCTGACACCACTACTGAGGAAGCGCGCCCGTGGTAGCCAATGGGAACATGCAACCTGGCAAAGGGGACAAAATGCAGTTGATCATAACCTGCTTCTTGACCCTCCAGTCTAGTTGGGTAGTACGACCTCTTAACAAACACGAGTGTGACTAGGAAGGGGAAAAATAGCCGTAAATCGGTAGCAAGTCAGAGATGAGAGGGAGGCGTTCTACGACCCACCAATTCTCTGTGAGTGCATTCTCCCTGCTCCGGAAGAGGGCGCCGACATTGGCCGCGTGGTATTTCGACGAGTAGAAGTCGGTGTAATCACAGATTTGAGCTGGGAGGAGGAGTTCGGCTTCACTCTGTGGAGACAACACAGGAAGCGCGCTGTGAGGCGTAAATCTGGGATCCAGAGGGACTTTGCTGAATCTATCCATGGACACAGCGTTAATGTCTTATGTGATGTGGCTGCTAGAGGGAGCTTCAAACGTGGATGGAAGGCAGACCTTTGCAGCTTGAACAAGGCAGTACAATTGGATTCTCAATCTTGGTAAGTTGCGCGCAATTGGCAGAAAGAGGAACCTTACCATAGGATGTATGGCCCTTTGTCTCAAGTCGGGGTCAGTCTCCAACCGGGATTCTTCACCTGCATCAATTCAGCTGGCGGGCTAAGATTCGACCAGATTATTTGGATCTTATCAGACGAATAACACACAGTGTTTTTTGTAGTCAGAAGACAGGCAGTTATTATTTATGCGGAAAAGTGAGTATCCCTGAGGGAAAGCTCAAATGAAGCAGGTTGTCGATCTTGGACTACTTCACAATGGTTGTAAGCAGGTTGCTGTTTTGGGGACTACGTTACAGATTGGGCCTGTGGTCCCTGGCTAATATCATCGTACCTGTAAGCAGACTTCTGATAATGCCCCTCGCTTCTTGCCATGCGACGCGCCCCAGGGACATGAAAGCATTCAAAGAAGGCTGCACAGGAGAACAGACCTTAACTGGAGCATGATCATCAAGATACAGTGCAACACTCCTAGAAAGATCTCTTGGAGAAGGAATTCTGAGATATGCAAGAATGAGAAGGTTTACTTCTGATGAAAAGGTGGTGCAGACCATGAAACAATTCTGTGGTGTTTACAGTGGCTCTAAAGGGCAGAATATGATTGCTTGGAACACTAATAAAACTTAACAGACACAATCCATGAAACAAATATATGGCGTTTACAGTGGTGCACAGGGGCAGAATCTAGTGCTTGAAGTGGTATTAGAAGGCGTCCAAGGTACTGCTTCTGACCTCTGCAAAGCATTGGGTACTCCCTACTTGGCTCCCTTGGAAGCACCCAGCTGCCGCTAGTTCTGCGAGGTCCAGAATGGACTCCCCAATGGCCACCCCAACCCTTGGGGCCTGGGCGCCCCTTGGTTTAAAAACTCCATAGGGCAGATTCTGAAGGGGGAAGTGACTGTGCTCTGGAATGTTGATGAACTTAGCCATATGCGCAAGTCTTTTGAGCGGTGGCTTCAATTGTGCGCCTACTGACAGCCTTGATATATTCCTGGAAGACAAACTAGCACGGGGTGGGGGCAAAAGTGTAGACAGCTGGAGGCTACAAATTTCCGAGAAGCAGCGGTCTGAGCTCAAAGTAGTCACTCTGAGTGGACCTCCAGTACAAAGCTGTGATACATTTTTTGTGAGACACAGCTGTATTTGCATCCCCCAACGAGCTGGCAAGTATCAATTAATCAACGTTGGCATGGAATTGGACGCCCCGTTATAGCAGGCTCTACTTGTGATGAAACTGATACATTTCTCCAGGCTTCTGCAGACAGAGGGTTCACAAGTTCCGTCACTTTCCTCCCTCTTGCGCCCAAAGAAATGCACACTTTGAAGTTCGAGCTTTTGTCAAAGCCTGAATTCCGGCGTATTGAACCTGCAGACAAGCCGCCATGTATAATCTGGATATAATCGCAAAATCGGGCCTTGTAAGCACTATGCCTAATAAAATGTATAACCGAGCGAGACGAAAATCAAATCTATTTCTCACAAGCTCATAAGGCCTTGCGGATCGCGATGCTACTACTAGGGGGCCAACACTGACAATGACATCAGCTTCACCCTCAGGGTCTCAGGCTCAGCAGGCTCATGAGTCATGAATGCTCAGGCTAGAGTCACTTTCTGCAACTCGAGTCTTGGAGAGGGGAGGACGACATTCCTAGCCGCGCGTTCCAAAATGAGCACCATAGGAGTTCTCAGGGGCTCTGTGTGTGGCCTGATCCTCAACAAGAGCCTCAATTGCGCTGCAGAGGACCTTCATGTGAGGAACCAATCACCCCCCAGTGCGGCAGTCCAATGTCACATTGTGCTTCTTGCAGCTGTTGTACTTGAATCTGTATTGACACTCAGGGTCATCTGAAAGACCACCTGTTTACACTGAGAAGCAGACGTTCTTGACCACAATGCGTTAGGATGGCAGGCACACCATGGAGTAACGTTCAGCAATGCAGCTGCGAGAAGCTTGCCCTTTTCTCTTAGTCCTTGATGAATCAGCTCACAATCAAGTGACTATTCAACTGCTTGCATTGTACAAGGAGCATACGATTCTTTCTGATCCAGGCAAGGCATCGAAAACAAATTGATCACTCCAGCAGCTTGCCTTAACATGGATTGTTTGTTTCTTTCCTGATCCAGGCAACAAGGCATAGTTGCGCGAGACTTGTCCAGAAGCACTCAGGCCCTGCGCGCTTCCAGAGACTCATCAGGCCTGATCTTCTGGACGTGCCAGCTTGTTCTGTCGCAGTCAGACGCCCAATGAGACCAGCATTCCGTCCTCACGTTTCTGTATCAGGCCCAACTGAAGTGGTAAGCTTGGAGCTTGCAGCTCCATTCCTGATACATGTCTTTACAGAAGTGCCATGGGCAGAGTCGAAGGGACAGTGCCTCTGACGTTCATGTGGTGGTGATGCTCGCATTGGCACTATAACCGCAATACCAAAGATACGAAACAAGGGCCAGGCGAAAATATATCTGTGTGAGGCAACTTGACCTCTTGGTATCAATTGGAGAATATTGATTGGATTGGGTTGTATGCTCGCCCAACTTTAGAGCACCAGTTCCCATGCAACTCTCAGCCACTGTACGTTGCTCAAGTCAAGCGACTGATCTCTGCTGACCACTTTCGTAGATCAAGTTAGCGGATGCCTTGTAAGTCTTTTTGAGGGCTCCATTTAAGCAAGAGTTCTGATCCACTGTTTCACAGCTATCTCCACAGCCTGTGTGCCTCACTCATATGTAGGATGCGGCAGAAGCTGCGGACAGTCCAGTGGAAAAAACTTCCTCATTGGACCTACTCAAGGGCTCCCCTTCCCCGTTGGGCGTCTCCCTATCTCCTGGCGAAGACTCCGTCAACTTTGCCCTGTTCTCTGAGCACGCAAAAGGTGTCACGCTCTGCCTGTGAGTTCCTGTTCTCAACTCTTGATAGGCCAAGCGTCATCAAAGCTACCATCAAGGGATGCTTCCAGGTCTGGTCTACTGTAGTCTCAGTATTCCAGGCAACAGCGTTGGCGCAACAGAAGAGGTCGAAGCTACTAGGTGAGCGCGTCATCAAGGAGAAATGCTTTGCAGCTTCTTCACCTTGATGTAGGTCTACTCTTCCTCAATCTGGAAAAATGCAAGAAGGTGTGGGCTATAAGTGGTGAAGATATAGTAACAAATTGTATTGTCGATATGAGAGACTCTTGAGTGGATATAAAATTTCAAATTTCTCCGGCTGGCCTTTTTGACCGACGTTTGATCGTTCTTTCAACCTGCAGGTGGATAGATGCTACTCGAGGACAGCCTCCCACTGACGAAATTTCCCTTTCAGCGAATGACAACCGGACGGAAAATGTCTGGCATGTTGCCGTGAAGGTCGGTCTGCGTGCGATTGTTGTTACACCTTTGATGTTGAGTGGTTGCTGTAAAAAGCCCCGATCTTGTGGAAAATGATTATGTCCATATGCTACTCGGAGCTGCTCAGTACGTCGTGGTGAATGTCCTTGTCTCCTCCGTACTTCAGCCACAGAAAGTGTCTCTGCAGTCTCCCTTGCGTTTCCTGATTGACCTTTGGTGGTTTCATCTCGTCAAGGGCACAAACCTCATTCCGCTTCTCTTACCAAATTAATAGGCTTCTTTGTCACAACAAAGCTGCAGCTCATAGCGTCATGTCCCCCGTTCTACTCATCGACAGACTAATCATCCCGGCACGAAGTTCTGCCTCATCCTAACCTCTTGCTTCAGGCAATCTGTAACATTGTCTTATTGTTCTCCTGAAGGACCTCCCCAAGAAGGGCGTCCTGTACGGCTACAAAGTCAGCGGAGAGGGCGGCTGGGAGACCGGCCTTCGATGGAGTCCCGACACCGTCCTACTCGATCCGTATGCCAAGCTGGTGGAGGGCCGGCGCTACTTTGGGCAGCGAGACGAGGAGGGGCTCGGAGTTTTGGGTACATACGACCTCGAGACGGAGCCGTTCGACTGGGGGGAGGATTACGCACCACCCGCCATCCCGGAGGTGAGTTGAAACGAAGTCTGCTCGAATGTTATTGGGCGACTCGATCTTCCAGGTCCTGGGAGTTAGAGGAATGGTTCTTGGTATGCAAGCGTATTTGCTCATTTTTGGATGAAAGTGGTAGCGTCCCGTGTTCACTGATTGGGGCGTCCATTGGCTGCCCATCCGCTTTTCCAGATAACAATTGTTGGTCTTTCTCTTGGCCGACGCCCTTGTCTTTCTCTCCTTAGGCTGACCAGTTGAGTGTACCCCACCCTTTGTTTTGCCCTTTGTTTAAGACTCCCAGAGGAAACTTTACAGTTCGAAGGTCGAAAGATGAGAGTCGAAAATAAGATGCTGATTTTCTTTTTTCTCTGAGCGCGCAGAAAGACCTTGTCATCTACGAGATGAACGTTCGTGGCTTCACAGCGGATGCGACCAGCGGTGTCCCTGAGGACATCCGGGGCAGCTACAAGGGCCTCATCGAAAAGGTGTGTCTCGCAACTGTCCAAACCTCCTCACTCCCGTTCCTCTTTTTCCTGGTCTGATCGTAGTTCCAGTACCTGTTCTTTCTCTTGATTCGGAACCAAATTGTGAATGTACGGCCATCGTCCTTCGAGAAGTAGAGCTTGTTTTTTCCTCCTGTAGGTGATGTCAGTCGAAAGAAGGTGCTTCGCTTCCTCATGCTGGTTTAAGAATAACAAGGTTCTGACCTGCCGAGCCTGCCTTGATGTACAGGCCGCTTGTGCAACTTTCAAAACCAGGTTTGTTCCAACCGCGTTCTGATCGTAGAGAAGTGGCCTTCTCTAGAGGGAACAGAACTATTGGAAAGTATCTTATACGCCCATTTTGAAAAATAAAATGAAGTGCCTGTTAGCTGGCAGATGTTCCCTGCTGCAAGCTCCTTGACCCAGCTCTTCATGTTCCAGGTGCCGCACTTGGTGGAGCTTGGTGTGAACGCGGTTGAGCTGCTTCCGGTGATGGAATACGACGAGCTGGAGTTTCAGAGGAGGAAGAACCCCCGCGACCACATGGTTAGTGATTACCCACGTTCGGTCAGCGGTTAGATTGCCCTAGCTTGCTAACCCGAGGCTATGCTACAACCTGGAACAGGATAGGACGAACACGAGAACACCGGCTGGATTCAACATCAAGCTTCGCTGACATTTTTAGCATCCAGGTGTTTGACCATTTTGAGGAGCCGTTCTTTTTCTGCAACTACTTTACCGGCTTCTTACCAATGTGGCGGTTTATTTGTGCCGTTGAAATTCTTGATGGCCGTCATGTAATAGAATGTCCATCCGCCAAAAGTTTACTGCCTCCTTGATGATTCGTCAAAGATACGCAGAAGAGCTCTCGATCGCACACTTTTGGACTCGCTGAAACTCCATGTGGCCACATAGTTGCTTCTTGGCGCAGGTCAATACGTGGGGCTACTCGACGGTCAACTTCTTTGCGCCCATGACGCGCTATGCGAGCGGCGGAGGGGGCCCCATGGTGGCCTCGCGCGAGTTCAAGGAGATGGTCAAGGCCCTGCACGCAGCAGGAATCGAGGTGAGAGCCGCGGTCCGAAGCAGTCCAGCTTTTCGGACTTAAATCCTTAATGTGCTGACATCAGCACCGTCCCGTGACCGGTTTTTCCTGGTCCAGCCTAATGTTTGCAGTCGTAAAGCGACAAAAAGCGAGGAGAACTTCTGTATCGAGCTTTCTACCCTCATTTTGTTGGGAAAGTCGACGCTGTCAGGGATTCCAGGACTTAGAAGATTCTTGGAACGTGATTTTGAGCAGCGCATTCCCATTTGTTGGAAAATGGGCTGCATTCACGGCTGTTTTGTTGCGTCCAGAGCAGTCCTTGACAGGGCCGCTCAAGACGAAGGAAAAGCTCACGGCTGTCAGTTGGGCGTTCTGGAAAGTCTGGAGGGATCGCTAGCGCAATACTTGCCGTTTTGTCCATGCTAGGTCCTCCTGGATGTTGTCTACAACCACACCAACGAGGCTGACGACGAGTTCCCCTTCCTGACATCATTCCGCGGCATCGACAACCTGGTGAGGAGTTCGAGCGATATCCACTAAGAAGCGAGTCTCGTATTTCTCGGACCGACGTTCTTCTGAAAGGACCAAAAATTCTCCGACATCCGGATGCAAGGGAGCGCGTGCTCTCATATAGCTTTCTGATTTCATGCATAAATGGCTGCTGTGAGCACACCTCTTCAGATGTCAATCAGAGAGGTATGAAAATAGTGCAAGAGCTTTACTTAGGTATTGATCCAAGTATTCAAGAAACGGGGTCAGGTGTGCTTTCCCAACACGCCTTCGGTCTCAAGCGCTGCAAGAAGAGAGTTCTACCGCCGACCTTGGTAAAAGATCTTCTCCTTTTTAATGCAAGTGGTTAGCCAAGTCAAATGCACTAGGAAAGCAGTAAACTGGAACACAGAAGGCGCCAGCCAATACGTTACGAATTCGCTTCGCTTGCAGGTCTACTACATGGTCGACTTTGACAGCTGGGTCCAGCTACGCAACCTAGCAGGCTGCGGTAAGTCGGCCCGCTCCACACTCGCTTCAGCAGGCATACCACGTTTGATGACGCAACGCTCCTGGAAGAATCGGGTTTGTGGCTGCCCTGGAAGCACTCATTCGGACGCGCTGAGTGAAATGAACGGGCTCAGTTTCTTGGAGGTGCCCACAATTGCGGCCAGCTTGCTTTCAGTCAGGTCGGAAGTTCCAGGAATCTGGCAGCCGTTCTCCGCTCTCGCCGCGCCGGGAATGATGTCAGAAGCGGCAAATAGAAAAAGTGACCCTCTCATATCAAGTCTTCGAAGACAAAACTGACGTTCTTATAACAAGTCATCGAAGACCTTGATTGTTTGCGCCTTATTATCGCATCCTCTTCCGCGAGCTCCTGATATCATTCTTGGAGTGGTGCAGGAAACACTCTCAACTGCAACCACCCCGTCGTAATGGAGCTCATCCTGGACAGCCTGCGGCACTGGTGAGCTTTCCTCGGGCGGACTCGTTGGCAGGGCTCCTTGCAGTCTGAATCTCTGTGCAAGCCCATCGGAGATGTGCTCCCAGATTTGAAGGTAGGTCAAACAATGTTTCCGACATTGAGATCGAGACACTCGATCTCGCCCTTTCCAATATGGGTTTGCATGCTACAATCGTGTTTGTGGTACACTTTCCTCTTTCGAAGCATGTAAAAGATTCGTTGATTACTCGGAATGGTTCGAGCGATTCAAAGCGGGTCTGCTTGAAAATTGGATCCTAAAGAATGGCAAGAGGGCGCTGAGGTCCCGGTTCCCCTCCGGCGAAGCGGGTAAACCACCTTCGCAGGTCGCCAGGGGTCTCGAGGGCCACAACGTCCAAAGTTGCCGTAGGAGCATAACTTTTGCCTTGCACTGGCCACACCAAGACACCATATAGAGTCCCTTCAACGAGCACTCGGCAGGAAAGCAACGCTTGCATCGTTGATCTGACACGGTTGGATTCTTTGACGTTGCAGGGTGACCGAGTACCACGTGGACGGCTTCCGTTTCGACCTGGCGAGCGTTCTGTGTCGCGATACCAACGGGAGGCCTATGCCAGCTCCTCCCCTTATCCGAGTAAGCTACTTCACGTGCACCAACGCGGTGCCCTCGGAGAGTCGAAGACATGATTGGGTTGAAGTCACCCTCAAGCCGTTGCTTTTTGATGGGCTACTCACCTTGGAAATCAATGTCGTAGATTTGGCCCCCAATCAGGACGTTTTGTTGAGGGGACTAGGTGGAAGGCCGGTCAGAAAGGGAAACATTGCCCTCATGGCAACTTTTCAATCTTGTTGATTCTGAAGCAAGTGCCCCGGCAGACCACTAAAGTATTCTTCGCGGGCCAAATGCAGGACAACCCCCCATAGAGTCACAAGTATCGCTGGTGCTTAGAACCCGTCCCTCGCTCCCTCTTTGCAGGAGATCGCCAAGGACCCCATTCTTTCTAGAGCCAAGATAATTGCAGAGCCCTGGGACTGCGGGGGGCTGTACCAAGTGGGCAGCTTCCCCAACTGGGACCGGTGAGCACCCGGAAACCTTTGGATCTGATCCATCTCAGACTGGCCTTTAATACCTCGGCCTTTGAGCTGAGAGCTCTCAGCGCTGTCAATCGGAAAGGGTCAGGTTGATTTGCTAGGAGTTATGCTGGTATTATTTTCGACTGGTGTTATGCTGTGTTGCCCCTTAGCTTTAGCGATTCAACCACTCCGGCCGACTACGAGACATATTCGTCGTTACCCATACTCATTCCGCTCCTCCTCGTCTTCTCAGGTGGGCGGAATGGAACGGAAGATACAGGGACGACCTAAGGCGATTCCTCAAGGTGCGCCCCAACATTTGCTAGTCGTGCCGCTTTTCTCTCGTGCGTCTAGCTTCACAGCAATCCCCTACCATGAACAATACTCCTTGAGGCCCACGCTACGAAAGCGGGATCGCCACTTAGGCAATTCTTTCAAGCAGATAGCGAGAATTCTTTCTCCACGTTCTCAGAACAAAGTCCGTGCCCTTCTTGCAAAAGTGACTGTTGACTGGCCCTGCTTTCTCCAATGATGTCCCTCAACTGTCCTACAGGACTTTGTTGATTGGATCTAAAGCGACCGTTCAGCAATTTGTTCTTTGTTTGCTTGTCAGTATCCCCGTGTCCCTTATCCAGCTCTTGTGCGTGAGCTCGCCGCAAGGATGAGGGTGTTGTCCTCCATACACAAAGGGGACCTCAGCGAGCGCATATGCTTCCACTGATTGTTTGAAAGCTCGATGCATAGTACGGGGCTGAACGTCGAATTGACACGTGTTTCTTGGTTGCAGGGCGACCCGGGGCAGAAGAGCAACTTCGCGACCCGTGTGGCCGGATCCGCTGACCTCTACCACGTAAGCTAGGTCTCACACCAGTCCGTCCTGTGAAACTACGTTCTCCAGCTGCAAACGACGATGTGCACATGCATTTACTTACCTGCGCAGCACCTCTGAGCAGATTATTCTCCAGAGTTTTCCCGTGTCTCGGGGCTCCTGTGGGTTCGTCCTCTCAATGTTTTTAAGCTTTCGAGGGAGTGCCATTGCTTGCCAGACGATGCGCCAGTTCTGATAACCCTGCCCCGCCGCTTTAGTTCAGCCTTCATTGAAAGTGCACCCGCCAAGTCTTGTGGGTCTCTAGGCATTACCGAATGCACATGGAACCTTGCTGACGTGCCCTCTGACGTCATGTGCCTTCCTTTCTTTGCAGACCAACAACCGCAAGCCGTACCACAGCATCAATTTCATCATCGCCCATGATGGTTTCTCCCTCTACGACCTTGTCTCGTACAACTCAAAGGTGAGGGCTTAGGTTTCAGGGGATTACCCAATATATTACGCACCAAGCGAAAGGGCCGGGAATCTTCCAATTGCTGGCCTGTCCGAGCAGCGCAGAACAGATTCGACACCACGTGCATTGAGAAGGCTTCAAGACACGATAGCCGTTTCACAGGAACAGCTTTTCGAACTCGGACGGGGTTGCAATGAGAGAGTCTGAGATGCCATGCACGTCGCATTATCGATTCAAGCAGACGGGGCCGGTGTCGCCAGCTAGCGGATCAACAACTTCATAAGCTTTATGCAGATTCTGCTCTGGTCACGCCGCAAAACTAAACAACCTGTCGATGACATCAAACATCGCTTCAACATTTCGGCTTCATCCTCAGTGGGCTTCATAGGCCCGTCGGCCGTGCAAGATACCGGACGACTTGATCCGAAGGTTGACGCGCAGTTGTCCCTTTGCTTGCAGCACAACGAGGCCAACGGCGAGCAAGGCCGTGACGGCAGCAATGACAATTTCAGCTGGAACTGCGGGGCAGAAGGTAAGCCTCTCTGGATCACTTACGGACAACCTTCTAGGATTCCCATGTAAGCCGTCCGATCCAGGCATACGACAGGATCGCAAGCACATGCGGTGCTTTGACAACTTTTTATCAAGTGGAACGGACTAGTCTGCGCTAGCTACATTCTCAGGGCGTTAGCTTCGTTAAGAGGTACTCTAGGCTTCTCAAATAGACCGATGCCTCCCGATTTCGCATGAACAATTCCCTAGGATTCTCATCTGAGCCGTCCGATCCGGCCGTTTGACAGGCTTGCAAGCACAGGCGGTGCTTGTACCGACACTTAGCAAGTAGAAGGGACTCGTCTACGCTACCTGAGTTACGGCTTTGAGGTTTTTAGGGTATTTCAGGCTTCTCGAGAAGACCGATGCTCCGCTAAGAAGGAACGAAACCGTTGGACAAGGCTTCAGGCGGTACTTGCGTCTGTCAGCGACTCGCTGACTTTCTTGAAGGGAGTTGCGAAGTGCTGGTTGAGTATCGAAAAGCGGTGGTTGTGGTGTCTATTTAAACCGACTCTTAGCAGAACGAGGGTGCATAGCGAAACATCTTTGCTTTTTTCTGCCTGTGCGTGCAGGTGAAACGAACGACGAGGGAGTCCAGGGCCTCCGCATCCGCCAGATGAAGAACTTCCACCTCGCGCTGATGGTATCGGTGGTGCGTCCCAGCCCCGAGTTCGTTTCTTCCAAGTGACTTGCTTTTCTGCTGCTATTTGAAACCTGGAGTGGCTAGGGCGATTGGCGGAGAACCATCCTATGTTTTGTTGTCAGCAGAAATGGGTTGATAAAAAGAATCAAGCGCAATAGTTCTCAAATACAAAAGACGGCGCTCGGGCACCTGTGGGACCCCTTGTGGAAACTTCATCCAGGTTATGCAGAGCCTCCGCCCGTATAGATCAAAGCTCACGCTTCTGAGAAGTCCACGAGTGAGTGAGCCTCGTTAAAGTTTACCGATCTTACCGTGCTGAACGTGCGCCTCAATCTAGATTTCAACTGGAAAGGACAGTCATGAATGTGGTTCTGTAGTTTTCTTTATTGAAAACCGTTGCTTCAGAAGGAGGACGTCCAATGCGTACTGCTATTGGCTGCAGGGCACGCCGATGATCCTGCAAGGCGACGAATACGGGCATACGCGCGGCGGCAACAACAACAGCTACGGGCACGACAACCAGATGAACCACTTCCTGTGGAGCAACCACGGCGACCTGCCTACGGTAAGCGGGCTCAGCAAGGACGCCGTGAATGCCGGGTCATCAGATTTACTAGTTGCCGTTTCCCGCTGAATCACATTTTATGATCCATTGGATCATGCCCTGTCTTGGAAGGTGCATATACCTAATTAGTGCCGCGAAATTGTCTCTCACTACCTCGCATATAGCGCCGGACCCCTCACCATTAGCCGTTTCCGCAGTGATTGTTCGAACTGCTCCCTTTTTCCAACGTGAGAGGTCTGTCTCGTTGGTTTTCCTCAGAACGTGTCGACTATGTTGCCACTTCGAAAGGCTGGCTAAAACGAATGGACAACGGCAGCTCGCTCAAAGTTGCTGGCTTTTCAATGTGGTCTTTAACCCTCTGTCAGACTCTTCCCCTGAAGGTGCAACTCCCCCGAGGAGTTTATACTAAATGCGTTTGCTCCACTGCTTGCAGCTGGACAAAGCGCGCGACGGATTCTTCGCCTTCACACGCAAGTGCATCGAGTTCCGGAAAAAGCACCCAATGCTGGCCCGGGAGAACTTCCTCTCTGACGTGAGCATACCATGTTTCTCTTGCCTCCCGTTGGAAAACTTACTTCTTCTGCTTCAAATTGAAACGAGAACCTGGTCGCTCCCCTTCCTCTCATCTGCGGTCCCGAGCAACCGGTATCGTACCCATCCTGGTTGACCTACTTCTCGGTACCTACCCGTCCGACACCGGGTTTAGGCGTTATTAGAAGAAGCTGGACAAGGAAGAAGGTACTGTAGTCTTACTTGCTTAGATACTACTGGAAGGTTCTTCTCTGGCTCTCCCGTCATCGTGAAACCTTCTGTGGCGGAAATGGCAAACGGTACACGGCTGGGACGCTGGTAGCCACACATCCGCTTCACATTCTGGCGGTATTCGTAATATCTGGAAAATTTCTTGTGCATCGACCGGTCGGCCAAGATGGTTTTGTCTTTCCAACTCCAAACATCCTCTCGCGAACTCGCGCCCAGTCTTTCCTGTTTTGTTCAGATCCGAAAGCCCCTTCTCTCGGAATAACCAACTACTTACCATCTTACACTGCTACTATCCTCCAGGATGAGACGTTCCAGAGTGTGGTCACCTGATTCAGGCTCCGCCTGCTCGTTGTGTGTTTCGATGCCCCAATGACGCTTGATAATGTTGCGTGCTTTGTAACCCCGCCAATGATCGTGACCGCATCTCGAAACGCCAAAGTGTTCTTATGTCACCTGACCAGCCCAGCCCACTGATTTGCGCCGTGTTCGATTCGCCATACAGTCTGACGTCACCTGGCACGAAGACAACTGGGGCAACTGGGAGAGCCGGTTCCTGGCTTTCACGTAAGAGGATCCGTCTCTGCCAACAAAGGCTGAGCTCAAATTCGACCGACTTAGCCCGGCTTATCTGCTCAGATTAGAATGTTGACTACCTTCCTTGACTTTGTTGGGTCGAAGGTTTTTGGCCGTCTCTCTTTGTGCGCTTCGTCAAAGCATGATTTAAGAATGCGCCGCGGCTCAGCCAAATAGGAAGTCAGTATTCCTGATAGAAGCATCCGATACTGTTTCGCAGTTTCCTTCTATCCGAGCGCAGTCGATGCATCTCCGCTTTCAGCGAAAAGCCTAAAGGGTCCTTCTATCGAACTGACTTCTGTCGCGTCTTGCTGTACTGCTCGGTCCGAGCCAACGTTTGGAATTTCGGCGCCCATAAGAGGCAGACCACCCCTACAAGAGGATCTCTTTCTGGTCCCGTCCACCTTCTCCTGACCGCACGGGGAAGACAAAAACCGTACAGCTGTTTGCCTTCATTGGTTCTGAGCCCTCAAAGCCAACCAACCGGATGTCAAGAGTCCAAAGAGTCATCACTCTCGATCCGATTCAATCCAATCTTCCATAGCTATACACGAACTGCAGATAGTTTTGATCGGCCGCAGCTTCTTTGGTCCATACATCTGAGAAAACTCAATTTTGGTATTCTTCTCGCAGCTTCCATGAGGGCCAGCTCGGCGGCGGCGACCTGTACCTGGCGTTCAATGCGCACGACTTTTGGGTGGAGGCAATGCTGCCCGCCCCCCCGGCCGGCAAGCAGTGGTTCCGAGTGGTGGGTGCCTCCCCTCGTTCTGACCCGCTCATTAGCCGCCAAGATTCGTTTGGGTGTGTAATGCGCGTTACTTGCACGCACGAATGTACTCGAGGATGCTGTTCGCTGGCTAGGTATACGAGTATGCGTCCACGTGACAGGTGATCCATAAGAACGTTCTAGATATGACCCCGGTTTTTATTGGAAAAAAGGGAGATGCTGCGCGGCCGTAACTCGGAGACGGCTGTGATTGCGCGTACCCGCATGTGAGCAGTAACCTCCTTTGAGTGTCATTGTGATGGCACCGAGTCCTTTCCGGTTGCAGGTCGATACGAACCTAGCGGCACCCGACGACTTCGTTGAGGAAGGGGTACCAGGACTTGGCGGGAAATACAGTCTTACGCCATACTCTTCCATCATGTTGCTGGCAAAGGATGCCTAACGTTGCGTTTGTAGCTATCTTACTCTCTGCGAGTTGAAGAGAAGAGCTTTTGCACAGCTCGCCCATCTGCTTTTAGTGGTTTGAAGCGCGGTTGGATGTGCTTTTTGCTAGCCATAGACGAGGTGGAAGAATAAGGGTGGGCGAAACCACAGAGTTTGAAGCGGACGGATCCTCGCAGAACCTCGGTTCCCTCCAAAACGAACCTTGGATGAGACTTCCACACAGGCTCAGGACTAATTTAGCCGCACGGTTGAAGGCATCACTTTGGCGAGAGAAGGAGCCTCTTTAAGAGGAAAGCATCTTCTCGAGCTATTGTTTTGATTTCTTGCCCGCATCGCTGCCTTTCAATGCGGGCAGTACATGTTGGATGTGACAAAGTGTTTGATCTACTAAATTCCCGACGGGCCTGGCCAACGTGAATCAAGATTATCGTCGAAACCACTTTGCACCTGCAACACAGACTCATTGAGACACGCGCTGACTCTTAGAGTTATGGGCGTATCATTGCCGCTTCCCCGCCCACTCAGTGGCACGAAATATGATATGTATAATCATGTGCGTGAGGCTAGGGCGGGACGCTGAGCACATTTGAGTTCGCGCCCGCATGCTCGGCGGCGCGGCTCAGTGGGCTATCCATGTAATTCAATCCCGCAAGCCTGGGTTAGTATGTAGTAGGGCCGGCCTATAGGCAGGCTAGCTAGTAGGCGTAATTGCGCCTTCAATCTCATGCAGTTTGGTCAATCAGATCACGGTATTAATACGTACTCGCCGTACGCGCGGCCGCGTACGCGTGGCTTTTGTGCACGTACGTAGTGCACCGTGACATATAACGTGACGGATTATAAGCTCTCGATCGCGCATAAATCAGTAACGTGTTTTGCATGCAGCATGGGAATGTAGCAGGCTTAGCTTCGCGCACTGAGGCTTGCACAAGATATCCGCAAATAACGATGACGGTATCTTAATGGCCGGCTTCATGGACGCCGGTACATGATAAGTACACCAACGTACGTTGACTCAAACCAAGTGACATGCTAGCTTCAAGTTGCCATGCCATGCATGGGTTGTGATTGCAGCTGCCCGGCCATGTATGCAGGACGAATGATCACATGATGCATATGCAGCTAGTGGGGCGCGCCGCGGCGCGGTTGCCTAGGGCCGCTTCATCCAGGCCGCGGGCCTTTCATTGACCATACGTACACAGCGTCTATATCTTTTGTGATGGGCGCGCAACGCAGCGCGGCCATAATAAGCGCACCAATATGACGAAAACATCCAACCTCCGCGTTGAGCACGTGACAGCGGGAAACAACCGACCCTAGAGCACAGGATGCTGGAGACCACGGAGGCACGCCACGAGCCGGAAGCGAATGTGTAGGGTGTGTGGCAACTTTCCCCCTTATGCTTATCTGATCGGCAAGTTGGTACTAGACAGATGCGACGAGCAAAAGCAGGCCACCAAGCATCAAACTTGGAACATCCCCTACGTTCCTGATCACGGGACCACCGTGTTTGGGTCTTCAGGAGCAAGGCGGCGCTTGATGGTATCGACCGCCTGCAAGTGCAATAGCACAACAGGCTTGCGCGGGGCGTTCTGTGTTTTGCTGACGAGTCACTTGCGACTAGAGACCAACTCAAGTATGCGATCGTACGTGTAGTCCGACAAAGGGCGGAAACGACGCCGGTACATGAGCATCATTTTACAATCACCTTTTCCTTCCCGTACAAGCAGCGGGCCATCCCAAGAGGTCGATATTTTCTGGATACATTTCGAAGCCTTTAGCGGTAAGTGCGAAGGAGTTTCGCTGAGGAGCTTGGAGAATATTTTGACCTTCTAAAAATTTCATTCACAACGTTGTTCTTTCACGTTCACCTCTTGGAAGAAGAAGAACACTGACAGCGTGAACACCAAACCGCCTGCTTCAATGATGCACGTTGCCTCACCAAGTTTGGGCACATCAAAACTCGTCAGACTATTAGACTCAAACATAGAAAGACTGTAGGGCGACCTCTATGGGCTGCTATAAGTGCAATGATCTGACGGGCGCTCTGATCGACAGATTCCGACCATGTGAGGGAAGCGAAAACGCACTGCCGTCCTTGTGTCGCAAGGGACGTGGAAAAGAAATCAAGAAAGCAGGACAAGAGAGACAAAACGGACCACCCTTCGTCGTGACAACTGCAACCTCTTTGTGATCGAAGTAAACGAGGACGGATGGCAAGAAAAGATGATTGAGAATAAGCAGGAAGCGAAACGACAGAAAAGAAAAGAAAATTGTGCGGAACGAGCAGATCGAAAAAGAAGGGGCGAAAACATGACGTGAGACTGACCTCCATGTTGCCCAGCCGGTACTGGTACTGCATCTCGTTGCGCAAGTGGTCCTGCTCGCGCATGTCCTGGGCCTGGGGCGCAAAGAAAGAATGCCTCCGTTCTAGTTCTTCCACTCGTTCATAATCTCTCCTTTTGCTGGGTGAGCGTACAGCCCCGTTTAGCCTTTTCCTCAGTAAAGCTCCAATCTCTCCTTTCTGGGTGAGCGTCCGGTGGAATATGTACAGCGAAACGTCTGGTGGTCGATGACTGACAGGAACACGCGGTTGTCTTTGCTCGATAACCAGTCCGTTCAGTCTGCCGCAAACGTGCGTCTGTAGTTCTGATGCAGCCAACAACGATCGACCAGCGAGCCTGACTGTGTCCGGCCCGGAACTAGCAGGCAGCGGAAGGCACTACGGGCTTTCAATCCTCGAACACCTTGAGTAGGCTCTAACACTTCGTCCACATCGGTCGCTGCTCAATCCCTGACAGCACGTTGAGGTAAGTGCGAAGCTTTCCAATCTTTTCCAACAAGAAGACTCCACAGAAGCCCTCAAATTGACCTCACTTCCCCAGTTATACTTTTGCATCGTTGTGCGAAGGCCACCGCGTCTTCCGCTTTGAGAATGACGGCTGGGTTGCTAAAGATAAACAGCCCACCGGAGCCCAAACACAGCGCCGTTCGCATTCGATTCAAGTCGCTATGACAACGTCGGTTGTGATGCTGAATGAAGAAAGCTACAATGAGCCTAAAGGCAGGTGCCCGACGTGACATACCATTCCTGCCGCCATGGACGCCTTGTATGCCTGGTAGTCTTCCTCCTTCTTGAGGTCCCGCTGCCGCTGCAGCTCAACCCTGCGGCGAAAGCAACACGGGTCAGGACGCGGTTTTACAATCTAGGCGACCTAGGCGTTTGCCCAGAAGAAGGTTCGGAGTTTTAGGGTTCGAGGGTTGCTCTCACAGAACATGCTTCTTTGTGAACCCTTGTACGCCTTGTCATCTTCCTCCTCCTTGAGGTCCGGCTGCCACTGCAGCTCAACCCTGCGGCGAAAACACACGCGGATTAAAAGGCAGGAATTCCGGGTAAAATCGCGTTCTAAACTAGCAGAAAGCCGCGGTGTATACGAGGTAAACCCGCGTCCTAAACCCGCGCAAACGTGCTCCAAACCCGCTCACAAATTCGCGACTTCGAGGCCTTTACACAAACAGAGCTTCACGGTTTTGGTTTCGAACTTTAGGGTTTATGGGTTCTTTTCCCAGAGCATAACTGAACGAATCACGTAACCTTCGTTTGGCTGCAGCTCAGCGCATGCGGCAACTTACAGCCGTCGCAACATCGAGTATGTCAGCATGACGTCAGCTACACCAGAGCAGGCCCAGCGTGAGCAACAACACGAGCTCAAGCCTCAGCCCGCCCGGTCACTTCGTTTCAACACAAGGTGACCTCATTTATCTCTCAGCTCTCGGGCCCACCAAGGCCGCCAGGCGGGCGAATCACAGGCCGAGAACGTGTGGTCACACAATGTGCGGTTGCGGGTAGTAAGCTTCACCCAAATGAACTTTTGGGTTTTCAGCTTTTAAAACAATGTACTCTCAAAGCATATCGAACAGGTTCGTTACAATGTTGAGAAAACAGAAGCAAGTGATCTGAAACGAGCATCGATATGCATTTCCCCAGGACAGGAGCACAGTCTAAGGTCTCGTAACCAAGATCCAGATACATCCAAACTGTTGAAAGGTAGACAGAGGACCTCACGGATCAGACACCAGAAGGAAGCTTAAAAGAAGCCGAAATCCAGAACGGGTGGCGAAGCGGGCAAAACCTTTCGAAACACAGCCAAAGAGAACGGATGTTTTTTTCACAGCCAGTCCACACGAGGTTTTTCAGAAAGCTGACTCTCACAAAGGTTTCGTCTTTCTCGAACGCTCTCCGGAGAACACGCAAAATCTACCCGCAATAAAGGGACTCTAAACCTTAGCATCTCCCTGGAAGCGAAATCAACATGAACTTCGGGCGGGTTCGGTCCGAGGCAATCGTCTCCCAAGAATCTCTCCCATCTCGACAGAGCCCGTCTTCTCAGCTGACGAGTCGTATGAAACATCGCATCCTGACAGAACCTGGACTCTCTTTCGGCAATAGTCCTTAACAACTCTCCTTTGCCTTGTGGAAGAGCGAAGCTCAAACACATGGGAGGCCAGTTGGGGTCCGAAACTCGAACGAATCAAAACCGCGCAAGTCAACTGTAGAAACAGCCTTCCCCACCTCTTCTCCGCCTCGTCATCAAAGACCACTTTCTCCGCTTGGACCACCTGCTGCCCCCGCGCGTGCATCTTGGCGACCTTGTTCCTATGATGCAGCTCTATGTTGTAGTACTTTTTGGAGGGCAGGGTCGCCGTGTTGTAGTCCTCCATGAAGTCTTTGAACAGCTCTCGCTCTTCACGGTTGGGGAGAGTCTCGATATTGATCTGCGAAGAAGGCGGGGGGAAGGGCGAGTGAGAGAAGCTATGGAACGGTTTCGGTGTTTATCTAGGAACAAGGTGGGGAGAGGGGGTGAGCAAGGGAATTGGCGGACAAGCTTCTGTGTCGACCTGCAAAGAAGACCGGGGGGAAGGCATCAAGAAAACCCGTGGAAGAACTTTGACGATGATGAGCGAAGAAGGCGGGTAGGAGGGTGGGCAGGGGAAATCATGGAAGAGTTTCGATGTTGATTAGCGAAGAAGGCAGGAGGAGCGAACGCAAGGAAGGATCTGGATGTATTGGAGACAGTAGGGTTGAGTAAGGAGTGTCTAGAGAAGGGTGCAGATGTGCACACTCTCCGGTCTGAAAAGTAGCCACTTACTCAGGCTGGAAGGTGGCGTGAGGTTAGTGGTCCTTCTACTTCAGACTTCCGAAGTGAGCTATGTGACGGAAATTTTGGATTAGAAGAAAGTCTCTAGACGGGAACGAAGGGGATGAGGGAGTCAATACGGGCGCCGATTAAAAATGCAGGCCGAGCGCGGAACAAATATTTCTGTGAGACGTATGTCTTACACTCGTTCGATGTTTTCAGTAGATTGGTCAGGTGATCCAATATACAGTCCTGGACCCTTTGAGCCTTTGAGGGGGCAGCTTGGCAGCATCTTCATTGGACTGGTTGTGGAAGGAGGTGGCGCTTGGCCACCACGCCTGAAGAGGGTACTTGGGAGGCAATTCAACTTTGATTCACAGAGGGGCAACCAATATCCAGCAAACAGGTGTCAAATAGGAAAGAGAGCGCAGCTGGAAACAACCATTCAGGAAATTCAGAAGAGGTCGTGAAGTCTGTGGATGAGTTGTTGCCCTCGTGCGACAGGTGCTACGAATGGAAAGGTTGACGGGTGCCTCATTCAGAGAAGAAGCAGTCTCAGTTTCTGTCTGAAGAGGTGTGACTGAGAAGATGAGATGTCAAGTCTACATCACCCAGTTGAATATTGGACGAGATGAACATTACATAAGACCTCGCGTCAAAGGGCTTCCGATTTCAAGAGGGGTTAAGAAAGCAAACTGGATATCAGACTCGTAAGCTAGCAAAAACACAGAAATTTGCATTTGCACCACTTCCTCGAATTCAGGCCAGAAGTCCCTAGCGTCAGAAGCGAGTCATACGTGCATCGACTCACATGCTTCACTTCAGACAACCACGCCCCAAACTCCGGTCGCTTGTTCCACATGTCCACCTCCCTGATCAGTCCATACTTTCCGTAGCGGTCGGTCACAGCCCCGCTCCCCAGCTTCTCTTTCTTCTTCTTTTTCTTCTCTTTCTTCAGTTTCTTTCTATCCGCCTCTGACGGAGCCTTGCTTTTATCTCTTGACTTTTTGCCCCTCTCCCCTTTCTTCTTCCTCAACTTGCCTTCGCTGTCTGTGCTTTCGGATTCTGATTCCCTGACCCGAGCCCGCTTTTTTCTCCGTCTCCTACTCTTCCGATCGCTTTCGGTGTCCTCGTCAGACTCCGAAGCACTGCTACTGGTCTCCCTCCTTTTGCGCGCAGTTTTCCGTCTTCTATGACGCTTCCTCCTCCTTCGCTCCTCCTCTTCTGAGCTGACATCATCATCGCTCGATGAAGCGCTGCTAAAGTCCCTCTCCTTCTCCCGCTTTCTTCGCCGCTTTCTTCGATCGCGCTCCCTGTCATCATCATTCTGAGGGCTACTTTCTAAACTTTTTCTCCTGTGCTTTCGGCTTTTCTTGAGGCCCCCACGTTCTGCTCTCTCCTCACGTCTCACAACATCACTGGAATCTGAATCATCGCTCGGGTCCGCATTCAACTCTTTCCTCTTTTTACCACCCTTCCCATCATTCTGGTCGGGTTGAATCGTTGCAGCACCACCAACTTGACCACCCGTATTATCACCAGAACTCCTCATGCTGCTCTGCTTTATCTTTCCCTGCTCAATTCTGACATTGTTGTGACGATTTGAGAATTTTCGAGGAGTGAGGGGGGAGTGAGCTGGCTGCTCTGGAACCAGGGAGGGCAATCCGTTGCAAAATTTCCGTCCAAAGTTGGGCGGAACAGCGGAGCTTGTCATTTTATGGCAAAAATCAGAAGGGAGTGCTTTGAACAGCCTTCAGTGCGTGACAGTAGTACAGCCAGCCAAGAGCACTGGTCTAAACATAATTGTGTGTCCAATGGCAAAAGCTGCGGAAGGCAAACTGGTGGTGGCCCACCAGGCGGACATTGAAACGCAGAGCACACAATTGTGCAACTCCAGTGGATGATCTCCTGATCAACCGAGCAATGGAGCTTGTATCTGTTCTTGGCGTTGGAAGAACGGCAAAGCGTGTAACTTTGAGGTGGAAGAATGCATGGCTGGATGACAGAAAATCTGAAGCCAATGTGATTTAGCACCACATGTTGAAGTAGATGTTGCGGAGAAATACAGGTGATCCTTCTCATCAGGTGCTTGACGAGTTGGGGCTTGAGCACCAGCAGACTTGCATTCCCGCTCTGCTCACATGACTATCCGAGCTCGTTGAATGCAGCAACACGCATGAATCCACCAGGGGGAGTTCAGCAACAGCGGCTTCAATCAGACTCTAGAATGGAACTCTGCCTCCATGAATATGTGTGGCCGCTGCGCTGCGTCACACATGGGAAGAGTGAGTGCGACAGCGTCCCGTGCTGCATTCACATGCCGAGGTGAGGGCAAACTGACTCTCAAATTTCCTGCAGCCAACTGCGTCATATGAGTTATGTTTGATTGTAATGGTATGATGGTATACAACTCAAGAGTTCAATTTAAGGGTTCCTTGACATGCATTCCAACTTTCTCTCCCACTTCATTTTGAAGGCACGAGGCCGAAGCATGACATGCAATGTCATCAGCTAAAGCTTGTACATGTCACAGTGTCTAGCGTTGCTTTGCATGGGAGATTGGGGTGGCAGAGTCTTGGTTTGTGGCTGTTCGCCACTGATTGCTATCCAAGATCCATGGGGTGAGGATTCTCCATGTGGTCCTTGTGAAAGGTCACCGTCTACTTTCGCATTTACTGCCTAACCTGGGCTTCTCAGTGGGTGATGTGAAGGGTCACCGGCATCTCAAGGTGGGAGTCAGACCTGTTGACTCTTTCCCTGGAAAAGAGGGCAGCAGCAGTTTCCCAAGGGTCAGAATCAAAGTTCTGTGCTACTGACAACTCAACGATTCCACTTGAACCGTTAGCCTTGTCTTTGGAGCCGGTGTGGTCCATACCAGTAAATGAATTTCAAGCTTTGACCAATTTTGCCATGCTGATGCGGGAGAAGTGGGCTTTTGCATGTCAGCCTTGATCCGGAGTCTCACTGAAGACAACTGTTTGCTGGAGGAGACTCGCTGAGTCATTCAACTTCAGAAGGAGACGCTGGCCAGGCATTCAGACTGGAGAGAAGGTTCCTTGTAAAGACGAAATTCTCCGCCTCAGCATCTAGAGTGGCTTGGTGGAAAAGCGTCACTTGAAAACATAAAGGAAAGACTGCGCAAGTAAAGGGAACCTCTTCTCTTTCCCTAGCCTCAGCAAGCACTTTTCCCACAGATAAGAACTTGTTGCACCTACGAATCTCGAGGACCAATGAATAAACACTGGGTGAACCAGTCAAGCCCCTGGGCTGATTTCCCTCCTTACTTCCGCACAGGCTGGGTACATGGTTTGAGATGGTTAGGACGAAACACTGGACGAGAAAGATGGGGCGCGCATGGAAGGACGAGGTTCAAATCCTGAGGGCTAGTTCCTGCACACACTCCCTGTCTGATGGTGAGTTGGTTTAAAACATTGAATCTGTTGGTTGAGAACCGGCATCCTTGCAGCATCTGACATTCATTCTTTCGCGGCGCAACTCATTGGATTGGAGCAGCACCCATCGGGCCTGTACCTTTCCTTCAGACGTTAAGAAGGAGTCTGCTCGTTTTGAATATAATATTCTTCCGGACCATTGCAGTCTGCCACGGGAATGTGAAGCGCTAAAGCGGGAGGGTGGACTAGCAGATGCTCGAGCCCTTCCGATGTGCAACCATTACTTTTCTTCTCCTGGCATTGGCAAATCAACCAGCTCTATTTGCCGAGTCCACTTGAGTAGAGACATTCGACTTGGGGACTTCTGCTTTTTCAAAACCACGACCGTTCTCTTGTGCGCAGCTCGCAAATGTTGTGGGCGGCGCACTGGCCCGCAACTCCTGGGTCCTCGAACCTCTTCCGACCAGCACGGCCGCCGTCGCCTCGGTCACGATAATCGGAACCCCGATCCGTTCCCTATCACCATGTCCGCCAGAGCCGGCTCCTCACGGCGCCCCTGATTGCGCCCCGTTGCTCTGCGCCCTGTTCTGGCTCCCTCCGCCCCTCTCCCGGTTCGCACGGACTGGCACCCCGACGACCAGCGGTCTGCCAAAATTAGCTCCTCCCAAACCCCACCCCCAGCCGGCTTTGCCACTCCAGTCCCCAGCACGGCTGCCAAATTCGACTTCCCCAACCTTGTCCCCCAAGCAGCGCAGGGCAAGTACCCGGGGGTTTCACCCTAACCTAGACCGGAACCAAACTCCAGATTCCGCGCCGGTTGCAAGCCACCAGCTCCCCAGCCTTACCCCCAGACAGCACAGCCGCTCCAACCCTGCCCCAGCTTCCCGAACAGGCGTAAGAACCGGCTCCCTGACTTCTCATTCAGTCAGGGAATGAGCTGCCGTTGCCGCTTAGGTTCCATGCATATAAAAGTTCCGCCTCCCCGCCCCCGCCCCCAACCAGCAAAACCGCTGTGGCCCCTCCCCTGGTTCCAGGAACTGGTTTCCAACGCTGCCCCCGACCAGCTTCGCCGCTTTGGCCACCCCCATGGATGCTCCTACAAGCTTCCGACCCCGGCCACAACCACCGCGGCCGCTCTAGCCTCTGCCTTGGGCGCACCAACCGGTAGCTTAGTTTCCGACGCTCACCGGCGCTGCTGTTCTGGGTTTCGCGCCGAGTACGAGTACCGGCTTCCCTCTCTCGCCCCCAATTAGCAAAGCCTCTCTGGCCCCTTTCCCGGTTGTAGGAACCCGGTCTCCGACGCCGCCCCCGACCAGCTTCGCCGCTCCAGGCCTGCCCCCACGTGCTCCGTACAGGCTCCCGATCACCGCGACCTCTGTTCTCTGAATGGTCGCAAGATCTGGCTTCAAAACGACTTCAAACCCAACCAGCGGTGCCCCTCTAGATTTTGCAAGTACCGGCTGTCCATCCTTGCCTCAGCACCAGCCGCTCGGCCCCCGCCCCGGTCACTAGATTCGGGCTCCTTAATCGCGCTCCCAACTAGCGCCCACAACTGCACGGTCAGACGTACGAGGCACGGCTAACGGCTCCGAAACCCCTACCCCGACCAGCAGGAGCGCTTTGGCCACTGCCTCTCCAATATTGACATGTAAGTGCTGTCCTTATTGGTCGAATCAACCCGCAGCACCTGCGCTCAATATTTTTGGTTGATGCAGTTGAGGTGTAGTTATGGGTTCTCGGGACTCAAACTTAACATTTCATTATTCGTGCACTGGTGTCAGGGTCGTGATTCTTGACTTGCGGTGCCTTTTTGTTATCGATCTTTGAAGCTTCAAGGCATGTGAGGAGACATCTTTGCACGTGCACCGATCTGCTTCTGATCCTGATGGTTCCTACACGAATGACGAATCAAGTCGCTGCTTCGACTAGGCTCGGTCATATCCAGTTTCAGTGAAGTGTGCCCCTAACCCAGTTCAAACCCGTTTTGGCAGTTGGCCAAGTTTTCGCATCCACTCCCGTCCCTCGAGGCTAGGCGAGCTGCTCGACCTGTTGACTGTGATCGAGGGCGAATCGAGGGATCTATCTCTCGACGGCTCAGTTTCTGGAACCCTTGGACTACAAGGTTTCCACAAGTACGTTCATTACCCTTGGCGGAGCCCCAGTGTCTTTTCCAGTTGAGTGGGTTTGCTAAACTTTGAAAGTTCAAAGTATCGGCCCGACCAAAGTCACGGTTGTTGAACTCCTTGCTTCCGCAACCTGGTTCTAGAGTGCAAGGGTTGGACACGCAATGTACTCACCACCTTGTGGGTAAACCGAGTGATGAGCTCCTCTCTCCTCTCGCAATCCGAGCAGTGGGTTTTCATGGAAGGAGCAGTCGCTTGCTAAAATCCACCGCGACTTCTCGTTTCCGCAGAAAGGAGCAGACCTTCCCCATGAAGCACGTGGTAAGCCTGCTTCCGTCACGAGCCACCCAAACGGACGTCAGCGTCCAAGTCCTAGCAGCCGCGCACGCCCAACTCTCCACGATGCCCCAGCTTAACCCTTGGTTCCGTTCCAGTAACCCCGCCGAACCCCCCGCAAACCCCCCGGGAACCGTCAGAACATCCTTCCTGTCTTTAACGGACGACGGCCGCGTCTGGAAGTGGGAGATAAGCGCAGAGTCTCATAACCCGCCCGTTAACCCGGCCCCTGACCAGGCAGAAGGTCCCACTTTCCGTGCAGTACTAGCGGGGTTTCTGCACATGCTCCTGCGTTAAACATCACGCTTTTGGTTCCAAACCCTTCTGCACTAACCCCACAGTCCACTCCCTTCGACGGCCTCCCTTGGACGCCCCCCCCTTTGGTGCCGCTAACCGCTCTTGCCACGTCAGCAGGCAGCATCGAGATCGTTGACGCTCCGTAGTTTCGTCCTTCCCTGTGCACTCCAGCGCGGTGCGCAGGGTGCGCTGGCTTGGCAACTCGCGCTTGGTGTCCTTTAGTTCGGCCGAGGTCAAATGCAAAACCCCCGGGTTTATGAACGAGTTAGCGGTGACCTGCGTCCGGTCGGGGCTAACCAAGCCGTCCTGGGTTCAAACGAACGCGGAACGGGGCTTGATGCGCGGCTGCGAAGCTCGTCGAGCGGTCGGTACCTCCTTATTCTCCTCCGGACGCCCCCGCGAAGGTCTGGGCAATGACACGTGTCCCCCAGATGCTGCGCTCGCTCGCGCTCCCGTTCGCGGAAATGGAGTGGTCGAACCCGGGCGGAAACCTCCTCGGCTCTAGTTCCCACTCGTCCCTCTCCTGCCAGAACCCCTCCCCCGGGGAGCAGCAACGCGGCTGCCGCCGCCTCTGCCGCAAGCTTGTCTGCCCTGGGGCTGACGCAGGGGGGGGGTAACTCCGAAACCCCCGAAAGAGGAGCCGGGGGAGAGGTTTGCGTTTGCGTCAGTCCACGGGTCACTGGGGGTGATCGCACTTAGGGGGCGGCGCGTGAAGGACTTTTGGCCCAAATGGCCGGCGTTGAGCTTTGCGATGGGTGACGTGCTCGTGAGTGCGATGGCATACCGGCTGCCGTACGTGTTGATGGGCGACCGGGGAGGAAACGTCAGGTGGGTTTGGGCCTTTTAATTAGGGGTTTGCTGTGCGCCTTTCAAGGCATCCAAAACCAAACCGCAGTCTGTGTCTAAGCCAGTGCATCGCATTCCTCTGTCAGGGATTTGCTCCGTGAACCAGGCTCGTGCTCAACTGGCTAAGCTCAGATGGCATACTGCAGCCTGCGTCTGAATCATCTGCTGTGACGGCTCATGGCCAGTTAGTGCGCTGGCTCCATAGGCAGGAAGCGTTCTTTTTTTTTGGATGCCCAGCAGGTCAAGAGCCGACGAAGATAGACCAAGTCGCTATACTCGGCACCATGCTTGTTATCAAGCAGTGCACTTTTAAAATGCACTTCTAACCATTGCTTTGCTACCAGGCGGTGGGATGGCAAAATCACGCCTAAGCGGCTCCTTTCCTCTACACCGGGGGGGCAATCCGGCGGCTCAAATATGCCTCCGTCGCCAGCGGCGCGTCGAGCGACGACAAGGGCAAAGTCGCGGCCCTGTTCACGGACAACTCCATTGGGATTTCGACTTGAACTCGACAGAGCCGTTCAACGAAGCGTTCATTAACAAGGCCCATGCCACATTGCCGGTAAGAGCCCGCTTTACGAGCCGGAAAGCTTCGATGCGTTCGTGATTTTGTTGCGTTCTGCATAATCGTTGTAATTCGGGCGTTGAGCTTTTGACGCTTGGAAATGGGCTACGGGCGTGTGCTCAGCATATTCTTGCGGAAATTCTCTACTGCAAAGCCTCTAAGCAGATAGATCGGTTCCAACTGTGGACACGAGCAAACCCTGAAACCCCAAAGATCGATTTGAGGTTGCCTAGGGCACGGAAACCATCAGATTTCGGCCATGCAGGTGCGTGGTCACCACGGTTTTGAGCATTCCGGATCGCCGATGCATCCGGAACCGAGAAAAGTGGAGCAGAATCTTGTCCTAGAATGAAAGAAGCGAAACCGTGTAGACCAGAGGTACTCAGCAAATCGTCTTCTCCTTGCCGATTGCCCTGCATACGCTCCTCTTTCAAACTCTTAGAAGACAATGCTCCGGAACCCTCAGGTCTTTGAGAAGAATGTCTCCTTGCAGGTCCTCGAGATGGAGTGGCTACCCCATTCGGGCGACCCCCACGAGCGTCTCCCTCTGGCAGTGGTCGCCGCCGACGGCAGCTACCGGCACCTCGACGTCTATTCCGACGTCCTGCGGGCCCACCCCCGGAACCGGAAACTCATCCGGCCGCGACCCCTGAAACCCCTCCCCCCATTCCGGGCGGTTCCGCTTGACGAGCCCCCTGGTGCTCCCGCAAGCGCAGGCGCTCGCTTTGAGAATGTTATTACAGCAGGGGTTGCGGCCGGAGTGACTGGAAGGGGGGGCGGCGGCGCGCAGCCTGGGGATTCTGAGGTGGGTACTTTTTTTGCAGAACAGTGCTTTTTCCGTAAAGTCTGCCCCTAACCCAGTAAGAACATGTGGTCGGTGCGAAAAACTTAGAGTAGCTGAGCGACGCCGGCATAGGATGACCGTGCGAGGTAAGCTCCAAATTCTTCAATACAAACCGTTGCTTGCACAGCTGTTGGTCCCTGCCTCTGACATTGCTATCGTATGTCGCTTGGAACGGTCCATAGCCTTTTCTGAATTCTACCTCTCGGCTCTCGGTCTTACCTGGCCGGTGCTTTAGGCTTATCATTTCAGTTCGGCTTCCGTACAGCAACGGACACGAAGTCGGAGGAGCAGCCGGCGTCTGAACTGCATGCTGACGTCATCGCGCGAGCGGAGTGACGTCAGCAGAAAAGGCCTTCACCAAGCTGCCCAGGATCCTCAGGGACCCCGCACGTGACGTCCGAACGCTCCTAAGCCTTTTTCTGGCGTGCGGGGTGCGGAGGTGGCCACCTGCCGAGGACTCTGCGGGCGCTCAGGTGAATACCGCAAACTTCAGTGGCTTCGGATTCTGACGGTCAGTGATTGTCTAGCAGGAGCGAACGTTGCGACCTACAAGAAAGTCTCGAAAAGGCTACCTAGAATCCGGAAGTCTCTGAAGGGTCCCGAGGTTCCTGGTGGACACATTAAAGCTAACTCTTCCAACATGCAGATTCACAACTGAAACGCTCTCGCTCGGACCTTGGGGGCCACTTTGAAAAGACTCTGTTGTAGAATGCAGTTTTTCTTTTGCATTCGATGGCGTAGGCCTATAATGTCTTCTTTCAAATCGTGTCTCAGCTGAATATTGATCTTTTGGATCTTCTTGATGAGCTGACGGAGCCCTTATGAGTGTGCAGAATGGCACATCCACCCGCTAATGCCACTCTCCCGCCGCTCTCGCAGGCAAGGCTCTAGCGGAGGGGTCCCTTCACACACTGTGCACCGTTTGTGGACCCTGCGACTGCGGACGGCTGGCAATTGTGCGGAGAAGCTGCTCTAATCTTCCGGGAAGCAGTCAGATTCGCCGCTGGTAGGCTCTGAGGTGACGCGCAAATCCAGGGCCAAGGCGCTTACACTGCTTCAGGTGGGGTTGAACGCTCCGATGCCGCCTTTTGAGTGATTTGCAGCCGCTCAACTTTCGTTCTGGGCTTGCACAGATGTTCAAAAGAGCGTTCGATTCACGGTCGCATTTCTGCGTTGGATTTAAACGTGGCGCGTAGATTCTGGGAGCGAAGGTGCTCATTCGGTTGTCGCCGATTTCTGCGATACGCCGTGCATCCGTTTATTGTCTCGCAAAACGCTCTGATCCCCTCTGAATCTTGGGGTTGGGGTCAGACTCCAAAAGTTCAAACGGCTGTACTCGTGAGCCCGCTGCCAAGGAGCCATTGCAGCCTTAGGAGCGCTGAACTCTGCCAGCTCGAACCCTTGAATCTCGGTCTACTCGTGCGGCCCTCGCCGTTATTGTTTATGAATACTGCTGTCCATGCGTCGCGTATTGCCGCAGAACTGTGGCTTTTGAAGTGGCTGGGATGCAGTGACGCGATCAGCTCTAGGCAACTTTTCACGGAAGCGTCCTCGTTTTCGTGAAAGCGCTTACCCGAAGCCTCTTCATTGAAATCGCTGACATGAACATTCACCGGCCATATGCGCCTCGCTGGGAAGACGATGAAACTCAAGAAAAATAATAGTAAGCCCAGATAATAGTAAGGTAACCGCACTGTGACGGGTAGGGTTAGTATGGTGGTTAGGGTGGGTACGGATGCGGAGCGGGTGTTTCATTTCAGGTTAGGGTTTTTAGTGTTAGTCGGAGCTTACTATTATCTTGGCTTACTATTATCTTTCTTGAGAAATTGTGGGAAGACGGCTCAGACAAGGAGAGTGGCCCCAGTGCATATGTTCTCCGAAACTCGCCCCTAACTGCAGACTGACCTTAAGCATGCAAGTGTCAGTGCAACGTTGGCCTTACTTTTCCTTTACTGCCATCGCCGTTTTAGGGACCGCAGCTGTACGAGACAACCAACTCCTTAACGCTTGCCTGCCTACGTTTGCCGTGGATTCGACGACGTCATGACGAGCCGCTGACGTGTACCTTCCCCTTGTTCGCAGCCCTACGCAGGAGAACTGGCTCCCGCTGTGAAACTGATTCGAAGGCCGTGCGTCCCTCGCGATCAGGTACTTGCGGAACCTTTGATCTCAGCCGTACGTCCGTGGCCCCAATCGCGAGCTGGGACTTTCCATGATTCTTTCAGGCGCTGCCTATCCGCTCTTCTGCTTTCTTCTGTGAATGCCCCTTCGATTTTTGTGGAGGTTTTATTGAGCTCTTGTCACCTGGTCGCTAAAAGGGGGCGTCCTGGGACCCGTCACGCCTCGGCGACCAAATGGCTCGTCTGCCCGCAGTTTGGTTGCTAAATTTGGGTACCACGTGATCGAATTTTCGGCGACAAAAGAGCATAGTATCATGCAAAGGGGCCGCCGCGGTACCACGTGGTTAGACGCCCTCTTGAATCCCTGCTCGTATCGCCCAAAAATTCTCCTGGTCCGGCACCTCCTTCTTTCGTGATTTTCTGCTTCAACGCTTAGAATCGTTTGCGAGTGACACTGTGTTCCCTTCACATCGGTTCTGCCCAACATATGACTTCGCATATTAAAGATTTTCTTGTTTGAAGAGTCCTTATCCATTTTTGATTGCTCGCTTAGGCTTCCTAGTCAATTCTGTTTCAACCCGCTTCAATGCTTCTTGACTTAGAATGTTCTCATGCAAAGGATAGGTATGGCTCGGTGCCGTACCCGCAACTTGAGTTAAAAAGCAGGATTATTTCGACCGGACTGATCTTGATTGAACTCCTGGTATTCGACAGTGTCGACTATCTGAGATTCCGTGGTCTCGTCTGCAGCACTTGTGGGGAGTGCGGCTGTACGTTAGCGGTCAACGTGAGGTCCACCTCAGGACGTGCGTCTCTGGACGAGAGCGGAGCGGACGAATCGTTTCCTAGTAAGGTGAGGACTGTTTGCTGCGCTGCGAATTGGATTGAACCTGGCCGCCTGACCCACCTTCAATATGAGCCGATAACCAAACTCTGCCCGATGCACGGAATTTGAACCCTTCGATGAGCCGGATGGCCCCAGCGAACGGCCCAGATTTTGCGCATCCGGCGCCGGTGTGCGAAGGGCTCAAAAGAAATTACTGGTCAGGCGCCTGGGGTGACCGAACCTGCAATACCACATATACCGCACAGAAATTGACTTCTTTTGGGCGACGAATGTGTAAGTGAAGCTTTGGACTAAGGGCAAAGAGTGGTCCATTTCGGACGCTTTGGTCTCCCGGACGGGCAAACCCGGAACCTATTCTCGACCTCTTGTCACTCACTTTGCGGCTGCTTGTTCGCGTCACGGTTTTTGACGTCGCGTTCGACGTAGCAGCAGGAGACGCAACGCATGTCACACACGCGGTCAAACGGCCGCAGACTGGATCAGATGGTCCGGAATCGAAATCCGGGTTTGCCCGCCTGAGATCAAAATTGTGAATTTCAAAACCTTGTCCCAGAATAAGTCGCACCAGTCTTATTTCCCTCAAGCCTCGGCTGAAGTCACCTGTTTGGCCGGAGGAAACGCCGGGGTTCGCGCTTGTATCTGCCTAAAGAATATCGGTGACATTGCTTAGCAAGATGTCCTGTCTGTCAGCTCCAGCATATCATTATTCGCACGCTGGTTGACTAGGATTCCGGGGACTTTTCATCCGTTCTTTATGTTTAACCCCAATTTGACTCGTGAAAGCTGGTTGTGTTGCTCAAGTCTTAGACATACCTGATCTGAGTCCTCTTCAGAGCATTTCATTACTTGAGACTTTCTTGAGGCTGACTGCTTCTGCTTGAAAAACACGCGAGCTTGTCAGCGTGTCTATCCCCGAAGATACGCCCTGTTTTTGCCCTTGAATGTATACATTTTTTTTCTTCTGCTCAAGCTTGAAATGAATTGTTCACGCGGTGACAATCAGGCCTTAGCGTCTCCAGTTGCGCGTCGACCTGGTCACGTTAACGGTCTGCCGGGCTCTGGTTCAGGATTTTGTCAACCAGATCTACCTTGGTTGACGACCAATCGGTAATCGCTGACGCCAACCAGTCGCCTCTTTGAGACTTGACGTCAACTTAGTAACCTCGTATCCGTGACCCAGTAGAAAGCCTCAGCCAGGTTTTGGCTGAGGCCCATAAATCAGGCCCGGTCTAGTTGGCGACGGTATAAGAGTCGAGTGCGGGCTCGAAACTGGGAACGCCGTCTGCGATTTCTACAGCTTATACGCTATTGTATAGCTGCACTAACGTATGGTACCGTAGTTGACCTAAGCCCAGGGCCACGGTATCCCCGATCTTCGGAATCGGGATGAATATGATACCGGTAACCGTACCGAGCTCACGTACCGTACATGTAACATGATACTGTCGGCGTCGGGCGACCCTCCAGCGCCTGCCATATGGCATCTCGGACTACCAGAAACGCTTCACCGTTCGACCTCAAATAATTGTATACCTATATGACTTTATAAAGTAGCACAAGCTACTTAGATTCCTACTTTGATTCCTTGGAAGTTGGGAATGCACCCGGCGCCGCATGAAGCGTCAGAGGTTGTACGGCTGCGGCGCCGACTTCCTCGGACGTACGGCAGCGGACGTCGCGAAATTTGACGGCCGCAAAGCCCGGCAGTAAAAAAGTTGCAGACTCCTCCGCTTCTTTCAGCAAGGATTCCTGGCAGCTGTGACGGCATGTCAGACGTTCACGGCCGTCGCCGGACGTGCTTTACATCGGTACTCAGGAGTCACCAGTGAGCACTAGTACCGTAGGTACTTCTGGTACCGTATCAGATTAGGTATTATTAGTGGTTCTAGGTATTCACTGTGTGCACTGTGCACTGTGCATCCACTTCTGTACGCCCCGGGACTTGAACTTGACCGGCCGCGTTGGTTACCGCGCCATTGCGCCTCGAGGGAATTTGAGTCTTGACCACATTTCACACATGTGAACGTACATATTACGTCAGTGTCTGCATCATGCGTGCAGATTCCGGGATCCGGTTCTGACAGGGGTTGCCGCGCGGCGCGGAGGGCTTCGCAATTGCCAATTGGCGCCTAACGGCGCAATAAGCTCTCAACCTGTCACAAGTTGGACCTTGGAAGGGTTGCCTTTCCTCTAGCTTGTCCGTCAGGGAAGGACGGATGATACAAGTGTACCAGTGGTAGTACCTACTACCAGGTACATATTCAAGGGTAGATATTCGACACGGAGTCAGTTTGTCGGCTCCCCAGGCCGACGGTGACTGTTCTCCGGTCAGTTGGCTAAACCCGGTCGGCTGCTAGTGTTAGCCAAAACACCTTGCATGAATTGTAGGTATACCTTTATTCCACAGTGCACACCTGTTCCACGATCCTGTCGGATTTTCGGCCGACGCCCCTCGGCCGGGTGGCAACGTGTCACCATCGGCTGACATGTGCCTGGTCGGTGTGACGGCTATTCAAGTTGTCGAACACCAATCTAAAAGGCGACGCGAAGCGACCGTACACCGATTTGCTCCGGAATCCCGCGAGGTTTGTTCCTTCGTGGATCAGAATCTCTGAGGAATGCGGGTGTGCTGCACGATGCAGTTGTTTGTAGTACCGGTACTTACACTCGCTAAACATATGTTGCAGTCCTTTCTGTGGTTCTGCTGCCGGGTTCGTGAGTGGCAGGCCGGGGCGTCGCGTGACACTAGGGGCCTTGAGCTTATGCGCTGATCAGCATTGCGCCGATCTGATCAGTCCGGCCCACGACGTGATGGCACAGTCAGCACAGACTCCCTCCGAGTCAGATCCATGAGAAAAGAACTTAACCAGCGAGGATGCACGTATTCGTCTAGGCAGAATGAGAAACACAAACCACCTCTCATGCTTTGTGGTCACATCTTGATCACCAGGTGGAAGGCTTCTCTCCAACCAAGCGTGTGCGCTGGGGACCATCCACTGGGGATACTGAAGAACAGGTGACGAGTGTGCCTCAGGGAAGCAGGTGGCTTGACATTCTACTGAGTCAAGTGGTAGCAATTGAGCAGGTTGTTAGAACGGGGTTTACGTGGAGTTCAGTTCCAATTGAAGGCGCCTGAAGAAGCAAGCGGGCCGCCACTTCGCTGAGCTTGAGGCGAGGACTGGTCATCTGAAAAGTAAGTCCACCCTATCTTTGAAGACAGCTCCTATTATTTACCTGGGAGGTATGCATTGGGACTTTCTTTGAGCCTTGGCAGACCAGTGGTCAGGTGTGGTATCGTCTTTAGCATTGTTTCCACAGCATTGTTGGTTTTCTGCTCGCAATGCCGGTTTGAAAACCATGGCTGGGTCATTCCTGGATTTGCATCTTTTGTTATGTCCCCCATCCTTGGAATGAGCTCAATCTTGCAGTCCTTATCAAAACCCTTATCAATTGACAAACGAAAGACAGAAAACAAATGCTGGCCAAGGCCTGACGGAATATGTCTAACAGACTGGATCCCCAGAATGCCAGCCGCCAATACCAGAAACTTATGTCGCTTCATTGCTTTCGTTCATTTTGGTTCTTTCTCATGTACGCTCAGTGCACCCATTCTGACTGTGCCAATCGATAGATGGATTGTTCCTGTCGCCAAAGTTGAGTCAAATAGTGCAGGTGCAACGTCGTTCAGTGGCCTGAATGCTTTTGGTTTGTTATGACTTTTCTTGGAAGCTCAAAGGCTGGTGTCAATACTGCCCCAATCTGTGAGCAGGCATTGTCTCTATAGATTTCGTGAGGGGTTTACTCAGATATCAGATTCGCGCTGTGTGTGCAGGTATTAAGATCCTGACTGCGTTGATCATTGGGGCCAGTAACATCAAAGGGATCCCTTAGTCACCAGAGTAAGATTCTGGGGTGCATTGGTTCACGCCAGCTTGATCTGGTGAGTAGCATCTGGCTGATGACACCTCTGCATGTAGTTCTGTTATTCAGGACAGCGTAAACACCGCCACTGTAGCTAAGGTTCAGAGCTTTTGATTTTGTTGAGGACACAGAAAGACAGTGTCATTGGTTGTAAGTAGTCCAGGGTCTATAAAGGTTTGGTGTGTGGATTGCGTCTCAGAAGCAAATACTGTGGGCAGTTTCTAAAAAAGATGATACATGTGGAAGCTCCGGCTTGATCGGCTTTTCTTGTGGCCAGCAGAATGACTGCACATGTAGAAGCCTACGCAAACCTCTGCCATTTGAACTTGAAGTCTTAGGCTCATAGGTTGCAAATAAAGCTTGTCCATTGATCGATTCCGGAATTGCCTTTACACCTAAGTGGTTGTGTCTCAAGGCTTGCACACCCTTTACCTTCTTGTCTTTCTCAAGTCCATCCAAGATTGAGGCCACATCACCTTCTATAGGGTTGGCTCAGCATAAACCTTCAACCACTAGTAGACATAGGGCTGTGCATACAGGGTCTGCTTCACGTTGCTGGCCCACATTGCAAACTCCTGCGATTGTGTTCTTCACAGAAAGGAACTATCTTGAACCAGTTGCTCCTCTGCGCAGGCCCACCCACAATGGCTCCCCTCACCGTGCGGCTCTGGTTGGTGCTGGGAGCATATTTCCTAGCTGCCCCGCTCAACCTGGCTGCGGCTCAAGGCCCGTCAGCAGGTGAGTATGTTCAATCTGTCTTGGCTAAACCTAGCGCTGTTTGTAGTATTCCACTTCAAGATTGCCAATCCAATCGTAGCCCAGGCTAAGCTCCTGAACAAACATCTTAGAGAGGTCTGTTCCTGGTACCTGGTAACTTTTCAGGTCATAGATAGGGTTGACTGAAAAATGCGGTCTAGAGAGTCTGCTTGCAGAAGACTGATAAGCTGTCTGAACTTTGACACCTGTTTGAATGTTAACAATCTGGATCAGGGTCAAACATCCAAAGTCAATCAAATGAGCAGTGTCTTTTCTGGTTGGGCTGCGTAAGTCGTGCAGTCTCATTGTGTCAGATACTGGATTGCTAAAGGTTGTCTGTTTCAACAACAAGCCTTTCTCGTCGGGAGGGTTTGTTGTGTCCCCCAGCAATGTACACTGGGGTGATAGCACATCAAAGCATTCTCTGAACGCTCTTTGCAGGAAGCCCACCACCACTGCAGGATCCTGCGTCAACCAGCCTCCCCATGAATCCCCCTCCCCAGGGGACCAGCCTTCCCTCCCCTCTGCAGCCCCCCCCTACAAACGTGCCGACAACACCCCTGCCTACAACACCCCAGCCGACAACACCTCGGCCCACAACACCCCAGCCGACAACACCTCGGCCCACAACACCCCAGCCGACAACACCTCGGCCCACAACACCCCAGCCGACAACAACCCTGCCTACAACACCTCAGCCGACACCCCCCTCGAGCACAGCCTCAATCGGGTCCCCGCCCCCCAAAAACGAGCAAACCCAATCTCCTCCTTTGCAGGCCAATTCCCCGCCTCCTGTAATCCAAACCCTCCAAACCTCCCAGCCTAACCCTCCCCTATCTTCAACTCCTTTGCCGTCCAATCCCTCTCCTCCTCCTCCTGTACCAAGCACTCCCCTTCCCACTAGCGCCAGCGGGTCTCCCCCTCTGCAAAGTAACCCACCGCCCAAGGCTGTGCCCCTATCCCCACCTACCAATCAGCCCACCCCCCCTTCTCAAACCAACAGCCCTCCCTCAATTACTCTCCCCTCTAACAGCCCCCCTCCTTCAAACCTCGGTCTTGCCTCATCTCCGCCCCCTAAGGCGAACCCACCGCCTAAAGCAACAAGCTCCACCCCCCCCCCTCAATCTGTTCCGGCCTCTCCTCCTCCCACCCTCACGCTCTCTCAACCTCCACCACTTAAAGCCAACCCGCCACCCCTTCTCCCGTCTCCCTCACCCAAAGTGCCCCCCCCTCAGAGCCCCGTGCCTTCTTCCCCTCCCCCAACCGCGTCTAAGAACCCTCCGCCAGTACGCAATCCTCCTCCCCTCCAAGCCAACCCGCCACCCCTTCTCCAGTCTCCCACACCCAAAGTGCCCCCCCCTCAGAGCCCCGTGCCTTCTTCTCCTCCCCCAACCGCGTCTCAGAGCCCTCCGCCACCTGGCAATTCTCCCCCTCTAAGCGGTCCCCCTCCTCCGAAAGTTGCGCTCTCTCAACCCCCCCCAACTCAAGGTAGCTCGCCACCTAAGAATCCACCGCCCAAGGGTTCTATGCCTCAATCTTTCCCGCCTCCCCAAACCAAAAGCCCGACCCCGCCGCTCAACCCTCCTCCTAGCCAGGCCCTTCCCCCTCCGATAACCGCTTTGACTCAACCTCCACCCCCAAGCGCTAACCCGCCTCCTCAAGCCAAAGCTTCGACCCCACCAGTGAATCCCCCCACCGGTAGCGCACCTCCCCCGCCCAAAGCAAACCCTCCTCCTCAAACCAAAATCTCGCCCTCACCACTCAA